GTTTCGGAAAATGAATTGAACCAATTGAGGGCCTGACCGCTAACTCCGGACATGGCGAGACGGTGGATCATTAAATCGTAGTCAACGGTGTCAAACGCTGCGGTAAGATTGAGAAGTACCAGAAGCGCCGATCCGCCGCTATCAGACTGATGACGAAGTTCATCTGTAATAGCAACCAGGACCGTCTCCGTCCCATGACCTGGGCAAAAACCTGACTGGAAAGGGTCCAGGCCAGCTGTGTCATCCAAAAATTGCTGCAATTGTCCCAATACAGCCCGTTCTATCACCTTACCTAAGAATGGAAGATTAGAGACGGGATGATAATTGGCAAGGGCCATAGGGTCCTGGCTGGGCTTCTTCAACAAGGGAGGAGGAGAAAGAAAGAAAGAGTATGGGGGAAGATGTATGAGGGAAAGCAAAGGAAGAAGAAAAGAAAGGGGGGGGGGGAGAGAGAGGAAAAAGTGTATGAGGGAAGTGGAGGAAGGAAGGAAAGAGCCACAATTAGAGCCTGCCCAGCATTGCCATGGAAATATGAGATAAGTCTTTTCAAAGCTGGAAAAGAGAAAAAGCAGGCAGGTAACATTCCATATGACACTGGGGTACCTTACAACATAAAAGCTTCCTTAAATTTAATAAATAAAATTTATTTATTTATTTATTGTAATGATACTGTTCCATTATCTGGATAGAAGCCACTAGGGGTGATATAGGGAGAAGGATAGTCCATTTTATTGGGCGGGAGGGGGGGGGGGTTGGAAAAGGAAAACAATTTCCCCCATTTTCACTGGTTATTCCCCCTCCCCACTTCCCATTTCAAAAAGGAGGGTTGTTTCCACAACAGTGACATGGGTGGGGGAAATAAAAGGAAAACAGGGGAAAATGGTTTTCCTCCTTCAACCTACCCTCCACCCTCACAAAATGGATTATCCTTCTCTATCCCCCCCTAGTGGCCTCTGCCCAGATAATGGAACAGTACCAAAGTAATAAATTAATAATTTACAGAAATAATACAATGCTCAACAAATATTATCAAGGCTTTTAATTAAAAGCCAAGGAGATGAGTTTTAAAGCCCACATCAGTGATTGAGCTACCTTTACCTCAGGTTTTGTCCAGGATTGTCTCTGTAATATGCATGATTTCAGATTAGCTAGAATCAAATCACAGATGTATTTTAAAGGGTTGATTTTGCTTTGTTGTAAGTAAAGAAAGACAACATGGTGCTTTACATGGTTCTCTGGTTCCCTCTACCAGATGAATGGCAGAACACAATGTCTCATTTGTGACAAATTCAAAACCAATGCACCATGTTCAATACATGGCATTATGACATCTGTCAATAGGGCTATTGATGCAATCTCTGATTAGAAGGGGGAGTTTTGTTTGATGTGTCCTGTTCAAATATTTAGTGGACTGATTTCACAATGCTCATGCCTATAAAAGACAGGCTTTTAAATGTGCATTCAGGCTTAATCGACAATATACTTCAATGTTTTATCAATTTGATTGAGTAAAATATGTCCTCTTATTATTTTCTATGAAATTTTGTCAGAATGTAGATATCCATGGGTAGCAGACACTTTTTGCTTCTCCTAAGATACTTCTAAGATGGTTCTTGATCTATGCACAATCCATGCATAATAATTCATTTCATTAACCTACTTTGAACTCAATGGGCAAGCCAGTGGTTCTCAACCTGTGAGTCCCCAGATGTTTTGGCCTTCAACTCCCAGAAATCCTAATAGCTGGTAAACTGGCTGGGATTTTTGGGAGTTGTAGGCCAAAACACCTGGGGAGCCACAAGTTGAGAGCCACTGGACAAGGCATTAATTGGGTTGTACTGTATGATTCAAACAGGTGCCAGCTTCAGGTTCCAAGTTTTCTTGGAACTAAGCCCCATTAAGCACAACAGGGCTTTCTTTTGCACTACTAGTATATAAATTAAGGAGCCACATTAAGATAGAAAATATAAAAGATATATACATATACAATTACGTTTCATTGTAGAGGAATTTAAACATTAAAAATAGAAGGCAGCTCTATCTTCAAACCTATTAAATTTAATAGCTCTTTCTTTCTAGTAAGTTATGGGATGCATCTTGCATATGGGTGAGGGGTGGTACGTTTTATGTGACTTTTAAACCATACACATTTGCAAACATCTATGCTGTTTTGATTTATCCTAACAAACATATTTGAAAATAAATCTCACTACCAAGTAAGCATTGTTATGATTGGGCCATAATTAACTCAGTGTAATTCAAAGAGATTATAAAATATAGAGTGAAACAGATGGCTGGAGTTAAACTTTGGGTTCATCTATATGGGGCAGTTGAGCCCAGAGCAGTCCTCAAAGCAGTTCTGGATCTGGCACATTCAAACCAAACCCAAAACTATTGTCTCAAATCCCGAGAGCGCATCTGTTGTGTTACCCCCACCACTTTTAACCAGCCACAGAGATTCATACTAGCTTCTGGCTTCTTCGAAGCCCCATTTGAGTACTTTGTGCTAATGTTAGAAAGGGACACGTGTAACCAGCAAGAGGGAGGAAGCAGTGAGCACAGGGAAAGGTTGATGGCATTGGTGTCCACTTTGGACAGAGGGTCTGGGTGAACTGGATCCAGTCTCACTATTCAGACTATCCTAAAGCCATGGAATACTCCAGAGTAACCATCAAACTCTAGAAGATCCCCCAAACTTGCCTATACTGGCGCAGTAAAAATAATGCAATACTTACTAGAAGCTAATGTACATCATGTGGACAGCCAAAGATCCATTTGTGGTGAGTACAGGGTACTTTGCCCTTCCACACAGCTGAATAAAATCCCACATTATCTACTTTAAACTAGAATACATGGCAGTGTGGACTCAGATAACCCAGTTCAAAGCAGATATTGTGGGATTTTCTGCCTTGATATTCTGGGTTATATGGCTGTGTGGAAGGGCCCTTATAATACACTCATCAATACCAATGTGCCGCATCCTGTTCATTTCACTGGCTCTACACTAAGTATGACTAAGGGCGCATCAACACCAAGTATGGGCAAACTTCGGCCCTCCAGATGTTTTGGACTTTGACTCCTGCAATTCCTAACAGCTGGTAAACTGGCTGGGATTTCTAGAAGTTGAAGTCTAAAGCACCTGGAGGGCCAGGTCTATACTCTTACCTCCAAATTCTCCATTATAGATTTTGGACTACAGCACCCCCATCCCTCACTATTGTCTATGCAGGATCAGGATAGATGGGAGCTGAAACCCAACATCATCTGGAGAGCAACATATTCTCTAATGTGAGTTTAAGGACAAAGGAGCTTTAAAAAAAGATAATACAAATCAGCAAATGTAGATTGTTCAGTTTTAGTAAAATTAAATTGTTCTCTTTAACTGGTGGCATATTTCACCGATTTACACAAAGTTGTAGCTCAATCTACATACACACTTCTCCCAAAAATTTAATAGAACAGCCTCTCTATGGCCTGTTTACACTGCCATATAATACAGTTTGAAACTGCATTACATAGTTAGTGTGATCTCATGCCATGCAATGTAGCTGCACCAAACTATATTATACAAGTCTACGCTGACCATATAATGCACAGTCGAAATGCATTATATGGCAGAGCAGATGGGGCCTATGACCCTCAGCTAGGGTCGTAACTACATTACAATGTTATGGCGCTTGCATCCCTTTCCCTTCCATGCCATCCTCCAATGGAATGTTAGCATGTGCAGTGAATGAGAAGGCATTTAGACTTCTCAGGGCCCTTTCACATAGCCCTATATCCCAGAATATCAAGACAGAAAATCCCACAATGTCTGCTTTGAACTGAGTTATGAGTCCACACTGCCATAGAACCCAGTTCAATGCAGAAAATGTGGGATTTTATTCAGTTGTGTGGAAGGGGCCTGGGTTATCTGAATCCACACTGCCCTATAACTCAGTTCAAGTTGGATTTGTCTGGCTTCTTTTAACATGTTCATGATGATCTGGATGTGAAGATTGCTGGTGACAGTACATTTTTTAGGGCACTGAGAGCACAACTGGATTTTAAAGAGCTCTGAAAGGACCTTTGCAAACTGGGAGAATGGGCAGTAAAATGGGATACCTATTAGGGAGCAAATTCTGCCGGGGGGGGGGGGGAATTATGAGCGGGCTGTTTGGGGGGACTAATTTCAAAGAGTAAAAGTGGTTTCAGCTCAAGTAATTGAGGGCCCTTCCACACAGCCCTATATCCCAGAATATCAAGGCAGAAAATCCCACAATATCTGCTTTGAACTGGGTTATCTGAGTCCACATTCAGATAATGTGGGATTTTCTGCCTTGATATTCTGGGATATAGGGCTGTGTGGAAGGGCCCTCAGACAACCCAGTTCAAAGCAAATATTGTGGGGTTTTCTGCCTTGATATTCTGGGATTTAGGGCTGTGTAGAAGGGTCCTCGGATAACCCAGTTCAAAGCAAATATTGTGGGATTTTCTGCCTTGATACTCTGGGTTATATGGCTGTGTGGAAGGGCCCCGAGTCCATACCATGTATCCCAGTTCAAAGCAGAAAATGAGGGATTTTCTGCCTCGGTATTTTGGAATATAGTGTGTGTGGAAGGGCTCTGAGGGACCTTCCACACAGGCCTATATCCCAGAATATCAAGGCAGAAATCCCACAATATCTGCTTTGAATTGGGTTATCTGAGTCCACATTCAGAGAATGTGGGATTTCTGCCTTGATATTCTGGGATATAGGCCTGTGTGGAAAGGCCCTGAGTCCACGCTGCCATATAACCCAGTTCAAAGCAGATAATGTGGGATTTTATTCAGCTGTTTGGAAGGCGACCTAGTTAAAGAGGAATAACAAGCGCCTTGACTGAAGTGAACTGAACGAGGGTTCCCCTCCTTCCGCCAAATTCCCCTCAGCTGCACTTCTGAGCGTCCCAACCCCGCCTTCAGGGTGACTCTCGCGAGACTTCCTACGATTCTTCTTCCCCCGCCCTCCCGGCGAACGCGGTAACCTCGCGAGAGTTCCCCCCGGACAAGATGGCGGCGCGGTCGAGCCGCTGAGAGGAGCGGCCAGCGGCAGACGCGGAGCGGGAAAAGGCACAGCGGCGGCGGGCTCGGCCAGCAAGGCGTCCCCGAGCGGAGGCAGGAGGCATGCCGGGACGGGACTCGCCCCCGCCGCGGCTCTGAGCGCTTCGGGCCCTTCCCTGCCGCCGCCGCAGCCGCCACTGGCTCCTCCTCTCCCCGCCGGGGCCCCCCATCGCCCGGGGCCGCCGCTGGCGATGACTGGAGAGAAGCTGCGCTCGCTGCGCAGGGACCATAAGCCCAACAAGGAGGACGGGGACCTGCTGGCGCCCGGCGAGGAGGAGGCGACGGCCGCGCCCGGCGGAGGAGGGGGAGGAGGGGGCGCCTTCACCGGGGGCGGCAAGGGCGGCCGCCTCGCCGGGGGCCACCGCGTCTTCACCAACCACCACCGGCTGCCCCTCAAGGCCGGGCCCGGGGCCTCTTCCCCCGCCGAGGTCGAGAAGGCCGCCGCCGCCGCTGCCGCTCAGTTCCCCGTCCACGAGTGCGTCTTCAAGGGGGACGTCAGGCGCCTCTCGGCCCTCATCCGCACGCAGGGCATCGGCCAGAAAGACAGCCACGGTGAGCAGTCCGGCCTCGCCACACCACAACTCCCAGGGCTCCATAGGACGGAGCCGTGGCAGCGCCAGCGGTGTAAACTGCATTCCTTCCACGGTGTAGGGCCAGGCCTGGGCCAACTTGGGCCCTCCAGGTGTTTTGGACTTCAACTCCCACCAGTCCTAACACCTCAGGCCCTTTGCTTTTTCTCCTCAGCCACTTAGCCTGGTGTAGACGCACCCTTGGAGGAAAGTGGGAAAGCAGGAGGCCACAGCCTTCCTTTCTCCAACAGTGGAAGTATAGTTTTGCAAGTTCTTAAGCCTTCTCTGCCTGAAAGCACTGGGGTCCCACCAAGCTACAACTCTGAAGTCTCCATAGTGTCAGACCTTCAGTAGGCTTTCAGTCTCTTCAGTACTGTACCTTAAGGTTTTGCTGAGCTCCAGATTTTTTTTGGGCTGGAGGGAGGATGATCTCTCAGCCTCTTGAGAGTCGCAGCGCATTTGGTTCTCTGTATCCTTGTCTTGACAATGGCTTTCTTTAAAAACAACCAAAAAAGGGAACCTTGGGGGCTCTTCCAGACAGGTCCTATATCTCAGGATCTGATTCCAGATTTTCTGTTTATCCCAGAATATCTGGCAAAGTGGACTCATCTAATCCAGTTTAAAGCAGAAAACCTGGGACCTGATCCAAGGTTATAGGGCCTGTCTGGAAGGGTCCTTAGTTGTGCATGCCTTGTTCCTTTGGATTGGGTTTCTTCTCGGCTCCCGATTTTGGGGGGTGACCTCTCAGCATCTTGAGAGTTGAAGTGCAGTTGGATCTGCTTTTAAGAAAACCTCAACTGCCAATTTAGCAGTTCGAAAACATGCAGATGTGAGTAGATCAATAGGTACCATTCCGGCAGGAAGATAACAGCACTCCATGCAGTCATGCCAGCGACATGATCTTAGAGATGTCTATGGACAACGCCGGCTTTTTGGTTTAGAAATGGAGATGACCACCAACACCCAGAGTAGCACATGACTAGACGTAATGTCAAAGGGAAACCTTTACCTAAAGGGACACTATAGCCCCTTCCACATTGTGCTATATACCAGGATCTGATCCCAGATTATTTGTTTATCCTAGATTATCTGTCCGTGGAGACTCATATCCAGTTCAATGCAGATAATCTGGCATCAGATCCTGGGATATAGGACCATGTAGAAGGCACTGGGGTCCCAGGCCCCATCTACATTTGAGAAAGTGGTTTCACTGGCAGGTGATTACATGGGAAATCCTGGAACCAGTGTGAGGTTGGTGATGACACAAACCACAGAGCATTGATCCACATTGAGGACTGTCTTTGGGTACTTTTGTGGGAGTTTGTTGTCTGCCCTCCACAGTTTAAAGCTAGCTTCAAACTGCATTAAATGGTTGGTGTAGATGGGGCCCTATTGTGCCATTGTTTGTAATGAGACTTGGATATCCACATGGTGCAGAAACGAAAACATAGTGGATGCCAAGGGCCCACTGTACTGGCTTGAGAGAGGACAGTAATATTTGTACAGTCTCCATCTCTTCTATTGGTGATCAGCATTGTTTTTATATTTGCCAGACTAGGATTTCTTCACCTGCACTAGAATGTATGTTGACTTTTATCCTCTTGAGTACTGTATCTGAGGCCTTACACATGTAAACCTGCCATGATCCAGTAAAGAAGCTTTCATTCAGAAAGGCTTTGTGAGGGCAGAAATTCTCCTCACACAGATGTGGGCTGCATCCAGTCAAGACACATCTATTTGGGGTTGCACAGACTAGGGCATTTTATGATGTGCTCCTGATAGTATTTACTTCCTGTTTGGCTTTCTAAACTTCCAGTGGGAATGCTGACAGGGAATTGTTACATTTAGGAAATCCCTTCTGTGTTTCTTCTGGGTGAATTAGAAGAGGCAACTTGGGTAGTTTGTGGCTGTTTGTGTTAATAAAAGTCAGTTTTCATTGAGGAGAAATATCACAAAACAGTTTAAGTTTCAAGTAAACAATACAGCTTATGAGCTCAGCATTTTCTAAAGAAAGTATTTCCAGAAGTAAAGATAACATGCTTCACCTATATGATGATTCTGATTCTTGTACAGGTCATACAGGATATGATGCTTCCTGCTGTGCATTTCATAGGAATCTGTAATCCTCCTTCAACCTGGTGCTTTCCTCATTTTTTTTTTTTACTCCAGCTGCCATGAATCAGAACTTGGTCAGTGATACTGAAAAATTATGGGAATTTTACCCCAGGGCATCTGGGAGGTGCAATATGCTTTGGAACATTACCATATCTCATGTTGAAATAGACACTTCCTGATTTATACTTATTATAATGAACTGTAAAATAAGACCAGATCTTCAGGGTTGTTTGAAAGCATGCAATAGTCCATTCCAACCTTTTGAATGAGATGCACCTGTGCAAATAATGGCAGTGAGGAGAGTCCAGCTGCAATTGTCTGCAAAGGGATTCTTCTCAAATCCAATGAGATTTCTGATAGATTGGACTACACGTGTTCTCTTCAGCACACACCCACAGGGAGGACTGCCTTTCATGTAATGTGTTAGGAATGTGATTATTCTGGAAAGCAATATGCTACTCCATAAATTCTGCAGTTACTTAGTGACTAGATTTTCCAAGAGGATAATTATGATGTCATCTGCCTCCTTCACCTGGAGCCATGAAGTTGGGTTGTGGCCAGTTTTTAATATAGTACCAAATTCCTAAGGTGTGTGTTTCCTCCCTCTCTATCCCCAGTGGTATTTATTGTAGACTTTCTCTTTTGTGTTAGTAAATGGCACCTGCCGTAGCCCTGGTGTGAATTTTCTAGTATTATTTATTAGAAATATTCGTTAGCTCTATGATTTGGGGAATGGTTTAGTCAGAAAAGTAAGAAGGTGCTTTAAGGACTCCATATCCCAGTCCCTAAGGAAACAAAGCAGGAGCTCCTGGTGGGGAAGCAGTTCCATACATCTCCCTTGCCCTTCCCAAACTTTTCCCTACTTTAAACCAGTCATAAAGTAAACAGGCTCTTCTTCATTCACCTTTGAACCCAGCAGCCTCAAGAAGCCACCATCTCAGAGCCCTCATACTGCCTTTGCAACTTGCCATTATGAGATTTGTGGGGGCTTTCAGGGGCATGTGAGATTTGAGATGTGACAGGAGTACCGGATGCCTGTGAGAAGCCTTCCTCTTTCGGGATTTGAGGGGCTTCCTGTCTGACACAGTTTTCATGGTTGGGATCCTAACCATGATAAGGGTGGATGTTTTAATTGGAATTCCACCCATCATTTCAGTGTGGATAGTGAAGATTATATGTACCAGGCTTGAGATACATACATACATACATCTGTACATAAATACTTTCACATATATACCAGTAGATAGGATTTAGGAAAATAATATTAATTTTCTGTTGGGTCAAAAACTCCTCAGTATTACAAGACATTCCAAACAGTATATATTTATTTGACCCGAAATTATTCCAGGAGTGTATGCCTTCAAGCAGTGGCAGCGGGTATCTTAGTGCATTTATGCTAATAAAGAATAAAGTAATGGCTATAGTGAAAATTTAGGGAAAAAAATTGCTTAAGGCTTTGAGTAAGGGTCTATGTTGAATGATTTGCAAATAATCATTCAGCATAAAGAGACCATTTGCAACCCTATCACACTACACTTCTGTGTTGCTGCACTGTTATTTTGCTTTAAATGCCAGGTAACATTCTGGGAGTTGTAGCTTAGTGAGACCCAAGAGCTCTCTGGCTGGGAATTCTAAATGCCCTCCATAAACTGCAAATGCATAGCAGTTAAAGTGGGATAACAGTATGGTGTGATATGACCCTTGGAACAGCTTTGTTCTACTGCTGCTGAGCCAGCTTGGTTATTAGAATAAGAATCTAGTTGGAGAAAACATTTTGTGCCTAGACCTGTTGTGACTGCAGATGTAAAGCCTGAGTCTCACCTTGTGCAGGCTTGTGTTTTCTGCCTGTAGTAGGCGAGGGGAGTGAGCTGTATGTGAGGTTTTTGTATCACTCTTAGAACTACACACTCCGCAGCTGTGTAGTGAAACTGCACGGTTGCAGTACTGTAAAGGCTGGTGTCATATTAAAGAAAACTTGTAATATTTGTCATGTTTTAATCAGTTAATTACATCTTTAGCTTTAATGTAGTCAGTAATATTTTGAAACACATACTTGGATTTTGTTTACTTTTAAATCATATAATGCAGCAGTGCAATTTTGGGAACATGGTCTGTTGAGCAAGAGGAGAAATCTGATCTCAGAAGGTATCAACATAATATCGAAATTTTTTATCAACTTATTGTAAACTCTTAAGTACAATTAAGCCCCATTTTTGTTGATCAAAAGGGTTTTAACTATTGTAATTGATTAGAGATTGTTACTCCAATAAAACCTGTTAACAATTACTATGATGGTCAAAGTAATTCAGTTAGAGCAGTGGTTCTCAACCTGTGGGTCCCCACATGTTTTGGCCTTCAACTCCCAGAAATCCTAATAGCTGGTAAACTGGCTGGGATTTCTGGGAATTGTAGGCCAAAATACCTGGGGACCCACAGGTTGAGAACCACTGCGTTAGAAACACCCAAGACAATCTCAGGTAGAAGGCTTTGCCATCATGTTAGTGCTGTCCATGGTTCTTTTGAATCCTTGAGAAAGAAATCTAATTTTATAGTAAATTCCAGTCTCTTTGCATCAGCAATAATTATCGGCAATAATTAATCTTTGTCCTGCGGGGAGCAGGTAAAACCTGTTAGCAGGAATACTGAAATGTTATTTTGAAAGCTGTATGTGTTATGTATTCAAGCACTCTGTGAAATTAAACAGGATAGGAGAGAGTAAAGAAATTACTTTCCCTTGGGTGGCTTTGCTCTACATTATACACACAGCATGTGTTCTATGAGAAACCAATACATCTGTGGCTGTTTTGACATTGCAGTATTATTTTTGAAAGAAGTAATTGCATACTGAAGTAGTCTCCCCTTCAGACCTCCACAGTATCAGGGCCACTTTAGTCTTATGGTTGTCATTGGAACATAAGCTTGTCACTTGTGAGTCTTTGAGGCAGAGCAGCAGTTAAAATTCCCAAAATATCACTGTTCAATTAAGACAGATAGCTCAGGATAAAAACTGATAGATTTATATAACAAAATGAGATTTACTCCATATGTTGCAATAATTCTTCCCATGGAAGGCTGAAACTAAAGAAATGCCTTCTTATTCTATCTTTTTACAAATTTCTTCAGTGATTATAAAGAACCACATAGAGAAAAATAAACACTACATTTAAAAGTATTTTACGTATGCCTAGTACAGGCCCTTCTTGCTGGCCTGTAGTCTGAAGATAAAGACTGGACACAGTCTTTAGAGGAAATGTCATACTATCCTGGATTTTCATGATGTTGATATTGTACAAAATCCCTACTGGTGATGTAAGATTTCACAGAAAATGTCGTATTCAGTTATTGATTCTATCAGTAGTAGTATCTTCCTGAACCAGTTCTTTTGTTTGGTATTAGAAATGCTGTGCATCAAAGCTTCCATATGCACCTTCAAAGTTATTGTTCCTTATCTCTTTAGGCATTAAAACGTAATGTGTTACAGAATACCTTCCCATCTCTGATGTTCCCTGATATCTGTAGGAATCTACTGAGAGAGAGATCACTTTGGGATTTGGAGCAGATTGCCATTGATACACAGATGCCACAGAGACCTTTGCTGAGTCCTCTGAATTGGATGTGGCCTCAAAAGCCCTTGATCATATTTGGAATCATTGCAATATGGACACCTTGTGTCCAAGCAGTCATTGAATCCATGAGATTGGTCTGGGCCTTTTGTGAGCGATGTTGCATTCTCTCTGAAAGAAATGTGTTTGTGCCACTGGAAACCCAAGTGGTATGGATCATACTGTACCATGCTTTTGTGGCTTGTGTATAAGCGATCACCTCCTCTGCACAGAGGTGACTTTGCTACTGTGGGGAAGGCACTGGTAAGCTTGAGACTGGATTATTGTAATGTGCTTTCTCTGAGGTTGCCCTCAAGCTTGACCTGGAACCTCCGCTAATACAGAGCCTGATAGTCTGACTGTTGTTGAGAGCTGGTTCTTTTATTAACATGTAACTCCCTTCCTAAAAGAACTGTATATCTTGCTTTATTGCTGTTGGTGTGTGTTTAAGGCTTGGATATTAGTGTATAATGACACTAAGAACTTGGTGCCAAGATATGAATGTCTGTTATCCATTATATTAGCCATTGGGGTTGTTGTCAAGTGCTGCTTTTGTGCTTCTGAGATTTGATTGGTTGTCATTTGGAATAGAGCCTCTAATATTTCAGTTCCCACTCTGGAGTACCTACTACCACTTGGCCATAGGCATGGATTGATATTACCTTGTTTTTGATGTAAGCCCAAGGCACATTTTATTTAAACAAGCTTTATGTAAATGGAATACATGACATTGATTTATTGATGAAATTGATTCCATGCTTTCATTTTTTTCCATAATATTTTGATATCTTTATTGTAAGGAGCCCCCGGTGGCACAGTGGGTTAAACCCCTGAGCCGGCAGGACTGAAGACCGACAGGTCGCAGGTTCGAATCCGGGGAGAGGTGGATGAGCTCGCTCTATCAGCTCCAGCTCCTCATGTGGGGACATGAGAGAATCCTCCCACAAGGATGATCAAATCATCCAGGCGTCCCCTGGGCAACGTCCTTGCAGACGGCCAATTCTCTCACACCAGAAGTGACTTGCAGTTTCTCAAGTCGCTCCTGACACGACAAAAAAAATAAATCTTTATTGTACATTTTTTTGAAATCCATTTTTAAAATGTAAAGTACTTCATTTGATGAATAGAATTAAAATGAATGATATAAAGGGAGCAAACTAAGAAGAGATAACTGCCATCGGATACAGAGTGGAAAGTTTGTTTGGTCATTGTTTCTGTGAGTTTGTGTGTTTTATTCCTCTCTTTCTGTTTAGTTATTTTTAGTAGTCACATAATTGTAGTTTAGTAGTAATGGACATCTGTAGTTTAGTATACAGATGTGTAGTTTTGGTGGCTTTATATATCATTTGGGTGTTTTATTTTGGCCTTTTCCTAAATAATTTAAAAAACAAAATTAAATGTAAAATAATGTATAAAAGTAAGAAAGAAATTGCCCTTGCTGATAAAATAAGGAGTGCTATTTGAATAAGCAGGTCCTCTTTCTGTGCTAAATTATAGATCAGTTTTCATATCAGCTGTGTTAAATAAATGAATGAATGGTTGATTGATCTTGAGGCTGGGCAAGTAGAGGACAAAGTTTTGTTACAGCAAACTTTTTTTCTAAAATGTTGGAAAATTTAATGCTCCATCCATAATTGACTGACTTGACTCACATTTAGAGTTAAAAGTCTCATGACTGGTATCACATCATTTAGCAGTCAATTTTACTGTAGTTATTATAATTTTTCCAAAAATGTAGTCACAGATCTCTGTAGAATAGATTGGTTAAACTGTCAGAATCCTTGATTTTCAGTTCCTACACTGAATCCCCTCATTTTGATTTTTTAAATGAAAGCTAAGAAATTGCTCACCAAAGTTGTTTTTGTAGTAATACATGTCTCGAACACAGCTTAGGAGCTATGGCAGTAAATTGAAAAACATTCTCATTATGTATAACAGCCCCTAAACATTGAATAAAATGTTTTAAATCACATAAAGAAGATCACAATGTAATTGAAAAGTAACTTAAAACATCATTTCTATTGGAAGTACCTATAAAAATTGGTCATATTTTAGCAAAGGGGAAATGTCACAATTCTATCGTATAGGATGACCCTTTACCCTTGGAACAGTGTTTATTGTGTTTACCACCTAATAACAAACCATTTTCCCCTTTGGAACAACTGTTTGGGTTATGCCTATTGGTTGGCATTTGTTAATCAGCCACACTTTCTTAATTGGAGAACAGCTCTCATTACTTACCAGTTTAACAACAAATTTCCCCTTCTATGTTGATTTTCATTTAGTAGTCCTGGCTAGTAAGTATAGCAGTATATATAAGTAAAATTAGATGTGTGTAGTGAACATTTTTCTTGTCTGGATCCAATGATGTTGATTCTACTGATAGAATCAACAGAATTTGAAAGGGGGAGGGGCTTCTGCAATCTCAGGGGTCAAAAAATGTGCTGTTGAAGACTTCGAAACTGTCCAGGTCAGGTGCCTGAGGAGCACTCAGGGCTGTTGAAATGCAGGGAAGAAAGTTCCACTGCACATCCATTTTCAGTTTACTTAAAAAGGCGTCTGCTTACGAAATCCAAAGTTATACAGCTTCATCATCTACAGCAAAAAAAAAAAAAAAAGGCATCCCAATTTATGAAAACTGCATTCTTTCCTTTCAATTTGTGGTCATACTCCAGCACACTAAAATGCCCCAGACAGCTGGAAATCCTACTTAGCTTTCCAACCCTACTTGTATGATTTTCCAATCATTTTTCTTCTCTGTCATAAAAAATAAAGTTTGAGGGTATCAAGATGCTGAGCTGTATGTCAATTATCCAATTCTGTGTTCTCGTATTACAACTGCAACTCCTAATACTTGCTGAAACTTTACCTTTAACTTTACTTATTTTTAAAGAATTATGTATGTTGGCCTTTTAAAAAAAGGTGTAATGTATATTCTGTCCTTGGAAATAGTTATCCTTCGGTAGTTTACAGTATAGTAAATAATGTGCATGTTCTCCAGTTGCATTCGTGTACTTTAATAAGAGGTTGTTTGCAAAACTGGATCTGTGCAATGAATAAATAAAATCTGTTAAATTTTTTATTAGAATAAATTCCTTATGGGTAGTGACCTAGATATGTCATTCCTGATAATGTACAATCCATAGTTAATTTAGGGTGATTGGGTATTTTGGTATTTTTCTGCCCATTTTAATTATCCTATTGATTTTTCTAGTAACAAAATTTATTTATTTATTTATTTACTGTCCTTGTATACCGCCGTTTCTCAGCCTAATTGGCGACTCAACGCGGTTTACAACAAAATATACAGTGCACAGTATACAATTAAAACCATAAAAAACATAATACACAATATTACACGAAATCACAATCCAATACATCTCCTAACTAAAATCGTGGTCCAATTGCATCATCCATATTACCAATCCGTAATCAACACATTCATTGCACCGAATTAGCCAAATGCCTGCTTGAACATCCAAGTTTTTAGTCTTCTTCGGAATACCATCAGCGAGGAGGCTGATCTTACCTCCATGGGAAGGGCGTTCCAGAGCCGAGGGGCCACCACCAAAATTGAATGAGAAATAATACAGATAATATACTGAAGTGATTTTTGCTGTGATTAATACTGCAAATAGGGTTGTTGAACTTAAATTATAAACTCAAAAATAGTAATAGTTTTGATAAAAGTTGTATAAAATTCACTGAACGTTTTTTTTCGTTTTTAGGAAACACTCCTTTACATCTTGCCGTGATGCTGGGGAATAAAGGTTGGTAGTTCTGTTCCTATGTTCCTATTTTTTAAAACCAAATGTCATATTACATAGAAATCTAGACTAGATTTAATGTAACAATTTCTTCTCTCTCTGTTCATATTGAAATGTGTTTAAATGTGGATATAGATAGAACAAGCAAAAAGTTCCTCTTCTCATCTTCTATCAACTTTCAAAACCATGAATGATTGGAGGATGAGGGACCACTGACAGGAAACAAATGTTTTCTCTTTGCAAATATACTCATCCCTGTCTTTCCTTATCAACTTTTCCTGTTTTAGGGAATGGCATCTGGGGGGCCCTTCCATACAGCCACATAACCCAGAATAGCAAGGCAGAAAATCCCACAATATCTGCTTTGAACTGCTTTGTATGAGTCCACACTGCCATATATTCCAGTTCAAAGTAGAAAATGTGGGATTTTATTCAGCTGTGTGGAAAGGGCCTGGATTTGCTAAATACGACCCACTCACTCTATCCCATTTTTTTTACTTGCTGCTGAATTAAAACTGAGAATATCAAGCAAATTTCTGTTAATGTTTGATAAAAAGTTAGATTTCATAATGGAGGAAAGTGAAAAGCAGGTCTCTCAGGGCCCTTTGACACAACCATATAACCCAGAATATCAAGACAGATAATCCACAATATCTGCTTTGAACTAGGTTATCTGAGTCCACACTGCCATATAATCCAGTTCAAGTTTAATTTTATACAGCTGTGTGGGAGGGGCTTCAGGCATCTCTTCAAGGACTGGTTTCTTTTAGCATGTTCATGATGATCTGGATGTGAAGATTGCTGGTGACAGTACATTATTTAGGGTGGTGATAACACAATTGGATTTTGAAGAGCTCTGAACGGATTTCTGCAAACTGAGAGAATGGGCAGTAAAATGGGAAATGGGAGTCATTATATGTAAGTGTAAAGAGATGCCTATTGGGAAATTCTGCCACAGGGGAATTGTGAGTGGGAGGTTTGGGGAGACTAATATAGCCCTCAGAGGCTGCATGTGCCCCATGGATTATCTCAATGGCTGGTCTAGATATGGTTATGTTTTGAATGTGCCCATTAAGGTCAATGGACCTTACATTGTTGATGACTAAATTATGATTTATTAATTTTAGTAGATCTTCTGTAAACAGTGTAGTCGCTCAGTATGTTGAAAGCGGAACAGACTGTACTAACTCTGTTTCAATCTGCCCTGAAGATAGAAAATGCAGGCACTTAAAGAAGCATGTTTCTTTCCTTCCTTCCTAAACCTACCTGCCCATGCCACTAGCAGTGACATCATTTCTTCTGTTGATCAGGTGTGAAACTTGGTTGTGATTCTTGTTCACTATAGTTCATTCATTTTTTTCACCAGGTCATATTACTTCAATCTTTACAAAAATATATATATTAAAACAAATTAAAAAATAATTTGCATAGAAACTGTGATAGCACTTGTTTTTTTTAATTCAAAAGTATTGTTCTGGTAGATACATCAAAAATCCAGTGACAATCTAATTGAAATGAAAAGCTGTAGAGAGTGCTACAGAAAAATAAAGTTTTTATATTAGATTGTAAAACTAGAAGCCTGTTTTTGAATTGCAGCTTAGCTCTCAAGAACTATATTGGAAAATTGCTCCTTTTTTCATACAATAATGCAAGCTTCCCATTGTCCAAGGTGACTGAAAAAATGATAACCTATATTTTATAGTAAATAGTCAGTTTAGGATGAAATCCTGGATTAACTCAACGTAGACAGTAGTAGAGTAATAAGGTTCATTTCGGATTAGCAAGGCATCCAGAGATAACACAGAGAATATGCTGAATTTACTGGTTCAGACTTGAAACGGTTGCATAATAGTCAAACCTTCAGCCTAGATATGTGATAGTACTATGGCTTGTGTACGCTTGTGTTCTGTTCATTTTAATGAAACTGAAAATAATCAGATCATAGGGTTCCAATTTTAACTAGGTCAGGTTGTAATCTCACTTGAAGTGCTGTACAGATAAATAGAAATTTTGTTAAGCAGATCAGTGTGCTCTTGAAGGAGGAAGGAACTTTCAGGGTCTTGTGAGGTCTTTAGTAAAGAAAATTTAATTAAAATGAGTGTTGGGCACTATTTTAGATGATAGCTTACTGAATATCATCATTGAATGAAAATATCTATCTCTTTATTGCAAATGGATCGGTGACCATGGAAGAAAGAGGGTGTTTGTCAATGATAAAGACACATATCTTTTCTAGAAAATATTGGGCTTAAAGAGTTTCTTAAACTAGTTTTGATTGTTGGTTGTATGTATGTGTGCAATTCCTTAAGCAGCACTGTGACAATATCCAGAGCAGCACTGTGAAGGCACTACTTGTAAACAGTAATGGGGACTGACGATTGTTCACAGACAACATAAGGATTCACAGATCTTTTGTCCTTTATCCATAAAGGAGACTAAATCTTTGGGCAGGATAGGAAGTAGACTTGGCTTCAAAGGATGGGCTGAATCAACATTCTTATGAATATTTGTTCTTGAAGAAGATTTGTACAAGAAAACCCCTTTTCTTGCAGTTCCTCTTACTGGATTTGAAAATTTCAGAAGTTTTGTTGCTTTCTGTAACAGAAGAGGTTTCTCTTGTTTCTTTCTCATCTATGCTAAGCATTGTTAGCAGGGATGAGCAGAGAGCTGTCAAAAGTAATGTGTCTGACACTAGACTAGATCAGCCTATTTAACTAGCAACAGGAGAAGCAAAATAAATGACTGGCAACAAAATACAGGAAAATAATTTGTAGAATCACTAGAATGGTAACATTCTTGGTGTTTCTGAGGCCATGGAGAAGAAGGTTTTTGGGGGAGGGGAGTGGAAATCTTTAGAAAAATTTAGGAGGAAATGCGATAGTATAGTTCAATCTCTGTGTTCACAGATTCTTTATTTACAGATTTAATTATCTATGAGTTTACTTTTTTTTTAATCCCAAAAATCAAACCTCAGTTTTGCTGTTTTATGTAAGGAATACCATTTTATCATGCATCTGCATATAATGGGACTTGAATATTCATGGATTTTGTTAAAATAATAAATAATAATAAACTTTATATCCCATCCCTCTCCCCAAAGGCACTTGGGGCAGCTCACAACACAGAAATAATATACATAATATCAAAAAAAGGAGTAAATAAAAAACAAAACACAATAAAATGTAGCTAAACAGAGCTATCTACAGAGGATCCTGAAACAAAACCTCAGCAGACACTGAGGGGCCAGTGCACATTTAAGCCTTTTACAAATTTGAAAGTAGTTTTATTATTTTAGGAGCATCAAATGCGTTATAATTGTATTTGTCCTATAGGGCTCCTTAGTGGTGCAGCAGGTTAAACCACTGAGCTGCTGAACTTGCTGACCAAAGGGTTGGTGGTTCAAATCCGGGAGCAGGGTGAATTCCCACTGTTAGGCTCAGCTTCTGCCAACATGCAAATGTGAGTAGATCTATAGGTACCACTTCTGCGGGAAGGTATCAGCACTCTATGGACAATGCTGGTTCTTCGTCTTAGAAATGGAGATGAGCACCTCCACCCCGAGTCGGACATGACTAGACTTAATTTCAGGAGAAACCTTTACCATCACCATATTTGTCCAATACATGTCATACTGGAGTATGAAACATGTTCAGGCAGTAATTTGACATAGAACTTGCTTTTTAGAATATTTTTAAATTAAGAATGGAGGTATGAGATTTTGAATTGTAAGGAACATTTCATTAATGTAATTATTCTAAAAGAAAACATTGCATAAGCTGTTTTCCCCATTCCCCCCTCCCCCCTCTTCTTCTATTTTTTTCTGGTATTTCACATCTCTAGGAATCATTCCTGCTAGAGATAAGAGATTGGTTAGCTCTGCATGTGGAAGATTATATACCCATTAAGGGAGACAAGGCAGAGTAAAGGAACTGAAGCAAATGTAGTTGTGAAAAGTAGGAGGTTTGGTGGGTTTTTTCCTTTTTTCTTCCTTTCTTCATTAATACTGATCACAATGGCTAGATACTGTGAGTAAATCCAGTTATTAGTTTGAACTAGAGTATGCCATTTTCTTGCAGGCAACAGAATAAACTGATTCGAATGCTTTAGAGTGATTCACAACAGCTCTTATTGTGTAATTGGTTAACTATTATGGGAACAGGATTCAACAGTATACAACATTCAAATGCCTTAGAGTGATTCACTATAGCTCTTCTTGTATCTTTCTTAATCCATACCATATTTTTTAAAACTCTAAAAAGTTTTATATAAAACAACTTTAAAAGCTTGGATTGTTGTAGGTTTTTTTGGGCTATATGGCCATGTTCTAGAAGCATTCTGGAACAATGCTTCTAGAACATGGCCATATAGCCCAAAAAACGTACAACAACCCAGTGATTCCAGCCGTGAAAGCCTTCGACAATACATTTAAAATCTTGCTTTTTAGATTAAATTCCTGATTTCGTAATTAAATTTGAAAGACTTTTTTGTGATTTGAAAAATCATCAGTGGATACAGATTATTTCCAGAATATTTTCTTTCAGGTGTGAATTCCCTCTATATTTATGATAACTCTTGAGATATTGAGTTTAATAACGTTTTAGTGTTGCTTAGATTAGTGAAACAAGATTCCTGGTATCAGTTTTGATTTGAAGGCATGTTTGATTGTTGTGTCTATGTTGCGGCTTTGAATTTTTGCCCATTTGTAAGCCGCTTTGAGTCCCCTTCGGGATGAGAAAGACGGAATACAAATAAAGTAAATAAATTAATAAACATGTTGAGCTTCCTTGGGATTCAGTGTAAGTCTGCACCTTCAAGTCACCTGTTGACTTATGATGACCCTATGAATTTCATGGGCTATCTTAAACAAGGAATACTCAGGTGGTTTTGCCAGTCCTTCCTCTAAAATATAGCATAAAGCATCTGGAGTAGGTGATCTCCCACTCAAGGACTAACCAGAGCTGCCCCTTCTTAACTTCTAAGATCAGATAGGATCTAGTGCTCTTAAAGTATGTAGATAGCTGAGTATTCAGCCTGCCAAATTGGAAAATCCCAAGAATAATTTTTGTTGTACATTTTTCATTACAATTTTACATCCATTGTTTGAAAAACGGGGTCCTCAGCTGTATTGATTTAATGTGCTGCTTTATTGAGGAGAAGAAGAATATCATTATTTTACAATATTATTTTTGTCTATCTGTCCATGGCATTTTGCAGCTGAAGATTTTGGTAATCTTATTTGGAAAATAATTACACTTTCTTACTTTGTTATAGAATGTGCCCACTTGCTTTTGGCCCACAATGCTCCTGTGAAAGTGAAAAATGCTCAGGGATGGAGTCCTCTTGCAGAAGCCATCAGCTATGGAGATAGACAAATGAGTAAGAAAAGAAACTGCCACTGTGTTTAACATAAATGTACAGGAAAACCATAGCGTTTAAAATCAGATGTTTATTGCAAATCCTGACTGACATGTAGACTATAAGCATTTTATCTTAAGATCATTTCTTGTGTTTTTATAGATGAATTTTAAATAATTTTAAATTGCTTTAAATATTTGTGCTAGATTCTTTTATAGATTCTTAGGATAAACGACAATAATTATGACCAATGATTTTTTAATCTTCCTTGCTTCAGTGGCATCAACATTAATATAAAAGAATGGGGAGGGATTAAGAAAGAGGTATCACCATTAATTATTACTATGTCAAGAATTACATCACACATTGGTTAACTAAAAGAAAACCAAGCATTTATTAAAATTCACTTAAGAATTCACAAAATCACTTAACTGTAGAAGAAGAAATGATTCCATAGTTCAGCTCCTCCAACCCTCTACCAATGCAAAAATCCATAGCTATGGATATAATCCATGGCTTACAGTATGTTTATTTAGTTACAGCACTGCTAAGGAAACTGAAACAACAGTCTAGGGAAAGCGTTGAAGAAAAGCGACCTCGATTATTAAAAGCCCTGAAGGAGGTAAGTTTGTCAGGATTTTGTCTTCTCTCGTTTGAGAAAATTGGGATAATTAGCCTTCTAATAACTTGAGAGTTACTGTAGTCGGAGGTTTGTTACTTTGAGAAACTGCTGTTTTAGTTTCAGTTCTTTCAATCAGACTTACCCAACCATTCAGTGAGTTCCACATTTCCTTCCCTCTCCCTTAGAATAATCAGTTCATTAATAATTCGCCATGATAATAAGGTGGTCTTAGAGGAAACTTGGCAACTTGATATCACCTGTAGTCCTGTGTTGCATATTGCCGTAGAATGTGGAGTAAGAACAACAAAGTATTTTCTTCTCTGGCCCTCTTATAATACTTTTCTTGTCTCTGCTGCTTTGACATTTCCTTTATTATGGGATTTTCCCACAATTAATGGACTTTTGCATTTGCATGGCATATGTATACTGCCTTGCAAAAGTATTCATGCCTTTGGATTTTTTTTTTCACATTTTGCTGTTACAGTCCAGAAATGATACTGGTGTAATAGGCACTATTACCATTTATTGTACACAGGATACTCAACACTGTTTAAGTATAAGGTATTTTTATTTAAAATAAAAACAGGACACATATTAATTGCATAACTGTTCATCCCTTGATTTGGTAGAAACACAGCAATCATAGCTGTGTGTCTTCTTGGATAATTTTCTATGAACTTGGAGCATTTGGATATTTCCATTTGTGTCCATTTATTTTGACAGTTTATACTCATTCTTTTTGGCATTGTCAGGAAGGGAAGAGGAAGAAAACCTCAGTGTGGCATTTAATTTCGTGTGCCAGCGATATTTCATCCAGATTTCCAAAACAACCTATAATTAAATTTTTCATGCATACCCTCATTGAAACTGTACAAATGTGACTTTTCTATCCTCAGTCTGGACAAGTGTTCCCTCTTTTATAAGTAAAAGCTGGTCCTGACTGGACACTCCCATTATCCCACATCTTTCTTCAGATTATTCAGTTTTGCCTTTTAAGTCAGAAGAAGGAATTTTATAGCCCTCCCCATACTGTTGGACTGCAACACCCAGCATTCCTTGTTAGGGCTGCTGGCATTTCCAGTCCAGCAACATTTGAAGAGTTGGAAGATTGCTGTCTCTGCTTTAGGTGTGACTTAAACAAGTGTTGGTGACCAGGAGTTTGACATATATGATGTATGAAATTCTTTTCATGTGTATATTGCTGGAGAGAAAGGCTACGTAGGTTGTTGGAGCAAAGATAGTGTCCCTCCTGTGCCAGTTTCATTTGTTTCTGTGGTAGATGCACATGAGTTCAAGCCCAGGAGTTTCTATGCACAGGAGTTTCCATGTCTCCAGCATAGAAAGCAAACATTCTGGTTAAGAAAGAAAGGGATAACTATGCTTCTGCTGCCAATTTGTGCCGATATTTTTCTCTGCTTAGGATTCAAATAAGAACTTTGCTGATGAAATACAGAAACAGGAGCAAAGTGAGCTTGCAGAGGATCATAGCTTCTCTTCTTTGCTACCATTAAGGAAAGAAGATTCATCCCTCCACAACAATCATACATGTGGCCCCTTCCTCCTTTGGAAAATGGATTTTAAAGAAAGCAGGAGTAGTAATCGGGTTTTTTTATGTTAACACTTAAAAGATTTCTTTTTTTTTCCCAGCTAGGTGACTTCTATCTTGAACTTCACTGGGATTTTCAAAGTTGGGGTAAGTTTTTGGTAAAGGTTAAAGTTTCCAAAAGAGTGACTTGCTAAGTGGGATGACTATATGACTATGCTCATACATGTCTTAGGTTGGCCCTTGTATTTTTAAATTTGTAATTCAGTAGATATTCCACTCTGTAGTTTATAGTCAGTTATGAACAATATATATATATATATATATATATATATATATATATATATAGAGGTATTATATATGAATTAAAGCAACATGTGAACAATTTGTGCTGAGCCTCTCAACTGGATGATGATATAGATACAGTAAGGTCTTCAGAAACGCTTTTATGTACTTAAGACTTTTTTTACTTGTATTGACTGTTATAAATGATTATGGTAGACTGTTGTAATCTATGATCACAGCAGCCAAATTGCTGTACGCACAGAAATGGAAAAATTCAACATTACTGAGAAAAGAAGACTGGATGATAAAAATGATGGATTTGGCTGCGGTGGATAAATTAACTTGCTTATTAAAAGAAATGATGTTTGGGAAAAAATGAATGATTGGAAAACTTTTATTGACTTTTTGCATGAAGACATAAAAGATTTACCCATTTTTAGACTTGAAGACTAATTTGAAAAGTGTTTTTGCTTGAGAAGAGTCAGCAGTAAGAAATCTAGAGGACGATGCCTGTATTATTCGTTCTAGCTAAATGAAGATAGAGCAGAAATCAATAACTTCTCTCTTTTCTTTTATAATTCTTTTTTCTATATTTCTTTCTATTTTTTTGTTTTCTTAGCATCTTTTATGTTTCAATTTTAAACTTATATTCTCTTGATTTTTTAATTTTTTACTTTTAATGTAACTTTAAAATCATAGATAGATAGATAGATAGATCGATAGATCGATAGATCGATAGATCGATAGATCGATAGATCGATAGATCGATAGATCGATAGAAAGGATTTGATGTAAGCCTTATATGATTAGGAAGGAAACATACAGTCAGTCAGTCCCCAAGTTAGTAATATCTGATTTAACAACAATTCATAGTTAGGAATGGAAGTGAGACAACAGAAAGTGACCGAAACCTACCTCTAGGTAGAGAAATTCACTGCTAAAAGAGTTATCATGGGGAAAAGGTGCCTCCAGTAAAGCTTAATCACTAATCTTTGTTTCCACAACTAGCCAAATTTTTCAAAATCCAATTATCACAGGAACAGAAAGTGGGTTGAAATTTTCTAAACAGAGGCACAGACAGCAAAAAGGTGTTAACCTTTCATTATGCTATCCAAAGCTTGTATGTGTGTGTGGTGTTACACTTTAAAAATTACCTGTTCTGACTTACATACAAATTCAAATTAAAAACAAATCTACAGAACCTATATTGTTTGTAACTTGGGGGCTGCCTGTATTCAAATGCTTCCGCACAATCTGGAACACTGATCATGCAGAGATTGAGTTTCATGGGAGCATTTATGCATACGAGTGCACCAATGTTCCCTTCTTGCAAATACTGGCAGAATAGAAATTAGTATATAATGTCTAAGTTAGTAGTAATTACCAAAATTTGCAAACTCATATTTTTAGCACCAAAATAAGGCTTTACTTGGAGCTAGTTCTGGTCTAATTTAATATGAAAACCCGCATTTGTGGTGATAACTATGACTTAATGTGGATTATTTTTTCTCTTCAAATATATCCCTTCTCCACCTTTTCAATGTTAATAGTGGCTGAAATTTTCTCTACCCAAGTTCATCTTATCTACAGTTTTCAAATCCATTTTAAGGCATAGTTAACATAATTTAGATATTTAAGATAACTGTGGTTTAAATTAGACCTCATTAACTTGTCGCTGTCCAGGTATTTGGTCCTCCAACTCCCAGAAGCTCAGGCAGTTTGTTCAATGGCCAGGAATTCTGGGAGCTGGTCCAAAACTCCAGGGGAGGGCCACAGCTTAAAGAGGCCTGGTTTAAATAGTTAAAACTAACTATGGTTAGTATGCAATTGAATCAAAATACTTCATCTGTGTTGAAAAGGGAAAGGGAAAGGATTTATGTGGGTGGGGAAGGAGCATAAAGGCCTGAGGGAGTTCCCAGTCACTTCAAGGATTGATTGCCAAATATTCTGTGCATTAAACCTGTGTTGTAATAAGAATGGCATACTTATTCTTTTATGTAACATGAGAGATAGCATTTTAATGTTATCTTGGTAGAGCATAAAGTTCGGGTATTCCACAACAGAGAAGAGAGGGAATGCTGTAACCTTGTTCCTCAAACTACTTTGCTGGTTTAAAACTGTATCAGCTCTAAAACTTGCTAGTTAGGAATGGTACATGGGCATTTAAATAATTAAGACATTTTCGATTAATCTGTCTTAAAAGCCAAATAACCTTGGAGTGTACACTTAGTATAAATGTTAGTATAAATGTAAAATGCTTCAGGTGTCATGATCTCATGGTCTTGAAACTATGACTAACACAGAGGTCCCCAAACGAAGGTTCGTGGGCCGGATGCAATCCTCCAGGATCCTTTACCAAGGTCCTACCCTACACTTTAGACTTAGAGTTACCCTGAAATGACTTGAAGGCACACAACAATCCTAATAAACTTGACTATCTCATCAGCCAAAAGGGGGGCACACTTCCCATTAAAATGCTGGCAAGTTTATGTTTGTTAAAATTTCTCTTCATTTTAAATTTTGTATTCTAACACATTCTTTTTGCACTACAAATAAAATATGTGCCATATACATAGGAATTCATACTCTGCTTGAAAAGTTTGAGGACCTCTGCTCTAACAGATATACATCACTGTTGTTAAAAATCAATTGATGTGACATACATTTTAACAGCATCTCATATTTGTTCAATACAGTGCCTTTACTTTCCCGAATCCTGCCTTCCGATGCATGTAAAATATATAAACAAGGTATAAATATCAGGTAAGAATAGTCTTCACTTTTGGTTATGTTAAAGAAATACTGCTGAAATAATTCTAACATTATAAAATTAATATTTCAAGAAATTAAGATTTCATTTTCCTGTGTTCTAACCACTTCTGGGCACTTTTCACAGCCTGATAATTTCATGTCCTGTTGGGATTAAAAAGGAAGATAAGAGTTTATGGATGAATTGGGAAGAGCCATCTACAGAACACTCAAAGGGCTTTTTGTACTGTGTATTTTTACAGTTCTCTAAAATGAATGTGTAAACCTTACTCTGAATATTTCAACAATACTTCAGGCTTACACTTAGCTGTATAACTCTCTATGACTGCAAGGAAAAATTAGTATGGTTAAGCATACACATGTATTTGTATGTACATGTGTATTTGTGGACATACTGACATAGAAGTGTGTGCTGAAGCACACTTACAGACTTCTTTGCTTGAAATTTTCAGTATGTTCTAATTTATTATAAAATGATGGGGAGATAACTGCAGGAGAGAGGTTGATGTTTTGTGTCATGATTTGCCTTATATGGCCCAAGAACCCATCTCCCAGACACTTCATCACCACCTTTTGCTTCCTGTAGCAAACACACAACTCCCAACCAAACTACTCAACAGCCTTCTTCATCTTTTCATAGTATCTCAACTTTATCTCGCCAATTTGTCGTATATCTGCCTTCCCTTTCTTTATTTCACTCTGCTTCAACTAATCTTGTCTTCTTGATCTTCATGCCTCACTTCCCCCTTGACCTACCTTCATAACTTTCTAAGAGTTCTAATTGGTTGGCTCTTCATGAGTCTTTTTTATGTGATACTGTTTTCGTGGCTGGGTTACTTTAAGAATCTTCTCAAGGGTTTTAGCAGGTGTGGTCTCAGCATGTTGACATCACCACTTAGAATGGATTTTTAATCAAGACCAACTTAAAGTAGGCGTTATTTATTTATTTATTTATTTATTTATTTATTTATTTCTGCCCCGCTTTATCTCCCCAAAGGGTACTCAAAGCAGCTTTACATAATAACATTTACATAGTCATTTAAAATATAAATGGAATTTAAAAATTCCCAATTAAAACAAATTCAAAGTTAAAAACCACAGCACCAGCTGAAGTTTCCGAGCACTCTTCAAAGGCAGCCTCACATAGAGAGTGTTACAGTAATCTAGACGGGATGTACTACCGTGGCCGGATCTGGCTTCTCAAGGAATGGGCACAGTTAGCACACAAATTTTAATTGTGCAAAGGCCCTCCCGACCACCCCCTGATACTTGGGCCTCCAGGTTCAATGCCAAGTCCAGGAGAACCCCCAAACTGCGAGCCTTTGTTTTCAGGGGAGTGTAACCCCATCCAGCACAGGTTGAATCCCTATTCCTTGGGCTACCTTCTGACTGACCAGGAATACCTCTGTCTTGTCTGGATTAAGTTTGAATTTGTTTTTCCTCATCCAATCCATTATGGATGACAGGCACTGGTTTAGGGTCATGACAGTGAAAAGGAGTAGTAGAGCTGGGTGTCATCCTTATATAGGTGGCACCATACTCCAACACTCTAGATGACCTCTCCCAGCGGTTTCATGTAAATGTTAAACAGCATTGGGAAGAAAATGGAACCCTGAGGAACTCCCACGGATCAATGCTGGGGATTCGAACAGGAGTCCCCCAGCACCACCACCTGGGTACGGCCCTCCAGGAAGGACCAGAGCCACTGTAAAACAGTGCCTTCTAGTCCCATCTCAGTGAAATTTCTGTTGAATTTCAAATAAAGGTGTTGCTTTTTCTGGTTTCTGTCATATTAAGTCTTCAGACTTTGACTATAATGGAGGGTGCTCTTTGTAATACAAGAATTACAGTTTTGGATGGCGTGAGTTTAATCACGGTTTTTACATTGTGTTATTTATGGGTGGGTTTTAATATAAATATTATTGTATTAATGATGTTTTAATTTTTATGTTTTATGTCTAAATGTTATTTTATGTTTAATATGGTTAGGTTTTTAATTTATAGTTGTACGTTATTACACAGCTATTATGTTTGGTTTTCATGTATACGTATGGCATTGAATTTTGCCTTTATTATGTTAGAAACCGCTTTGATTTCCCTCAGGAGGAGAAAAGCGGTATATAAATGTAGTAAATAAATAAATAACTCCTCTGGGTAACTCAAGTATTCAAATGTTTCCACAGGCTTGACACAACACTTATAGATTTTACTGACATGAAGTGCCAACGAGGGGACTTGAGCTTCATTTTCAATGGTGATGCCGCACCCTCTGAATCCTTTGTAGTTTTAGACAATGAACAAAAAGTTTACCAACGAATACATCATGAGGTAAGCTACAGTATGGGCAATAACTATATATGAGACTGGATATTTTCATATTTTGATCTCAATAAATCTAATGCTTAGACCTCATCTACACTGACCAGTTAATGCAGTTTGAAACCAGTCTTGTAGAATGTGGTTTTGCTAAGTAGATGATCACATAGGAAGTTCTGAAAGCAGTTCGAGGCCTTGGATGTTGGTTGCAGAAGCCACAGAGCACTGATGCACATTAAGGGCTTTTTGTCATGCTTTTGAGGGAGTTTGTTGTCTAGCTGCCACAACTTGAAGCTAACTTCGAACTGTATTAAACAGCCAGTGTAGACAGGGCCTTAGTGTTCAAAAGTGTACAAGTCGCTTATGTGTGAAATGGCCTCCTAGAAGATAACTACCTGACATCCTCTTTAGTAAACTTGAAATTCAATGTAACCATCTTCCTTTTCCAGCAAGCATTCTTTCCTTGATTTTTACCTCCACCTTTGGTTTTACTGTTTATGTTTGGCATCTTGTAGTTTGAAAAATTAGAAGGCTGCAAGAGGGAAGTTTGCTCAGTTCATTTTCAAAGATTCTGTTGCACATGTATAACTCTAAGGAGAAACTTAAATAGAAGTGCAAGTACCTGAAAGCGTAGCATATGTTTATATTAATTATATGGTATCTGTGTAGAGGGTGATGTACCCCCATTATTGCAGTAAATTCCCAAGGTAATCATTTGATTATTAAAAACCTTTTTATTATCTGGGGAGAAGGTTGATGGGGTTGAAGAACACTTCAGTTTGAGAGTTTAAACACAGAATGGGATATTTTCTCTCAAAGGAATCTGAAATGGAAACAGAGGAAGAAGTTGACATTTTGATGAGCAGTGATATTTATTCAGCAACATTATCAACCAAATCAATTACCTTCACACGTGCCCAGACAGGATGGCTTTTCAGAGAAGATAAAACAGTAAGATGATCTGTATCTGAGACAAGGATGGGAAATACATTGGATTAGGGGCTAGATTGTCCTGGAAGTCCTCTTGGGTTGCGTATGAAAGGAGGCATAACCATGCAATTAACATTGTGGGCTTTGTTTACACTTTTGGGGAAAATTATATACAAAATAATGTTCCTGTTGGAGTTTATCTCATATGGCCTAGTGGGAAGACACAGGGTGGGTTGAAGCAATATGGAGTTGGCACTATCTCTCAAAGGCTGCTATAAGCACACTCTTGTAGTTATTAATGTATTTATTCCATTCTATGATTCACTTCTCTTAAAATGGGGTGCATCTTAGGTTGGGATCACATTACCATTGTAGAACAGAGGCTTTTGTCTCCCTATCATCCAGTTTGCTTCTGCAGAATTCTGAGAAATATAGTTTAAGGAAGCCAAGAGTCCTCTTAATTGAGAATTCCAAAGGCCTCCATTTGATAACAGTAATGTGATCTCATCCTTCAAACCACAGATGCATCTTTTGCATTTTTGTTGTTGTTGGTGGTACTGAAATTAGGGAGCGTCTAACAATTGATAGCATCTTACAATTGAAGAATTACAATATATCAGTTCTTGTGTATTCACCCACATCCTTTCATCTTGAAGAAGGGGAGGGGGGACCAAATTCTTAGTTTAGTACTCCTGGAGTATCCCTGCTCTTGCCTCTAGTTTCTGACTTGAAATAGCTTAGACTATCATTTTTGAAAGAGGGTGAAGAGCTCAGGTTAAGCATATGGTAGACTATTTGCAAGCTAGATGATAGACCTGTGGGTGGTGGTTCCTGTCCCTTGCTAGAAGATGTCCTTTTCTCTTGTGCTTCATAATGACGGCAGTAGGGGGAAAATAGTTCGGTGTGTTTGCAGTCTCTGTTTGGACCAAGAGACGTTGAAAAGATTGTAGAAGAAGGACTGCAAAACTTGAAGAATTAGGAAATTGGGGCTACAATAGATAGTGAGAATGGTAGGCAAGGAATAGTAAAGTGGTTGTCTAGTGACATTGTTCTTTTTTTAAAAAAACATTGTGTCTTATGCACTTTTTTATTTGCAGGAAAGGGTAGGAAACTTTTTGGCAGACTTCTACCTAGTTAATGGGCTTGTGTTAGAATCGAGGAAAAGACGAGAACATCTAAGTGAGGAAGACATCCTTCGCAATAAGGCTATCATGGAAAGTTTGAGTAAAGGTGGAAACCTGATGGAACAAAACTTTGAGGTATACTTAATTTCTGTTACATTAGGCATTCTCAATCATTTAAAGCTGGCAGGAAATCAATTTGCATTAGCTATCTATCACAGTTCCTTAAACAATGGTTAAAATATGAAATAATATATATCTGTGTCAGATTTAAACATTGTTAACACTAAATATTGCCAGAGGTAGGTTTTTTGCCCTTCCATATTTTTACTTATATGCACAATTCTAACTTCTAGAAAGTTAGCTCTGTGAGAATGTTGAGGGCAGAATTCATTCAGGTACATCCTGTTTGTATTTTAAATTATTTCAAATGGAATGTAGTGATCATCCATTGCAGTTCCTTTCAGATGGTTTCAACTCATTCCTCTTCAGATTAACAAATGAGCTCCACTTTTGAAGAAAAGTACTTGAACTATGCTGATAGTCTATGAAATGTTACTTCAATTTACAAAGAATACCATGTATTTTGTTTAACAGCCTGCCAGGAGGCAGTCTCTTACGCCTCCCCCACCCAACACGATTACGTGGGAAGAGTACATATCTGCAGAAAATGGAAAGTGAGTATTAATACATATGATGATAAGGTTATTTTCAAATTATGTAGAAGCAAACGTTACCAGAACCAAAAATGCTGTGCTTTTCTGGAATTATCAAATACCAGATTCCACCTTATTTTTCAAAATGTGTTTCTACATAGAATGTAGCTATATGTTTTATTTTACTGCCTCTATTAGAACAGCATCAAAGCAACAGCTGAAGCAAGAATAGCTTTTCCGTTCGGGTTATGCGAAGTAATCACATAGTTTCTGCTTTGGACTGCACTTGATGTGTGTAAAAGTGCACAGTTGTGAAATGTAATAACGTGTGAGACATGCCATGACAGCCACATTTCTTGTATAAGATTTTGCCCTTAGCTAACTCCACAGTTCCTTTTCTGTTGTGTCTAGTCTAGCAAAGAGTATGCAAAATCATTTGTCCTGTATGTAAGAGCAGTTAGATTAGCTAAAATCTAATGTGTTTGAACACAGATATGTCTGCTTGGAATTTTGCTTGCAGACTTAAAACTCGTATATGGGCTTCTCTGCTGGTTGTTGGTCCCCCCCCCCCCTGTTTTTAGCTTGTTCATTCAGTGAGATAAAATTAAGCATGGACCTAGCTTTCACATCAAATCCTCTGACTAGATCTGATTCTTAATTTTGCAGTTATTTTGGTAGTTTGAGAAGTAATTTTTGTTCTCTTTACTGAACAGCAGTTGTCAGCACCTAGAGGAAATAACTGAGTAACCATTATATGCAGTATGAGGGAGCTATGGGTAAAAGAAAGGCAGACGTTAGAAGGAATATGCTTTTCCAATAAGGCGTATTAAGAATACATAATCCCCTGGACATAATTAAAATGAAAATAGCTCTCTGGAATTGTCTACTATGAATAGCAAAAGCAAGTTTATGTTTTGTGTGGAGCAGTGGTTCTTAAACTTTGGTCTTCCAGGTGTTTTGTACTTCAGCTCCCACAATTCCTAACAGCTGGTAAACTGGCTGCGATTTCTGGGAGTTGAAGTCCAAAACACCTGAAGGACTAAAGTTTTGGAATCACTGGTGTAGAGGATCCTAAGGTTGAACTATGACAGTTTGTCTTTTAACCTACAAGCCTCCTCTTGTGTTTGTTTGAACCCTTTGTGTCAAATAGATTACATATTACTTGGTATCTCAACTTTTTCCACTTGCATAAGGAGATCAAGATCAAAGGTTCACACCTCATTTTAGCAAGTGTGTAAAGTAGAGCTTTCAGAAAGTGCTAACGAAAATAATTTCAGATACAGGGAGTCCCCAAGTTACGAACAAGATAGGTTCTGTAGGTTTGTTCTTAAGTTGAATTTGTGAGTAAGTCGGAACAGGTAAATTTAGTGTTACTCCAGCCAATATATATCTATTAGGAGCATGCAGCCAATGAAAAAAAGTTTCAAATCTAATTACTAAATCGGGGCAAGGGGATTCATTTCTAAAATGCTTCTAAAATATTGTAAGGAATCTGTGTCGTAACTTTTACAAAGTAATGAAATTTTCATTATTTCATCAAGGAGTTGTACTAATGGGGAAATTTCCAGGGCTCCTTTCACCCTCATTTTTAGAGGTATCGGGATGTTACTTCCTACAAGTGTAGCACACATTTACCTCTGTAAGCCCCCCAAGTTTCAGAACGTTTCACTTACCCAGTGATTTTTGGGATTAAAAAAAACCTACAAGAGCTATCTCCTTGAATTTCTCTACAATAACACAACATTCCCCCCAAGTTCCAAAAAGATTTGCACGTGTACTGATTTTGGGGGGAAATTTACATTTTTGTCATTTTTTAAAAACCACAACAGTTATCCCCTTGAATTTCTCTATAATAATGAGTATCAAAGCTGATATGGCTAGCTGTAGATGCTGGAGGCTGGCTGGTTCAAGGCAGCACCACCTATTAGCTAATGGCCACACCCATCACCCAAAAGTTAGGTAGTGTTACCGAGCAAGGGAAAAGTAGCAGATGTGGAGACAAGACATCAATAAACAAACCATAAATATAAATAAATAATAAACAATGGCTATTAGTCATTGGGTGGGCGCACTACCCAAAAGATGTAGCTAGCCCACCAAATAAGAAAGAAGTTGCATCTCTCTCACCTCCCTCAGTTTCCCAACTTGCCCCAAAACAGTGGTTCTCAACCTGTGGATCCCCAGGTGTTTTGGTCTACAAATCTAAGCAATCTCTGCCACTTTACCAACTGTTAGGATTTCTGGAAGTTGAAGGCCAAAACATCTGGGGACCTGCAGGTTGAGAACCACTACCCTAGCACAATGGCTACAGGCAACATGCCTCTCCTGAATTTAAAGAGGGATGCTCAGAGCTCCACCTCCGCCTTCTCTCCCCACCCCCCAGCCCTTACAGGCTGAGAGCCATAGTGCAAGTTCTGCTTCACCCCCCGGTATATTTCGCTTGTGCTGAAAAAAAAAGCTAACTCACTGAGAGTTATGAGGCTTATGTAAAAACAGGTGAGTGGTTCAAATCTTAAGTTTTTTTGGTGGGTGCTGCTCGCGCTTCGGAAATCGCGTCTTAAGTACAGATCTTACGTAATAGATCCAATATACCACATACATACGATTTTATGAATACCCCTAATACCTGTCTATCTTTGGACAGCATAGGGGAAGGTTAACACCCCTGTGGTGTTTGTTTTGCTGTTTGTGCCCCAATTCAGATTTCACTCACTTTCTATCTCTGTGATAATTGGATTTTTAAAAATTTGGCTTGTTGTGGAAACAACGATTTATGAAAAATCTTCAGTGGGGCTTCTTTCCTCATGATAACTCTTTTCAGCAGTGAATTGTCCTTCCAAGAAATAGATTTCTCTCATTTCCTATTGTCTCACCCCCGTTCTTAACTATGAATCGTTTGTAAGTAAGATGTTTGTAACTCAGGGACTGCCTGTAGTCTTTAAGATCTCAATTTGTTTTTTTATGTCTTAGCATGTCCTGATTTTCTGCAACACTGCTTCTTAAACTGTGGGTTTTAATCCCAAATGAGGTCCTCTTAGCTCAGTGTTCAAGTCCCAAAATTTGGTAACAATAAAAGATTTCTAACTACCATTCATTTACACAAATCAGTTGGCAAGAATGTTCAGTGTTTCTTCTTTCTGCAGAAGATGCTTTATTTGTACTTCATTAAAAAGGGAAATCAGTTTATTTACCAGTCCTGGCAAATTCTGATTTATTATCACTAATTCTTGATTTTTATGTCTATTTTATATCCAGGTCTCATAAAAAGTGAAAAGAGGTCACGAGTAGAAACTTTGAAGCCATGTTTTAAAACAGACTTTGTTCAAAAGTTAGAAATTTAAATGAAACATTTTAAAGTAATCGTTCATACAATTGTCAAAGAAGTTATGTTTCAATATAAATATGCTTAATTTTTAAGTTTACAAACCTTTATCAGAAGTTGTCACAGAAATTGGATGCTAACATCTATTATAAACATTTTTTTCTGAATCAATATTGTAAAAGTGACTGTAACTCATCCATCAAAATTCAGATAACTCAAATAAAATGACAAAATTGGAAAGATTTATTCTGTTTTCTTTAATCCCCTGTGTTACACTGAAGGATTGCTTTTTGAAATAGTATCAGGGTTTGATTCTAAAGAGAGAAGATAAATTTGTCTGAGCAGGTTTAGATTCTGGTAATTGATCCTTAATCAAATGGAATTTTATATGGCCAGATTGGGCTTTGCAACTGTGTGTATATTCTTTTCTTTATACCGTTCCGTTTCTTTAGTTAATATCATCGATACTGAGTAGTTTTCAGTTTTGCTTCTTGCCATCTGAAATCTTCCAGACTTCGCTAAACAATTTATGTCAGCCTACTTTCCTGTCTGGTAGAAGTGTCTCGGGGTTTTTATTCTTTGAGAATCTTCAGCCTTTATTTTTCAAATTTTACTTTTCTTACTTAGAGCACCGCATTTGGGTAGAGAACTCGTCTGTAAAGAGAGCAAGAAAACATTTAAAGCCACAATAGCCATGAGCCAGGAATTTCCTCTGGGAATTGAATCGTAAGTCTATAAACTGCTACAAATATTATTGATAGGATATGAGGTAAATCTCACGTATCATGGTTTCTTTAAGTTTATTCCTGGAACTGGAATGTGATATATTATTGCAGAATAAGAAAATAGTTGTTTCAGATTATAATTCTTCTTTTGCAAAAATTGGTGCCATGTTCCAATTTTAAGATCTTCCCTATCCCATAGTCATTTATTAATCAAAGCTTTACTTCTAAAATGAGCCAGTTTTTATAATCCAATCAACAATTATGTTTTTTTCTGATGCTACCTATTGTAATGCTTCAGATAAAAAGACATTTCCCTCATTATAAGTGTCCGGTACCACTTTATTGTTTTGTATATTACACAAAAGTAAATAAACTGCTTTATTGTGTAAGTGATAACTGAAACAAACAGTTATAAAACTCATTCAAAGTTGAGTTTTATAACCGGAGGGGTCAGGAGTTGTGGGCCAACCAGGAATTTTGTGCCCTTTGAGATTTATCTCTGGCCTTTTGGGGATTGTCTATATTGATGAAAAACCCCAACTCATCTCAAATTCTCCTCTGGCTGCCTCTGTGATACATGGTAACTTCCAGTGATTATCCAGAGTTTTCTGATTATCCTGAGTTTAACTCAGCTCTGACCTTCCCTCCCCCCCCCCCCCCCCCCCCAAAGGCAAAATTGGGAGATGCGCTAAAGATGCTCTAAAGTTTTCAGGAAAGGCCACTATATCTGGGACTTTGCATCCATCTAATAGCTGATTGAGTCTGTTTTTTCTAATTCTCTGACCAGACCAGTGGTTCTCAACCTGTGGGTCCCCAACTGTTTTGGCCTACAACTCCCAGAAATCCCAGCCAGTTTACCAGCTTTTAGGATTTCTGGGAGTTGAAGGCCAAAACATATGGGAACCCACAGGTTGAGAAAAACTAGTCTAGATGGATACTATGCCATCACCCTTTCCCTGGCTTGATTAGATTAGAAAAAAGGGGCGGTTTCTTCGCATGTCACTGCTCCTTGCTAGCTATGGGGCTTCCTGTGAACCCTTCTGTTTCTTATAGCACATTTATGGAGACTGCACAGAAAAATCATAAAAACATCTAATTGTCTCACTTGTGTTTTCTCCACGCCAGGTTATTGAATGTTTTAGAAGTAATTGCACCCTTCAAGCACTTTAACAAACTCCGGGAATTTGTGCAGATGAAACTTCCACCAGGCTTTCCTGTAAAGTTAGGTGAGCTATACATTCCAATTTCACTCATTAAAGTAATTTTTTCCCCTGCCAAGGTGGCTCCTTAAATGCTTCAGTCTTTGGAGTGACACTTTTTGGGGAATGGGCATGCCATTTCACCATGGTGATAGTAACTGAAAGTGATGTTACGTTGTTGTTTTGTGTGTATAGCCCAACAGCCAGACTAGGCAAGGCATAAATTGTGTTATTGTGTAAACTCAGTATTGTGGATAAGAGGATATGATTGAGACTGTGGTGAAGGGATAATACCATATGAAGCCATTCCCTTGTGCTCCAGCCCTCATGAAGACCCTGCTCTTGAAGTTGTTGTTGCTGCAAGTGACACAACTGTCGCTCCCTGGTGGAATGGTTTGGGTTAACTATTATAAAGAATGTGCTGTGCCCTGCCACGCGTTGCTGTGGCCTTTAGTAAGAGTTTTGAAGTCTCTGCCGGGCCTCTCTTCCTTCCTTCCTTCCCTCGCTCTCTTTCCCTCTTTCTCTCTCTCACACTCCTTCCTTTCCCCTCTTTCTCTCTCTCTTTCCCTCTTTCTCTCTCTCACTCCTTCCTTTCCCCTTTCTCTCTCTCTTCCCTCTTTCTCTCTCTCACACTCCTTCCTTTCCCCTCTTTCTCTCTCTCTTTCCCTCTTCTCTCTCTCACACTCCTTCCTTTCCCCTCTTTCTTTCTCTCTTTCTCTCTCTGGCATCCCTCCTTCCTCCCTCTTCTTTATGTTTGTGTGTAAACTTGAGTATTTTCTGTTGGTCATAGGAGTTCAGTGTGGCATGTTTGCCCCAATTCTGTCATTGGTGGGGTTCACGATGCTCTTTGAGTGTTGGTGAACTGTGAATCCCAGTGACTACAACTCCCAAATGTCAAGGTCTATTTTCCCCATACTTCATCTGTGTTCATATTTGGGCGTATTGAATGCTTATGCTAAGTTTGGTCTGGATCCATCATTGTTTGAGTCCACAGTGCTGTCTGGATGTAGGTGAACTACAACTCCCAAACTCAAGGTCAATGCCCTCCAAGCCTTTCCAGTGTTTTCTGTCGGTCATGGGAGGTCTGTGTGCCAAGTTTGGTTCAATTCCATCATTGGTGGAGTCCAGAATGCTCTTTGATTGTAGGTGAACTATAAATCCCAGGAACTACATCTCGCAAATGACAAAATCATAATTGTTTGAGTGATGGTCACTCTTTCTGTTGTGAGACGTGTTGTGTTGTGGAGCCTCCCCTTCCTCTCCCCCCCCCCCCGCCTTTCCCTTCCCTTCCCTTCCCAGCACTCGCCTCTTTTGCTGCTCTTCCGTCGTCCCTCCCTCTGGCCGGAGTCGTCCAAAAAGGCAAGAAGGAAGCGGGCGGCAGGGGCGCGGCTTAGGCAAGAGAGGCTTCGTGCAGGGCCTAGCCTTGCACGAAGCCTCTCTCGCCTAGATCGCGCTCCCGCCGGGCGGCAGGGGCGCGGCTTAGGCGAGAGAGGCTTCGTGCAAAGCTAGGCCCCACACGAAGCCTCTCTCGCCTAACCCGCGTTCCTGCCAGCCGGCGGGATCGCGATCTAGGCGAGGGAGGTTTCGTGCAGGGCCTAGCCTTGCACGAAGCCTCTCTCGCCTAGATCGCGCTCCCGCCGGGCGGTAGGGGCGCGGCTTAGGCGAGAGAGGCTTCGTGCAAAGCTAGGCCCCGCACGAAGCCTCTCTCGCCTAACCCGCGTTCCTGCCAGCCGGCGGGAGCGCGATCTAGGCAAGGGAGGTTTCATGCAGGGCCTAGCCTTGCACGAAGCCTCTCTCGCCTAAGCCGCGCCCCTGCCGCCCGGCGGGAGCACAGGCTAGGAGGCTTCGTGCAAGGCTAGGCCCTGCACGAAACCTCCCTCGCCTAGATTGCGATCCCGCCGGCTGGCAGGAACGCGGGTTAGGCGAGAGAGGCTTCGTGCAAGGCAGCCATTTTGAGGGGGCGGGACAGGGCAGGAAAGGGCGGGGCTTGGAGGGGAGGAAGAAGGAGGGGGAGGAGGTGAGATTGGGGAAGAAGAAGGAGGAGGTAAGAAGGGGAAGGGAGGGGTGGTGAGTTAGCGGCGTGTGTGTTTGTGTGGAAGGGAGGGGGGTTTGTTACCGGCGTTTGGTTGTGTTGCGGGGAAGGGAGGGGGCGTGTTTTACCGGGAGGGGGCGTGTCTTACCGGAGCTGCGTTGGAGGAGGGAAGGAGTGTTTCAGGGCCGGAAGGGGTGGGGGAAAGTTGCGATGCGTGTGTGTGTGTGTTTGTGGGCGGCGACGTGTTCGTGCTGGGCGAGGGAGGGAGGGAAGTGCGGAGGGTGCGTTGGCCGTTCGGCCATGTGTGCGCGCGTGCTGGGGGCTTTGCTCCAGTGCGCATGCTCAGTTGTTTTGGCGATTTATCGTTGTGTTGTTGTGTTGTTTTCAATTCTGAGTGGATTAGTTTGTACCGAGTGGGTTGTCCTTGGGGCATGGCAATTTTGGTGCAGTTTCGTTGGGGGGTTGTGGAGTTTTGCTGTCCCGTTGAACCAACCTAACAGATTTATATATATAGATGTGCTGCTGATAGGAAAGGATTATCACTTCCTTTGTGAGTTTTCTTTAAATGTATGAAGTCTAGTCACACATTCCATGTGTCATTTTAGCACAGGATTTCTGCCTTTTCTCATTCTCATTCTTTTTGAAGTGTGTGACTCAAGTGTGTGACTTTCTTGGAGATGGAAGTGTGACTCAAGTGTGTGGCTTTCTTGGAGATGGAAGTAACAGGAAAGATTAAAAAGTACTCAGGAAAATACAGTTTTCAGATTACGAACAAGATAGGTTCTGTAGGTTTGTTCTTAAGTTGAATTTGTATGTAAGCTGAAACGGGTACATTTTTAGTGTATGTATCTCCAACCAAAAGTTTTTTTGTTAGTTATGAATAGCATAGGGAAGTGTTAATACACACTGTGAGTGGAAATTCAGTTTTCAGATCCCCTCAACCTCTTTCAAACAATTCCTCTGTCTCCAGCTCATATTTTCAGCAATCTTTTATCATCCATCAGACGGTAGGATTGTCACAGTCAATTCCTAGTGTCTGAATGTAACAATGTAGGGTTAGAGAACACCATTTTACAATTCTTAAATATTCTAGAGGAATAATTTTGTAGCATGGTAGACTGAAAACAGAGTTGCCACTTACAGTATCTATTCATTCAATTTTTTTTAACTTTTGATAAAATGCTTGCATAAAACCTTATGCATTCTGGATAAATTTAACTTGCAAAAAGGAGAAGAACAAATGGTTTGGACAGTGACTATTTCAGGACAGGGCTGTGACTGTCAGAATAATTTCTTGGATTGGTAACTTGGGCTGGACCCACCTCTTTCTAAACCAAAATTGACAAGTTCTTTTGACTGGTTCTTTTAAACACCTATTTGGGGGGTAAAATAAAGAGTGAAGTTTGGTGGAAAACATTTGCACTCTATATTTTTTAAAATGCTCTCAAAATAATGACATTTCTAACATGATCTTAAATCATAGCACTGTTATGAATAGTTATGGGTTATATTTTTGCCCAGATGCTAAATATGAGTATAAACATCATGTTAGTGTAGAAAACGATGACATTTCTAAATTTAAAAATGAACCTCAGTAGGAATGCTAGAAGAAAAGAAGTATGCAGGAGCAAGCTACACTCATCCTGATAGGACTCAGCATGCTTACATTGAACCTGTTTTCTCTTGCTTCATTGTCTGTCATTTCACCTCCCTTTTGGATCCTGGTCATTCTTCCATTCTCACAACCTAGGTAACAGAATAGAAGAGTACCTACAAATTAGATGATGAAACCCTGTCCAGTACTGATTGCAGCCTCCATCCATAAAATGTTCTTGCAATAAGCTATACTTCTGTATGACTTGGATTTTAATTTGTGCCTTTTAATCAGTCCCAGAATACACAACTAGACAGACAATTAAACATAGACAAGAGGTATATATATTGGCTTTCTCCATTTTTCGGGATCTTGGAAGTTGTTGTGCTCAATTTCGGCAAAATGGGGTGCTGTCACTCCATCTCCCTGCCAAAGAGCTAGTTTGTAACTTCCTCCTTTTGGATTGAATTGCTGGCATTCCTTCTGAGTGCGTCAGAATACCTCCCCTGCCTTTTTTTTAAATGAGAGGTACCTATTGATTTGAAGAGCCCCCGATGGCACAGTGGGTTAAAGTGCTGAGCTTGTTGACTGAAAGGTCGCAGGTTCGAATCTGGGGAATGGCGTGAGCTTCTGCTGTCAGCCCCAGCTTCTGCCAACCTAGCAGTTCGAAAACATGCAAATGTGAGTAGATCAATAGGCACCACTCCAGCAGGAAGGTAATGCCGCTCCATGCAGTCATACTGGCCACATGACCTTGGAGGTGTCTATGGACAACGCCGGCTCTTTGGCTTCGAAATGAAGATGAGCACCACATCCCAGAGTCGGACACGACTGGACTTCATGTCAGGGGAAAACCTTTACCTTCTCTACCTATTTATCTAATCACATCTTTGCTTTCAAACCGCTATGTGGGCGGAAGCTGAGCTAAAGCCAGAAGCTTACCCTGACCGAGCTTCAAACTGGCAGCCTTTCGACTCAGAAGATTGACTACAGTTGGTGTTTAACCTGCTGTGCGAAGACCGGCCCACTGGGCTTTAGGGTGCGTGAACCCTCAAGCACCCTAAGGCCCAGTGACGATGGGATATTTCAACTATGTTTTAATGTGTGATTTTATAGATGTATTTAACTACGTTGTGCCCCACCTCGAGCTGAAACGAGAGGCGGGTAATAAATAAAACAAGTTCTTTCTTCTTCATCATCATCAGGAGCATTGCCTTTTGGACCATACCTCTAAAATTGCCCTCTGCACCCTCCTCTGACAGGATAGTCCAGAAGGATACTGTGAAGATGAAACAAGTGAGCGTTAATTATTTTGTCCACTAATGTTTTTGTTTCCTTCTTTCTAGATATACCTGTATTTCCAACCATCACAGCCACTGTGACTTTTCAGGAGTTTCGCTATGATGAATTTGATGAATCAATCTTCACAATTCCTGATGACTACAAGGAGGACCCTAGCCGCTTTCCTGATCTCTAACATAACTGGAAAGTTGTCAGCGAATAAAGAATACCAGCATGCCACAGAGAGAAAAACAGGATGCAGAAAGCCCACATACATGTTTCATAAAGTGGGTGAAATAGGAAGGGATAAAACTTGTTTAAATGAATTCAGAAAGGGAACACAAAGTGAATCTCAATCCATTGTACCATCTAACAAGCATCCCATCTAGTGTCTAAATGAGAGCAGGTCTCCTGATGCGTCATATACATTTATACATCCAGACCTGCAAGCATGGTAGCCTGGCTCCTCAGTGACTCCCCGTCCCTCCATCTCCCCACAGATACATAACAGCTATAAAGACTGTCGTCTGTTTTTTTTTAATGATGTTTCTTGGAAATAATAATAATAAAACTCTCTTGGACCATTAGCATAAAAACTAAAATGTCTTACCTGGCTGTTAACCTTTTAAAACACCCATCTTCCTCAAGATGCCCTCATAACCTTCCTTCAAGCTTTGTTTTCATAAATTGTAAATTCTGTAATATTCCGTGAACTGAGCATCAGTTGAACATATAGTAGAAGGAATTACTTTTCTGTAGATGAATGAACCAAATGGTAACCATTTAAACCATTGCATTTACTTATTGCAATATGTTTCAGAACTAGAGCATTCACTCTGCAGGGAATAAGGTACCTCCTCTTAGCACCTTAGTGCAATTCATTGTGGTGCTATTCTATTTTTTCCAAACTGTTAATTTCTCCACGGAAAGTTGTTTACTAATCTTCTCATGAAATCTGCAGACATAACTTCAATCTGATTGCCGTGTGTGTTAGAGAGCATGCTTGGAGACTTCTTTGGCCTACAAGTTGAATTGCTGACATTTTATTTTGGGTTTAGCAGATCCACAGAAGCTGCCCAACAAACACACAAGCCTTGTATTATTACAGCAACATTTGGGAATATATGGAATATATGCAGTTACTTTAAAAACAATCTCAGAACTTCAGCTTTTCTGAAGTAAAAGCTGGGAGAAATGAATAGGGCTTGCAATGGGTAAAAGAAATAAACAAAACCCCACAAGAATAAGGCTGTTTTCCAGTGTGGGTAACTAGAGAAAGGCTGTTTGTTTTTCTCTAGGTGAATTTTTAAAAGCAACGATCTTCACATGGTTCCAGGGTATTGAAACTTGAAGATCACTCGGCCTTTTTGCTTTACTGGAAAGAATGTGTCCCAAATTGTCAATCCCTATGTTCATTTGTATCCAGAGGTTTAGCTTCCTGTAAGGTGTAAATGTATAATAATGTAAATATTTTCAGAAGTATATTCTTTGTGCAGTCTGGTCAATCTTTTTTTTTTATTCCTGGAAGCTGCTTGAGTCACTTTTGGACTTCAAGAAAAACACTGCGCTGGGTAATACGCTCAGTTGGAATGTGAAATGGGATGGAGTAAGTTAGCACGCAATAAAACCAGACTCATGAGCCACATAAGCTTTGTCAGGTGAAAAAAAAATTAAAGAATGGTCACAAGTCGTTTTATACTCGAATCATGTGCAGAGAGGTAACTAGAAGATTGGGGCTTTATGACTTACAACAGTGGAGAATCATTGGGCCCAATTCCAGAAATATTGTAAATGTGTTCCAATCTTAACTGATGTTGGAAAGGAAGACTGACAGCTCTATGTCTGAACACAGCCTCTGCTGACTTCGTAGGTATTGCTGTAGGTGCCATGCTTTGGAAAGTACCATTTCAGTACCAGTATCCATTATGACAGGTGCAGCCTACCCTTGTAAATAGATAATTATAAAATGGAGAGGCATTCTGTCATTTAAAAAAAAAGTAATTACACTGTTTCCTCTTGTGAGATGATTCCTAGAAGAAACATTGGGCATGTGAATGCCTGACCCTCTAAGGCAGTGGTTCTCAACCTGTGGGTCCCCAGATGTTTTGGCCTTCAACTCTCAGAAATCCTAACAGCTGGTAAACTGGGATTTCTGGGAGTTGTAGGCGAAAACGTCTGGGGACCCACAAGTTGAGAACCACTGCTCTAGGTTGAACCTAGTTAGCAGGTTCTATCAGTGGAATGAGGAGAGTTATTGACCACTGTCCCATCAATCTTCTGAGACTTGGGAGAGAACCCCCCTGGAACAGATTTGGAGAGCGGAGGCTGCTTGATGGGAAGAGAAATCAAAATCTGTTATGTGAATGAAGGCTTGCTCTTGTGATATAGCACCGTGCTCTTTGGTGTCAGGCCAGCAAGGCATCTCATGAACTAAGAGATGCTTTATACGAAATATATAACATTGTTCTCATAATGAATGGGCTTGATTTAGATGACCATACATCTGAGAAAATATGCCTTTGATCATCTCCTGTACTACTGGGTAAATAATACCAAAGTTGTCTGTCATACAGCTCTAAAAAAACAATGGTTATCCCAAGTAGTGTCACACTAGCATGTAGCAAATAGGTTTTTTTCATGGGGGGTTGGGTGTTGACTTAGTTGGGTCTAGAGGAAGCCCATTTTAATTCAGTCTCATTTATTTCAGTGGGTCACGTGAAAGACCAATCTAGAAGTCTTACTCCAAACCAGTGGAATTACTGTCATGTTTCATGGAATCATAATCCTTGCCGAGTAAGTTATGTCTGCGAGGAGTTTTAATTTATACCATCCTTGACAAAAGTGAGCCCTCCGAGATTTTGCACACCTCTGTCTACCCAGTGTATTAACATGGGTAGATTTTGAAATTATCTTTTTCCTCATCCTGTTTTGAAATACTTAACAATATAAAACATATATTTTCATTTGCTTCCAGTAGTGGATTGGGGGCGGGGATCAAAATTTGGCCTGTGGCCAAATGTATGTATGCTTTGCTTGGTTAGCCATGCATGAAACTTCTCATTTAAGAGGTCGATCCACAAATACAAAAGTAGCTTTCTTGTACTTGGAACCTTTTTTTTCATATAAGTGCAAGACACATTCCTTTAAAAAGAGCTCCGTGGATATATTGTCCTACTTAAAGCCAGATTAGGAAGTGTTACACAGGAGATACTGATGCTTGGTTAGATACATGAATGAAGGAAAATGGTTTAGCACTTAGTAGTTATGCACTTCAAATTACCCACTGTGGCTCCTTTTAGATTTACTCATATATTTTTTCTCACAATAACCATGTCACAATTTGGTAACTTCTGTAATTTTGCATGGCATACCCTTGGGGTTTTTTTAAGGTTACCCCTATTAGTTGGTATTTAAAACTTCCAGTTTCATGGAACATTTCTGAATAATTTTTGACAATGTATTGTCGAAGGCTTTCATGGTCGGAATCATTGGGTTATAGGTTTTTCAGGCTGTATGGCCATGTTCTAGAAGTATTCTCTCCTGATGTTTCGCCTACGTCTATGGCAGGCATCCTCAGCCATAGATGCAGGTGAAACGTCAGGAGAGAATGCTTCTAGAACATGGCCTTACTGCCCAAAAACACAACAACCAATTTTATGACAATTTTGGAAATAGGATTGTTGCGGTAGGATTATGAAGATACATTCATGCAAAAAAAAATTCGTAAAGCACCAAACACTAAAAAACATCACAAGTGGCCAGGTTAGGATGAAGTGCCTCTTCCATGCTTCTAGATCATGACTGGAAGGGAATATCTTTGAAAAGTAGAATGTAATTGAATTAGTGTTACTTTGGACAGATTAAATATATGAGAATTTTGTTGAGGTATGTCTTAAAATCTAGGAAAGTGTTTTGGTTATCATATATATGGGATCTTTTTTAAGATTTCCCAAAACTCTTCTTTACCAAACTTACTGGTCTTCCAAATAATCGCTTTAATTAATGGCAAAGGGAATAATAATCTTTCCAAGCAGTTAGTGTTTCAGTCACTTTATGTTTCGAGTTTGCAGTTTATGGTTACCTGACAGTTTGTATCAGATAATACACTTGTGGATATAAATCTGTGCTGGAAACTCATTTTATGTTGAACATAATATATTCAGAAAGTCAAATTTTAAAGATATACTTGTTGATTTTGATCCATTAAAGTTACTTTATTTAAACTTTATTAACAAACTTCCTATAATGCTGCAGTTTTTCTTTAACCATTTATAATTGTGGAAACTTAATGTCATTTTTGTATATTTCTTTTCATGCGTTCTTTGTCTAATCTAAACTCACCTTCACTAATAGGGTTTTTGGTTGTACCACTTAGAACTAAGACCAAAAGATGCTATTTGCTGAACATATGAACATTTTCAGATCTATTATTCTAATGTGTGTGGACACTTCCTCCATATTAGAGGAAGAATAAGAAGTACAAAAAGGCTGTTACAGTGTACCACTTTCACAAGGACATTTTATTGGTCAGTTTTTCAATAAAATCCTCAATTTTCAGTGCATCTTCGTTGCCTTTTGTTTCTTTTAAACAGTTAACTACAGCTCATATACTTTCCTTTGAATGCAACAAGGTTAGCTGTGCATCATGTATGTGTTGCCCTAGGTACCACCATGCCCATACCTGGACCCACGCAAACTATCTTACGGCTTTTTATTGGAGCAACATGACCATACTAAGACATATCATTTTTACATGATCTTTAGCAGTGTGTTCTTTATACCATAAGCATATGCCTTTGCCCTTCTCTCCCATGAGTCATTATAATCGCCCCTTAATTCCTTCCTGCAAACAAAGGATAGCTTGAATTGACAGATCATCCAGATAAGGAAAAACGTACATCTCGTGTTCTCCCAAGCAACCACCATCAATGCCATGGTGAATAGGATTGCTGAGAGGCCAAAGGTACTTAGTATACAAGTTTCCAATATTCCATGCCTGGGGTGGACTGATGTAGGTCAAGAGACAACAGATATTCTGGGCTGTAAATGCTCTTCAGAGCAGTTGGTGGTTTCCATCCTGGGATGCTATCCAGGATCGTTCGATTGTGGGTGAAAAGGTCTGAAATCTTGCTTTTTGAAGGTGTCTTTAGAACATTGGTTCCCAATCTTTTTTTTTTTTTTTCAACCAGGGACCGCTTTGATTTTTGTTGTTGTTAGCAGGGATCACGAGGTTCAAGAATAAACTTTAATCCAAATTTTAACATATTAATTAAACTTAATAGTAACATGAATTAAAAGTACTATTATAATATAAAAATAACATTTTAAATAGAAAATTTAATTTGATTTGCATCAATGTGATTTTTTATTTTTTAATCTTGGAGCTAATGTAGCTCAAAGCTACATGCATAGTATCACTTAATTTTAATTGATTCCTGGACTTGTTTTTAATTGCTAGCAAAGTAGAAAACCCTTGTTCACATACATTAGTTGTGAAGAACAGCATAAGATAGCGCAAGGCGATTCCTCAAATTTTAGTGTAAAAATTGCTTTTTTACACCAAAATTCAACAGAGAATCAGATTCAAATGTGTCCTTGCAGTTAATCATTTTGAAATTCAATGAGCTTTTCCTGGATTTCTTCTGTAACCTCTCCAACATTTGTACCAGAAGTGTTACGAATGAGTTTGTAGTCAACTTTAGATTTGTTGTGGTTATATTCTGGGAAGTAACGATTGAATTCGTCAGCCAGCATTTCCAGTAAAAAATTAATATGAATATTGAGGACTCACGGTCAGTAAAACTACTGGTGCCATCGAATCACTAAACAGCAAAACAGAATGACACAGCTAAGCAAGACAAAAGAATGTGAGCAGCTGACACTGGGTGGCGTGAGTACATGACACGTGATGTCAATCGTTTGCCCTCCCCCTGGATTCCTGCGCTCGCCCAATGTCCTACTTGCCAGTGCCACCCGCTTAGCAGCAGATTCACTAAAATGAGTAAAGGTTTAAAATTTTAAATGTTTTACAGACCATATTTTAGTTTTTACGGACCACTGGTGGTCCCTGGACCACTGGTTGGGAACCACTGCTTTAGAAGACCCAAAAGGACAGAATAGTCTTGCGTGACCAGTTAACTTTTTGTTCTCTTTGGAGTATTTATGTCTTTTTAATCCAACACATCATCTACTGCATTGCCTAATAATGCGACATGCATCAAGGTTGGGTATCAACCTGGCAGTCTCATTTGATTTGATACATGTATTTAATTATGGTGACTTCCTGGCAGACACATCCTCCACCATAGTATGAAAAACAAAGTGTCAAGACTGGAATCTGCTGTAAAGCCTTGGCACATTTCAACCTGATCCACCAGGATCTTGAGAAGAGGCTGCTTAGCCCTCCTTAGAGTTATCCTGACAAATTAAGAAGCAATTGATGCAGAAAGGATAGCTAATGTTGAGGCTTTGATCTAAAATCGGACATCTCAACATTATTGTAGGGAAGTGTCATCTCCATCTTTTGGGAAGAGAGAACACAACATAAAAGCTGTCATTGGAGCAGCATTTGTGGGGGCATTTTATTTAACCTCCTCGGGAAAAATGGAGTAAAACTGAATCCACACTGAAACCATTTCTGTTCCATTGTATCTGCTGTAATGTCAGATGTAATGTCAGATGAACACAAAAGCTAATCCTAGCTTGGAAATGTGTCTGATTTCTGGCACGTTACCAATTTCCTTATTCTCTGAATCTAATTCTAGCACTTATATCACCTTTTAAAGTAAGATTGCGTGGGGCAAGTTGGTATCACTGCCGTGTAGTAGAAAGCCAGCGGATGCGAATGAGCAGTGCTATTCCTCAGTAGCTCATTGACTGGCATTGTGGAGGTTAGAGATGAGCATCCTCATTCCATTTCAAGTGCAAAATTTGCGCTGTAATATGCTACCTAAATACAAAGGGCATAAAAGCTGCTGTGATTCATCGCAAAATCGTTTCAGTTTATGGAAAGGACATAATGTCGAGACAGCATGTGAAAAAATGGGTACAGAATGTATTGCGAGATAATGAAGAAATTTTGCAGCCATCCAAAATAAATGTCGTAGGATGCTGACGGCAAGAATCTGTTCTTCGACAATGCACGGCCACACACCTCTCATGCAACACAAGAGTTGCTGATTTCATTTGGTTGGGATGTTTTAAACCACCCCTCTCACAGCTCCTTACTTACTTAGGCGATCCCTCGTTAACCGAGTAGGATAGTCTTCCAGGAGCAATATTCTGGTGGGTCCATAGATGACTGTGGAGCCCTATTCTTAATCTGCATCTTCTCCCGCAGTGAGGGCATTGGTTTCCAGGTGGAAGGCGGTCTTGGTCAGGGTTGGCTTGACGCGCCTTCCTCTTGGCACATTTCTCTTTTTCGCCCTCCATTTGTGCCTCTTCAAATTCTACAGCACTGCTGGTCACAGCTGACCTCTAGCTGGAGCGGTCAAGGGCCAGGGCTTCCCAGTTCTCAGTGTCTATGCCAGAGTTTTTAAGGTTGGCTTTGAGCCCATCTTTAAATCTCTTTTCCTGTCCACCAACATTCTGTTTTCCGTTCTTGAGTTCGGAGTAGAGCAACTGCTTTGGGAGACGGTGGTCGGGCATCCGGACAACATGGCCGGTCCAGTGGAGTTGATGGGGGAGGACCATCGCTTCAATGCTGGTGGTCTTTGCTTCTTCCAGCATGCTGACGTTTGTCCGCCTGTCTTCCCAAGAGATTTGCAGGATTTTCCGGAGACAGTGCTGATGGAATTATTCCAGGAGTTGCATGTCACAGCCCCAATCTCACACCCATAGACTATAATCTGTGCACTAAATTGAAGGAACACCTTGGTGGAAAACACTTTTCTGACGACAATGAGGTGAAAATCAAAATGACGAACTGGCTGAAAAAGGCAGAGGGAAACTTCTATGATGCAGGCATCAAAAACTCACTCCACGGATGACAAAATGTACTGAAATGAATGGTGATTATGTGGAAAAATAATGTAATACCTATGCTACAATCCATGTAAGTTTTCTTAAAATATATTCATTCTTTGTATTAAAAAAATGTAACCTCGTAGATATTTTTGTACGAAATCTTGCTTGAAGGTGCTCTAAAATAAACTTTTTTGTGGTCTTTCTGTCTGAATTGTGTACGCACAAACCCATTCAGATAGTTCAGATCTAGGGCAGGTCAAACTCCCATAGCTGGATACTATGAAAAATGGGAATACACTCCCATCTTTGATTCCAAGGGAATATGATCCCTGTGTACTGATTCTGCTGAATTTTTACTTAAATTTAACTCTATAGTAGACAGCAATTTCCTGAAAAAAAAACCTTCTCTGTCATTACTGAAGTCATGGTTTAATTTATAAATTAGGTTTGCTGAAAATATCAATTGGGGGCGGGTTAACAAACTTCAGACAAGTCAAGAGCATAAATGGGTACAAGTACACTTTTGTACAAATGCCAGTGTATATTTAAGGGTTTTATTATCAAAGTCTTGTAAAACAATTTCAGAAACTGTACATCAACATGGCACAGACTGTAGCCTACTCTTGCTTTTACCTGCACAAAAGTATATGCTTCAAAAACTTTCAGAACTAAAAGAACAGGTTGCCCAACTACTTTGCATAATAACATGAAATCACTGTGTGCAAAAGGTTACTACTTCAGTGACTGTAACATAAATGTATTAGTTTATACAACTTGAGATCAATTACATTATCAAGTAGACTTATTTTAAAATCGTTGTGAAGTTTTTTTTTAAATGCACTACCTTTTTTGCAGGGTTTTTACACTCACAAACAAAATCAAAAAGAAAATGAAAACCATAGAAAAGAAGACACAAAGCTTGCCTTGCAGAATACAGAGATTTTTTTTATAAGCATCTACAAATTGCCAAAAAATAATAATAAAAGAAAATCAATCACACCACCTGAGAAAGATTTAGACTCAAAACGTTTTCCTTACACTGGGCATCAAAAAAGGTTAGTGCATTTCAACCTTGTCAAAGCTAAACAAATCCACAACAAAAAGATTCAGCCAGGAGGCCAAAAAGATTATCTATTTCTATCAGAACATTTGTCTCCAGATGAAGCTAATGTTAGTTTGTCTACATTTTAAGACCCTTAGCAGATCCACTGTTTGTTGTAGAGATGAGGATGTTCTTGCCACAGTTAACATGCAGCCAGTGCATTCCCTATTTTGCTATTACCGCAAATGAATAAAACGCTATAAACACTACTGTAGGTGAGCTGGTTTACTAAAAAGGTCATACAACACAAACAGTCCATGCCTGCCAAAGATGCATGCAACTTTTTGCTCAAAAAGGAAAAAGCAGCACCAAGCGAGGAAGAATCGCCGGGCTGCTCAGTTCATTTTGGCCAAGAACAAGAATGGAAATCCAGATACCACTTTCTAAAATTCTGATGTAAGTATTTAATATCAGGAGCTTTACAACCAGTTATAGTTACAGTTGTATACATCTAGCTTAAAAGGTTAAACAAGTACAGCATAAAGGAATCACACAGGAATGACACTGATGCATGTTGTCAGCTGTTTTCACTGCAAAGGCAATATTTAGTCGCTCATATCCATATCTTCTTCATGGTGATCATCCCCATTGACTTTGGATTCCCTTGCATCGCCACTCCCTTTTTCAGCCGGCGAATCTTTGCGTTTTGGGGAAGTGGAATCTGTTGCCTTTTCTTCCTTTTTCTCTTTTTCACTATCGTAGCCTTGCTCTTCTTCATCATAGTCCCTTGTGACCTGCTTTGCCGAGACAAAACACAAAGCAAAACAAGTAAGACATGTTTCAAAGCTCTTGGGAGACAGAATGAAGTTGGCCAGCAGGCAGATGCAGGGAAAAAACAAATTTTGAAACCTACTTTGACATCCTTGTCACTCTCTGACTTTCTCTCCCGATCTTTCTCTTTGTCTTTACTCTTCTTCTTCTTGCTTGTGGACCTTTCTCGTTCATCTCTACTTCTCTCTTTGTCTTTATCCTTTTTCTTCTCCTTTTTGTGTCTAAAGGGAAAAGGCATTTCAAGAAGTTGAGAGGATATACAAGAGAAACAATAGTGAAATATTTCAGTTCTGTTCCCTGAATCATACAACTAAAACTGGGAAATACAAAAACCAAGTGCTGGTATGGGGAAAACTGTACAGAGACTTTAACAACATCACCCCAATCTGACTATTCTCCAAATACTGGACTGAAAAGATATTTTCTTCGAGTATACAACAGAACAACAGCAACAAATTAGCCAAGATACAGTGATATTAGATATCAACAATACATTGATCACAAATTGTTTATACAATCATTTTTGGGATAAACTTGCAGCGAAGAATATTTAATGAAATAAAAGCTGTAATTCTTCTAACATACTCCAGTATGATTTATTATTTGCTTGAATAATGATGCCATGGTATATGTATTAGCAAAGAAAATGCCCCATACACTTAACAACAACAAAAACCACAAAAAACATACTTATTAGCAAAAAACAAAATGAACGAAATAATAAAGAGTGAGATTGCTATATTCTCCCTATTTATAACATGCACAAAACTTTATTTTATTTATTTATTTATTTACTTTATTTCTATTCCGCCTTTCTCACCCAAAGTGACTCAAGGTGGCTTACAATTCCGGCAAAACCAGTACTAGCAATAAAGATTAAACAGTTAAAATGATTAACATTAAGCAATAATAAGCATACTTCAGTATAACATTTTTAAAAAACATATAAAGTGCATAGTTTCAAACCTTTTTGGTGAAGGGGACTTTGACATCTTTCTCTTAGGAGATCTGGGCTTTTTAGGAGACCTGGATCCACTCCTGCTTCTTCGTCGTCGTCTTTCTCTGTCGGCATCAAAGATAAAAGTCAAAGGACCCGCACAAATTTCCATGACCATTCCTATTACCTCAATCCAAACATAAACAGGCATTTCTAAGCAAGTCTTTGCTCAACTGCACAAATCTACTGAACCAGGTGGAAGGGAGGTCCTCTGTAGTAAGTTACCAACTTTAAGTGAACCAATTTCATTTGCTGAAAAGGAAATTTGGATTTATTTGTACAATTTGTGCCCTTGATCTCTGCCCAACCTGATTAAGGTCAGCAAATGTGTCCTGGGGATTTAGATAAAAAAATGAGTGACACATTGAGGGCTGCTTATCTTAACAATTCCTTTAAAAGACAATAGTGGTTCAGCCTCTCTTAAGCTGGGGAGGATCAGAAGAGGTTCTTAGTGGACAGTCTTCCATCCTGAAAGAAAATGTCTGTGAGAGTGGTTGCTAGTCAACTTCAGGGATGATACTACTTGGACTCATTTCAATCAGGCTTTCAACTCTGTTGGATGAACCTTGTTGGAAGAATCAAGAGAAACAAGCTTCTTTCAGGAATCCTCAGCTTTGTTCAATACAACTGACTATGCTTCCCTGCCAGGAAGGCTGTGCCAATCGGGAGCCTGAGATACTTTTTTTACAGCAGTAAAACTCTTTTCATGATGCTTAATCAAAAAAGTAGTGCTGGAGGACTATTGTTTTACTCCATGGAGACACTTCATCTACATCCTCAGGATGGTGGTTTGTTCTTCGTGCTTTTAAACATATACATGAAATAGCTGGAAGTGGCTGCCTGGAGGAATGAAGTGATATATCAGCAGTATACAAATGCCAATAACTGTGAGCTGAAGCAGTGATTATTTTTCCATTGAACTTAAGACTCAGCAACCAGTTGGAAGAAGGTTAATAAATGCAGATTAGGTCAAAATGCAATGGCATTTGTGTTAGTAGATGCTGTTTGACTAGGTCCTCCTGGAAAGAGCAGATTTATATGGGTGCTCACAGACCAAGCTGTGTTGCATGAGAAGCTTCATGAACATCAACTTCTTTTTTCCTCTTTGACTGATATATCAGATGGAACTCTTGTGTACTTTGAAGTTGTTTCCAACAAATCTACAATAAATCTAATGCAAACCTATCACAGGGTCTTCTTGGCAAGATTTCTTCAAATTAGCCATTGTCTGCCTCTGAGGTTGAGAGTGTGTGACCTGCCAAAGGAGACGTGATGCAAAACTATCACAGGATTTCTGTGGTAGTTTAGGGATCCAAACCCTGGTCTCCACTAAGTCACTTAACCAGAGAGAAACAGGCCGATTGTAGTTATTCATCTCATAACTTATCTAGATTACAGTAATGCATTATAGTGAAAAACAACTCAGTTAAGTCCATGATTGCTCATTGGAACTGGCTATTTCAAATAGTACTCCAACACTGTGTCACCTAATTATCTGTTTCCAGTGTAATTAATAGTACTAGTATGGATTTTCCAAGTCCTAAATAAGTTTTGGACCCCCGGTGGTGCAGCAGGTTAAACCACTGAGCTGCTGAACTTGCTGACCAAAAGGTTGGCGGTTTGAATCCGGGGAGCGGGGTGAGCTCCCACTGTTAGCCCCAGCTTCTGCCAACCTAGCAGTTCGAAAACATGCAAATGTGAGTAGACCACTCCAGCAAGAAGGTAACGGCGCTCCATGCAGTCATGCCGGCCACATGACCTTGTAGGCATCTACAGACAACACCGGGTCTTCAGCTTAGAAATGGAGATGAGCACCACCCCTCAGAGTTGGACATGACTAGACTTAATGTCAGGGGAAACCTTTACCTTTAAATAGGTTTGGGTCTCCTTGGCACCATCGCTAAATACATTTACCAGGCAAAGGCCTTTCTCTTCTGCCATTTAGTTTTATCCTGTTGATAATTTTATTACTTATTTAATATCTTACTATTTTAATGATGTTATATTGTTTTGGTTGTTATACTACTGATTTTCTTGGTGGTTTATTGTACAAATTAGCACAACGGAACCCCAAGAGAATCTTATAAATCACCTTAAAGGCATCCATTTGTTGGGGAGACTATGAATCAGACCAATAAATATCATTAAATGCAGGGTTTTTTGTTTAACTCCAGTGTTTATAACCTGAAGTCTTTTACTTCACAGAAGAGCTTTTCTTTAAGACACAAGTCTCCTTCAAACCACTGAACCACAATCTTTTTAAAGTCGGTTTTCATAAGATAAAGTCAAGATAACAGAAGATATGGTACCTGCTTGTGCTTCTGGACCGTCTGGCTGTGCTGTAACTCTTTGGTGGAGTTTTAGACCGCTTCTTCTCTTTCTCTTCTTTCTTTTTGTCTCTAAAATGTCCCAACATCACATTAAGTACATGTATTGAAGCCCTATCTCTTCTAATCCAAAATGACAAAGTATTTTGTTTCAGAAATATTCCCTTTCTTTAAGGGGAATAATGTTTACAGCCCCCTCCAACATACCCTTCTATCTGCTCCAAAATATTAGAGGCCTTTAGAAACAATGGTGCAAACCCTGGGAAGGGAAGATGTGTAAATTGGATTTGTTCCTATTTCAGTGACAGAACTCTTCACTGAATTGAAGTTCAGACATCCTTTCAGCTGGAATAGTTAACATGTTTCTGTCCCAAATACGTTTTAGTATTATGCAAAGTCTTCTGAGGGTACCTGCTTTTGGATGTGCTCCTAGACCTTCTAGTGCGCTCTCTGGAATGAGATCTCCGCCGCCGAGGACTTTTAGATCGCCTCCTGCTTCTTGATTTAGAGTGAGATCGTCTTCTAGATCGGCTTCTTGATCGTCTGTTGAGCAAAAAAAAAAAAATATCAAAATAACATATCTGATTGCAGGAAGACAGATGATGAACTACCAGAGCAGTAAGATTCAGTAGGAGAAAAAAAAAAAAAGACTAGAATAAAGTAAGTTATATAGGTGTCTAGAAAGGAATAAATGAAGGACGAGTTAAGTTTTCCTATGGGAAAAGTTCAACATCATGGCAATCTTACAACTTAAAAACAAATATTCCAACCCATATAGATTAGGAAGGTTAATAATAATTATTATATGTTTTTAATGGTTTTTGTATTGTATTGATTTTATAATACTGTTTTAAATGTGGATTGTTATGGCATCAAATTGCTGCCAATTTGTAAGCAGCCTTGAGTTGCCTTTGGGCTTGAGAAAGGTGAGGTAGAAATATCGTAAAATAAATAAATAAATAAATATTTATGTTACCCGCCTCTGCTAATAATAATACATTTTATTCGTTATCCACCTCTTATAATAATACATTTTATTTATTATTAAACCTAAATAAACCTACATAAAACTTACCAGATGCGTGGTAAGAGACATAAAATGCCTTTCTGTAATTAGGAAACAGGGACTTCATTACTATGGATTATTTACTCTGATAGCCTCCAACAGTGTGTAGAAACACAACACTGTTTCAAACTATTTATTTCTATTGTACTGAAATAGTTATGGGAGTGATGATTGTGAACTTGGAAGAACGTATGAAAAAGTATATTTTTAAAAAAGTTTAAAGTCAAATATGTAATTTTCACAGTGGGGAGTATCATATTTCAAATTCATGGGGAACAGCTTCACAATACTAAAGCACTGTAATGTCTAGGAGTAATACTCAACCTTTGAGCCTTACTTTTTTGTGAGACTTCTAGGGTCCCATATTGGACGAAGGGCAGGATATGAAAAAATAAGATGAACCACAGATACGGTTAGGGTCTGAGAGAATGTCCACAATATAATTTAATCAATAAGCTCCTAGAATATGAAGTTTTACCTGTGTCTAGAAGACGATGGCGTCCTCCTCCTCCTTGAACGTGATCTAGATCTTGAATGCCGCCTCTTATCATCTTTTTTATCTAAAATTAAATGATTAATAATGTTATCATTAAAACCATCAGTTAATACCTATCCTTCTGGACTTTCTCAATGTTTTAAGCTGCTACAGGACACGGCTTTCTATTCTAAAAGCGGCGAGCAAACTACCTATTTTGTGTTAGCATAATGTAGTATCATGTGAGTTCTGAGGTTTCTGACTCTGAGAATGCCAGCGTACTGCAGGATATACAAATACACCTTAACCTAAGGCAGGGATGTCAAACTTATTTGCTTCAAGGTCCCATTATCTTTATGGTTACCTTCAACGGGGCACTGATACAGAGGGCCAACTATATTTTTTTACACAGTGGTCAGTGCTCTCTAGTTTTCACCCTGTTTGGGTTCCCAGATGTTACTGAAAGAAAGCTTCCCTTACTTTGGTTCATCAGACATGGGTAATGGGAATTGCAACATACTTGTGACTCTGAGGTTGGGGAAAGGTTAACGGACAATTTTAAGTCGGGCATCATACCCAAAATCCTTCCATCTAAATTCAAACCCCACTATCCTGACTAAACAGAACAAATTGCAGCCTTCTAGAAATTACTGTATCACAACTCCCATCAGCCGAAGTCATGATGTCTAATGATGAGGAATACAGTAGTCCAGCATCTGGAAGGCCACATCAAATGACATGGAAATCTGGATCCTGAAAATGCTGAGTGCCCATTTTTTCACCTTTCCCATATGAACAGCAATATATCACCACAAAATAGGATGAATTGGTACAATGATTTCAAATTCACACAATTAAATTTAAATCAAATTTATTCATTCATTTCCTAAACAACTGTGCAAATTAGCACAATAAAACACATTAAAACGACAGTCAAAATATTACTTACACAGCTATTTCATTTGTGTAAGATTAAGCATCTCTGTCACATTTATACTTTTTGCACACTTCTCATGTTTTACCTACATAGGGAATGCTTATAAAATGACTTTATCTATGTTTATTACTAGCCATGATGGCAACATAGAAATCTACATGCTTCTTTCCAATTCTATGCAGTGATCATTTCCATCACTCAACCTTGGTGCAGCCTAAAGTAATGTATCCTGCTAGACTTAAAATAAGCTCTAAAGCATACAAGACTCATCAAAGCAATTTATGCTGATGAGATAGAAACTGAAATGCTGGAAAGTAAATATTCATAAATGGAAAAAATAAATAAATCTGGCTTCATTTACACAGGAAATTCTCCTGTAACACAGTGCATTTGACAGAGGACAGTGATTTGGTATAGACTTGAATTATACAACTATTAACCTCAATCTAAGAAAATTTGTCTGGGAAGTCTATTTCACCAATTTACCACTGGTGTTGTTTCAAAAAGTCTGTAAACCTTCTGGAACTGTTTAGAAGTGTACAAAAAGGGGGGATTTGTAAAAATTAACACCAAATGGTCTTTGATTTATTTCACAGTCTGTGATTTGTCCCACAACTAAAAACTACACTCATGATAATTCTGAGACACTGAATTATGTTTTTCCCCGGATAACTTTTCTAACTATCTCTAACATGTTTTTTCCCCCTTTTACATAGCTGCTCACACATTTTGACTTAGTTATTTTCAATTGGTACTAAGAAGTATGCTATCTGGTACTACAAGTAATGGGTGTTTAAGTCAGGTATACTCACAGTTCCCTCTCTGAAGAGTTCATCAATTTTCAATTGTTTAGAAGCCTTATGGTGTGTTGTTGACTCAGGGCTAGTCCTATTGCATTTTCTGTTTCCCATTTCCAGGACAGGGAGTAAAAACAAAAATACTGGAGCCCACTGACTCACATCCTATCCTGCCGATGCCATCCTCTTAACCAGGGGTCCTCAAACTTTTTAAACAGAGGGCCAGGTCAGAGTCCCTTAAACTATTGGAGGGCCGGATTATAATTTTGAAAAAAAAACAAAAAACGAATGAATTCCTATACACTTAAAAACAATACAATAATTATAATGAAGAACAATTTTAGCAAATATAAACTTATTAGTATTTCAATGGTAAGTGTGTGCCTGCTTTTAGCTGATGAGATAGGATTGTTGTTGTTGTTGTGTGCTTTCAAGTCATTTCAGACTTAGGTAGACCCTGAGCGAGGGCTGGGTAAATTACCTTGGAGGGCCGCATCTGGCCCCCAGGCCTTAGTTTGAGGACCCCTGCTCTTAACTAATAGAGGCTGTTTATGTAGTTTTAATAATGCTGTATCTATTTGGTTTTATCTGGTTTTTAATTACGCAGGTGTGAGTCCATACAGTATGTAGTATTTTAAGGGTGCATCTTGCCATCAATATATGTAGCACTTCTAATGATTTATAAGATTTTAATTGTGTATTTCATATTGTATTTAATAATCTAGTTTTCATGTATTTATCTATTTGCTTTATATGTGAAAGACCTATGGTCTAAGCATTGAATAAACTTACTTACAAGTAATGGGCTAAATTGACTTATTAGTGCTGATTAGTGGATTGAACTTCACATTGCAACTTCACAAACATTTAGGAGTCATTAAAAAGTCTCATTCATTCCTTGTTCTGATCTGATTAGAGCTAACAATTGGATTTATTTTAGCATTTTACTTCTTATTTCTACTTATTTGAATAATTTGATGTTATGAGCACTATATGCTTTTTGTAATGCAAGATGATTTAAGGGATATTTTAGACTGATTTACCTGGTTCAATAGCAGCAGAGATCAGGGATTGTGCTTCTCGTACTCGTTTCATGGCTTCTTCTATTTCTTTACTCGAGGTATCTGTTTTCAGACTTGGTGAAACGAGGCCTGCAGTTACATGGTTCAGCCTGAAGTAAGAAAAACAGGTAATAGGTTATAGGTATATCTCAAACAAGAATATCCCCTTCATTTTGTTTCCAGACATAAATTGAAATGCTGGCTATTTATTTATTATTTACGACATTTCTATCCCGGTTTTCTCGAACCCGAAGGTGACTCAAGGCGGCTTATTGAAGGAAAGATGGGAAACGTTTGGATCCCAAAAGGGTTATACTTGGTCAGGATGAGATTGTGGACAGGAGAGAAAAAGTGTATCCATTAGACGCCATCTTGCCTACTCCTGATATAGAATCCTAGAGCTGGAAGAGACCTCCAAGGGCCATCCAGTCCAACCCCCTGCCATGCAAGAAGGCATCATCAAAGCGGTCCTGATAGACAACATCTGCAGAAAAGCCTCCAAAGAAGGAGACTCCATCACACTCCGAGGCAGCCTATGCCACTATCCAACAGTTTTTACTCTCAGGAAGTTCTTCCTAATCTTTTTAGTCAAATCTCTTTCCCTGCCATTTGAAACCACTGTGCCCTGGTCTCTATGGTCGCAGAAAAGCAGTCTTTCCCCTCCTCCTCAATGGGACACCCTCTTAAATCCTGAAACATGGTTCTCATGTTCCCTCTTCTCTAACCTTCTCTAACCTATAAAGGACCTATACTGCTTATAACCAGAATATATGAAAAACCTATCTACTTATGAACCTGATAAAGCAGGGGTCCTCAAACTTTTTAAACAGAGGGCCAGATTACAGTCCCTCAAACTGTTGGAGGGCTGGATTATAATTTGAAAAACACATGAATGAATTCCTATGCACACTGCACTTATCCTATTTGTACTGCAAAAAACACTTTAAAACAGTACAATAATTAAAATGAAGAACAATTTTAACAGGTATAAACTTATTATTATTTCAATGGGAAGTGTAGGCCTGCTTTTGGCTGATGAGATAGGATTGTTGTTGTTGTTGTTGTTGTGTGCTTTCAAGCCATTTCAGACTTAGGTTGACCCTGAGCAAGGGCCAGGTAAATGACCTTGGAGGGCCACATGCAGCCTTAGTTTGAGGACCCCTGTGCTAAAGTGTAAAGATCCTTGGAGTAGAGTTCTCTCTTGGGTCCGCTGCCATCACTGCAGATCTGTCTGGCGAGGACCTTAGGGGACCCTTCTCAGTGGCTGCTTCCAGCCCATTAAGCTGTCCCCCCTTTTGCTCGCTTTTTACTCTCATGCAACACCATATTGTTCAAACAGGCTTTTAATAAGAATTAGCTGAGTATGTGGCTCTCGTTTTATAAAGGAGGGCAGTGCTTTGCCAACCATTTCATCAGTTAGAACTGTACGGCAAATACTATCTCATCAGTTGACTCATATGCTCATGAGAAATTGACCTTATGGAGGAAGGTACATCCAATAATAGGTAAGGAGCCATCTGATATGGGGTGTTGATGATGAGCTTTTAGCCCTTTGCAATTTTGCAGGAAATTATTATTATTATTATTATTATTATTGGTCAACCTCATGTATAAGTCAAGGATACACTTTGGGGCCAAAATTATGGATCGTGATATAACTTGTAGATAAGTCTAGGATCATTCCTCATAGAGGGGACAGCACTAGTGCCGCCTCAAGGGGTCAGCTGCTCCTGGTTGCTACTATTTCCTTGCACAAGCATTCAAAAAGGCCTGAAGTAGCATGATAGCAGAAGGAGTTGGTGTTTTTAAAGGTTTCCTGAGATGGACTAAATTCTTGCCTTTCACCACTCCACTCAGAGAAGGGGGTGGTTAGTTACGTGTATATATATAGAGGAGGGGGGGAGAGAAAGAGGAAGGGAGAGAGGGAGAACTCTCATTAACCTGCAGCTAAGTTGACCCAGTTTTTGGGCCTTGATTTTTTTTACTAACTCATGAGTATATAGGGTAGGTGTTATTCAAAAGAAACTTCTCTTTTAGGCATGCTGGTTGTCAAAATGTCTATTTAAGAATGAGCTTTCTAAATCAGCAAATTCTTTGAGAGATTCAATACTGTTAATGCTACCTTAATAAATATGTTGTGAAGTTATCCCATTGTAGCTACATTTAGAAAGGAAGGAAATCAGATAAACATTTTGAAAAGTTCCTTGACTTTCAGGGACATGTATGTTCTTTTGAATTATTTGCATGTTCTTTTGAAATTTGGAATGCTAAATATTTAATGCATCATTGCTAGAGATGTAAGTTTTCTTCACTTACGATACAACACAAAGAAGCTCTAACAAACTTGCAACATTTGAAAAAATAATGCATAGAGAACATTTACAAATTTACTTATAATTGGACAATTAATCAGCTTTTATAGAAAGCTACAACTAATGTGGTAATTTTTCCTTCTTTTGCATTTTTATTTTCCTGCTTTTGTTATAATGGAATATTATTACTGTATACAACAAAATCCCTTTTAAATGTAAATAAATTTTATTTTTTTAAGAAGGAGACGTCTATGAATTCTACATGCCCAGTTTAGTGCTAAAAATGCTAATGAGCAATTGATGATATCCGCTCAAAACCAGAAAATTCATGACGATTGTTGACAAAACCAAATTAAATCACTCTTATTAATATCTTACATTTAAAGCACTATTCTTATAGTCACAGACAACAAGGAGTGACGCAGTAAATAGAGGATTTATAGTATTCCCCTCTTGTGAACCAAACATGAACATGTAGTGAGTTTCTGAAGTAATAATGCCCACTCTCAATTTGGTCCACAGTATTTTTCTTCACTGTTATATAATATTCTTACAGTCTTGTTGATAAGAACTGCTGTTTAGTAATATAGTGGAATGGGCAATGTGATGGGATATATGAGCTTCACAGACCCCATCAAGGCTGCATTATTTGTAGCTGTAATAAAAATTCACTTCTGCTCCCAGTTATTGAAGATTTTTTTAATGGAGTGGGATCATCCTACAAACACTCTTGATGGTGGATGGGTGGAAAAAAATAAGAAAACGGCAAGAAGGAATAGGAGGTGAACAGCAGTTATCAGGTTTCACTAGAAATAAACTAGCAACTGTTTTATCTGTGAGAAAGGTAGGGTTTTAAGCATGGCAGGATGAAGGTGCAAGAATAGCCTGCTTGGGCAGTTGCGTGTCATTAACCCTTGCAGAACAATGTTAAGTTTCCACCACACTGTATCTGCTGGTAAAACAAAACAGACTAAACACGCCAGGGTAGCAACACTTCCAAAGAGAGTCTATAAACAGCCTTTCCTAACAATTATTTGATATTGGTATTATGAAAAGATTCTCACAAAACCAACTTCATTACAATGAAAATATGAAAATTCATACTTACTTTGGATCTACTGTACTCATAAGCTTTAGTAGTTGATCTGCTGCAAGAGACTATAAAGAAAATTAACAAGAAGCTGCTTTTAGATATGGAATTTGACTATTAACACAACTGATTACTAGGAGGAGGGGCTACAGTAGTTTTTATTTTAATTCATATAATCCATGATGCAATTATTAATTTAAAAAATTAAATCAATCTTCCTGGACGTTCAATCTTGCATCTCAAAACAACAATCTTTAAACAAACGAAAATTACAAAGGAAGACTGGAAAAAGAAACTGCAGAATTGAGATATATCCAGAAACACCAGTCCATCAACAATGGGTTGAACAAAGACAATGGTTTTCTGACATATATTACAACTCAAGTTAACATTCCAATCTCATAAAGGCTCTCTTGGTATTTACTATATCTCAGTTCTAGTTTCTAGCTTCCATTATTCACATATGCATATACTCAGTTTTAGACAACATAATTCCTCCTGCCTTTGTTTCCCAACAACCAATGTTAAAATTGAACTTGTCACTTCATCCTTATGCCATAGGTTTTGCATTTGTATTGCTATTTGAATATACTGCTTGAATATTCATAGCCATAAAGGCCTTTTCTAGACACCACTCTGATGAAGTATATATAAATCTACGAAAACTTATGTTATCAACATGTCTCTCAGTTAATCTCAGAGGTGCTATATGATTCCTTTGCATATAAATCAAATGAAAAACGAATATCAAAAAGGTGATTTGTGGAGAAAAATCCAGAAAGAAACTCAGGCTTACTCTCTCTCTCCCTCTTTTTTTTTCTTTTTCTTCCTTTTTTTTACCAAGAAGATAAGTGGCGCACCAAAAGAAAATTCTCACCTAATGTTTTGCCTGACTTAGGCTACTATTTATCAGCTCTCAGCAAATCAATTACTTCACCAAAAAGTGGCAGCACAGTGATGATGACATACCTCAGATCTCTTACTGGTTTTAGGTGCATGTTACAAAGCCCAGGTAACATAACAAAGCTTGCAGGACTCTATTCTCTTTTTTTTAAAAAAAAAAAACTTGATGGGGTTACAATACAGAGCTGTTAGAAACAGGACAATCTTACTCTACATTAAAGCAGTGTTTCGGAAACAAAATACTAAAATATTTGACCACTAAATCAGTTTCAACTCTTTGATGTGTTTGTTATCTGTCATTAACATGTCAATATCTGTATCAAAAGACTAAAATATTATGTAAATGTTCCCAACTGAAAATCTGCAGGAAACTAAAGAATGTGTGTGCAACATACCTGGGAGTTTAAGTTTGCTGTAGGAAGACCTAGAGCGGCCAAGGCTGGGTCAAGTGTTGGAGCTCCTAAAGCAGCCAAAGGAACGGCACCGATCTGTAATAAAGAGAATTACAGCAATAAGCAATAATAAGGAAAATATTTAGCACGTCAGCACGTCTGTTTTTCTGCTTAACTGGGTAGACAAAAATTATTGCAATCAGTGTTCGCTATTTCTACAGGAAGTAGTTTCTAACTGTTCTGATTGAATTACAGAGTTCTTCTGTAAACATATTTGCAGTGGCATTAATATAAAAAAGCACAGGAAAAGGACATATGCTACACACTATGCCTCTAAACATAGAATCACTGGACCGGCAGCAGCCTTCTGGAGTCTGGATGGATTATCTTTCCCTATCACTTGCTAGCTGAAACCCTTTTTAACTGAGTTTCCAGTGACTGAGCCTGGAAGAGTATGTACCTTTTCAAAATACTATGGTTTTTCCCCAATGACACTTCCTTTTGGCAAGTCAACCCACATATCACTGGCTATTGTGACTGACGGTTTCTTCAAGTTTTCAGGTTCACAACCCATTCTTTTGTTTTTTAAAAATATATATAATTAATTGGACAGACTGCAAACCTCAGAGATCCAAAGACTACACTATCAACCAGCGATAACCTAATACTCACCCATGAACTGACTGAAGACTTTCAATGGCATTTAAGACTTAAGCTTCAAATTAATTGGCTATTTTAGAAGATGTGTTGCTCTTTTCTAAATTGGCTTTTCACACTTCCATTTTCTACAGAATGAGGAAGAACTCAGAACTCTTACTTGCTACTTGCAACCACTGCTGATCTTCATTTCACTTGCTGCAAATGGTCAGCTTGGCAAAGAAAAGCAAATTTCACTCAGCCTTCAAGGCAACACGCTATAGGCTTGGATCCTACTGATAGTTCCAACCAGAACTACCAGTAGTACTTCCTAACAAATCCACTACTGAATGATACATCAAAATATATGCATATCCCACTGATTAAATATGGTTTATAGTTAGGACAATAAACAGGACTAAGGTCACAGTACGTACAATGAACCTACGGTATCCATTGGGGTTTGGTTCCAGGAGTTCTATCCATACCCAAATTCATGGAAACTCAAGTCCCATGACATATAATGGCATAGTAAAATGGTATCCATTAAATAAAATTGTAAAATCAAGATTTGGTTTCTGGAGGCAGAATCTGTGGGCTGTACTTCCAAAGGAACATGGAATAACAGATGAGACTGAATTCTTATTCTATTGATGATTGTCATATTGATTGTAAATGATTGTCATATTGATGTTTAATTGTTGTTATGCTATTGCTTTTAAATGTTCCAATGATTTTGTAATGTTTGTATTGAAACTATTGTTGTTAACCACTTTGAGTCGCCTAAGGGCTGAGAAAAATGGTATATAAATGAAGTAAATAAATAAATAAATAGTGAAATATTCCCAATTATCTCTACAACCTTCATTTAACTAGATCCTGCAAGTTATTACTTACAAATCTATAGACTTAAACTATTTACTCATCTGTATGCATTTTGAGAATATTTTTGTATAAAAGTTAGTACTAGTCTAAATACAATATAACTCTAAATCGAGCTTCTTCAACCTGTGACCCTCCAGGTTTTTGACTTCAGCGCCCAGAATTCCTGACCGCTGGACCAGATGGTTAGGGCTTCTGGGAGGGTCAAACATCTGGAAGGCTGCAGGTTGAAGAGGCCTGATCTAAATAAACCAGCATAAGCATATATTGTACAATCTATTGCATACCACAAAATGTGAAATCTTACCTGAGAAAGTGGGTTGGGGGTAGGCAGGAGTCCACCACCCGGCAGAAGACCTGCCACAGCATTAGCTGGAGCCAGGAGTGACAGAGCCTTAGTCTCATCAGGAATAACTCCTGCAGAAAGACAACTTTGCATTAGAAGACACCCATCAATGTTCTTTTAATAAAAAAAAACCACACACAAATACACCCAGAAAATGTCTCCCTGAAACACCACCTGAGTTTGCTGAAAGTACTTATGTTGGCTATAATACAATGTTTGATCTCTTAAAAATTTATCATTAATTTGTATGTCAGAATGAAACTTCAATGTGTGAAATTTGACTGTTCCTTTTTCTCTACAAAAGGTTAAGTTCTAGAATAAAAAATAGCACAATACACACTACTTTTTTGTTAACACTGCCAAGATTTCATCACCTGTACTCGATTTTTAAGTCATGAACCAAACGTAAGCAAGCACAGTCGGTTCTCCAGGGGTGTGCTCTCAACTTTCAAAAGCTGTATTATGAACAACGACTCGTGTCGGCTGCTTCACTATAAAGCACACAGAAAAATCAAGATACACAAGACAAAAAAAGTTTGATTTAGGGGTTAATAATATGGTACAGTTCACTAAGATTTTTACACCTACCATACAATTTTGTAAATCTTAAGAGAAGGTAAGGAAATATGTAGGGCTTTTGCTGACATGTCACATGGATGGGGAGGTTTCCACAGAGCTCCAAATATAGATTCTGCATGTGTGTCCAGGTGTATGTGTTTCTGTAAGCACCTAAAATGTGGAACATTCCTTACCTGTGCAGTAAAGTACATGCTCCAATGTGTGTCATGCTTTCTGTACCAAGAATACAGCTATGACTGCTATTTCTGAAGAAACATCTAATCTACAGCCTTGTGGCTTGCTAAGTGTCTAGTTTTCTGTCTATCCCTAAAAGAGAATAATCTTACAAAAGGTCCAACGTGAGACAAACAGTAATGCTGATCGTTGTTATTTTAACCAACAGCAAAAGCCCTATACATATGGATTAATCTGTTAATGTGCCCAAGCCCCCAATATGAGAGTTTAATAAGATAACTGTACTATATATTCGCAAATACCAGTAGTGTTTCTGCAATACATATTTAAAAGACTGCATCTCATCATAAAACATACAATATGTACAGGGCACTTAAGAGAAACTGGATAAGCTGCAGAAGAAAACTGTTGGGTGGTATTTTCAGCAGGGCCTGGTATATAGTTCAGGCTGAACCAGGGAAAAGAACTGTAAAACACAACAACAAAAAAGAAAAACCACTGTTAAATAAAGGTAATGGTTCCTTCCACCTATACTGAGAAGTGCCGATAATATAAACAAATGTATAATACACAGCACTGTTATCTTTCTTCTGTCACTGAGCTGTCATAATTTCAATACCAAAAGTTATGATGGGAAAAGGAGGGAGAGGGAGGTCATTTAGATACAGGGCATTAACGCATCAATATAAACATATCTATAGAGATTATGGGATAATTTTGCATGCAAAATTATGTCTCAGAGGATATTATTTATGCTTACACACATTTAGTGCAACTATAACATTTCTGGCATTTAACTAAACATCCTCTTATCTTGAGACACCTCACAGAAGATCTGCATCCATTAAGTAGTCATGCATTTGATCCTCTCATTTTTAGGAAAAAAGTTATTCAGAAATAAAACTACAATTTTTTAAAGAAGCAATGAGGCCCCTCACCAGTTAATTTTCATGCGTCAAGAGTTTTTTACTGCTGCTTTGTTAGAACCATGACATACTGCATGAATGTGTAGAAATGAAGAAAAAGAAACAGACAAAAGAAACAAACATTAACCAAAGAACCTACACAACCCCACCCAAAGCCATTGTTAATATTTGAGTTCCTTGAAAATCCTTGAATTCAATAGTGAAGTTTACAATACTATTTTTCTTACCGTGAACTTTGTGTTAAGTCTAGAACACAAAGCAACAACCAACACCAATATATGAATAGATTAAGAACTGGAATGTGGCTGATACAGGTCTATGATCAACACAATGCAGTATTTGAATGTTTTGAGTTAGGCAATGTCAAAACGTATGACCAGAAAAATAAAAACTGGTAGTTTTAAATTCAGTGGTATATTTAAGAATATACTTCAAAGTCTATGAGCCATCCCACTGAATTAAAAATATCTGACTGAATAATGCTTAAGTACCTGGCAGAAATCAGAATTTCGAAGAGTGAAGCACATCTACTTCCATAAACAAAGAAGAATTACAAGAACAATGAAGTCATTCAAAATGGTATATCATTCTGACATAGTACTGTGTCCAGGATTGTAATCCTCCACAAACTACATATCTAATGAAAATCCTCAACAAAGGAGGTTTGTATGTTATGTCTTTGGCTGATATTTTACTGTCACATTATGGGTTATGTAGCATTCTTGTGCAAAGAAAAAATAAAGAGGAAACTATTACATCAATGATTCTTCAAACTATGATTTAAGTCCTTAAACACCACTTTACTAATGCAACATTTGCCACTGATTAGGGCCAAAGTAGGTATGACAGTAGCAGCCTTGCCCCAATCACATAAAAAGGATCAACATCAAGAGAGATAACACACCAGTGAAAGGCTCTGAAGCCTACCCCAACCTGCTGCTTCTCTCTCCCACACCCCTTTCTGCAAGCAGAGAACACATTTCCAGCAGTGACACTCAGAAAAACGGGGAAAAAACCAAAGACACAATAAGAAAATTAAGCTGCAGGCACAGGTAGGATTCTGCACTCTTCACCCATGCACCAATTTTACAGTTAAAGATGGATTTTCACACCACTTTCTATGAAATTGGGGTACATTCATGTTTAAACATACCACTACTGTCACATCTATTTTGTCCTTAAATGCAAGATCAAAATTTCACCCAAAACAACGTGGAAATAATGAAATCCCTAAATAATAGAGTTTTGGCAGGCATTTTCAAAAGGATAGTGATTAGAAGATGCTTATACTGATTATAGTTTCAGTTAGATAGTTAAATACCTTAATACTAACAATTAAATCCTGCCGTGTTTGTCCTCATACTGCATTTCTGTCTTGTTAATGCGCAAACACTTATTCCAAAGAAAGTACTGTACAAAAAACACTGCACTTTGATACACACCATGCTGCTTAAATCCCATTAACCCCAAGGAAATTTAGCAACTGATGTGTGTAGGAAGACAGTGTAACACTGTAAATATTTTACTGTGTTTGGTTGATTTAAGAAGATTACTACTTGATCAAGTGCTGCCCTTGAAATAGTAGTGATGGAATCTATAGAAGTTCAACAGAACTTGTTAGAAGAGCAGTCTTCTTGTACAGAATTATATTATGTTCCCAACCCTGGTCATTGTTTTTCAAATTACTGTAACAGCCTAAAAATGTAAGAAAAAGAAGAGAAAAATGTTGTTAACAAGTGATTACACCAGGAAAACACTTGGGGGACTTGAGTGCTTGCTGGCCTTTAGTTAATGTCTAGAATCCCCTGTAGCTGCAGAGGACCCCACTGTTTCAGTCATCTGGAAGGGCCTTTGCATTTGCCTTCTCCACTATAAAAATCACACACACAAATAACAGAGAGAAGAGTTTATTATTTAGTGAAATTCTAGAATATATTGCAAGGTTGAACAAGAAAATGTGGATTAAGATCTAACACCCAGTGCCCATATAGCACCTTTGGAGGTATTTTCTGGCTAAGAGATGAAACCCTTGGTATACCAGAATTTGTAGAAAGGATAGAGGTTTCTGAAATGTCAACTGAAGTAGACTGAATACTGCCCTGTAAATGCCAGTAAATTTCCAATCCACTTTTAGGAGAAAGACTGGATCATGGTCAAAATAGGCCAGATAGTATAAAGCAACAACTGAGGGCATCTAAGGAAAATAAATACCAAAGAATGCTGCTTAATCATATTAGAATTCTTACAGTCCCTCCAAAAAGACTGATAGGCAAGCTTCAGATGTTGCTGCAGGTTAAATATCTGGTGTGTTTTACAAAAAAAGAGTAGATATATCAGTATACCAAGGGTTTTAGAAATGTAAATATAACTGAGATATTTTACATGCTAAACTTCATGCTCTTAAACTAAATCAGGATTTATTCTCCATTGTTCATAGATCATTAAACAATTCACAAACCTTCTGCATATGGTACGACTATCAATGCTCTGTCAACGAATACAGTATTTGTCAGATGCTGTGCCACAACTGCAGAGTCAGGTTCTTGGAACTTTACAAAACACACACGTGAAGAAACAGGCAAAGGAGAGTCACTGGAAAAAAACAGTAAGAATATTAGGTGACAAACCTACAAATACAAGAAAGTCTCTAACTTAAAATGGAACTGAAAATGAACTGTGGCAACCTTTTCATTTTGCACTACTGCAAGAAAAAAGAGGCAACTGTTATCAACCTGCACCAACAGCTAGGATTTGCTTGCTACCATTACATGGAACTAAAAGCAAAAATAAATTAATTGTTGTATACCATGCAGCTATTAAGTCATAAATAGTTGCACACCACAAGATATGGTTTGGCCCAGAAGTTCATATCTTTCTGTATAAGCATGCCCACAATCTTCAGGAAAGGCCTCTTGGTTTCAACATCTTCCTGGGCAAATTTGGTGGAAACAAGGGATATTTCAGGGAGCTGATCCCAACAGGTTTCTTGAAATGAGCTGCAATTGAATTTTAATGTTGGGGTGTCTTCCCTGATTTTTATATTGTCTTTTAGAGAAATTTAAATAGTTATATATTTTTTAAGTTTTAATTTTTTTTTAGACTACAGGTTGAGTATCCTTTATCAGGATTTCCAAGTTCCAAAATAATCTGAAATCCAAAACTGTCCACATAGGTGGTTGAAATAGTGACACCTTTGCTTTCTAATGGTTAATGTCCAAAAATTTGTTTCATGCAAAAAATTATTAAAATACTGCATAAAATTACTTTCAAGTTATATGAATTGATATATTATAAAGTATATATGAAACAAAGGACTCATGTATAGATCTCCAAGATACATCATCATGTACCTATATGCAAATATGGATATTCCAAAGTGAAAAAAATCTGAAATCCCCAGCAGTTACTGACCCAAGTATTTTGGATATGAGTTACTCAACCTGTAACTTATATATGTATGTGTGTGTGTGTGTGTATGTGTATGTGTGTGTGTGTGTGTGTGTATATATATATATATTACTGATGCTTTTGTATGTTTTAATCAGTACTGATGTTAATGTTTCGTAAGCCACCTTTTGTTCGAGTATTAGGAAAAAGTCCTGACAGAAATCACGTAAATAAATAAAACAATTAAGAAAATAAAAAGAAATGTATACTAAAAAAACCAGTAATGCATACTTTAACAAAACTGATAAACAAAAACTCAGAATAAGAGACCTCTAGTGGCAGTAAAATCGCAATTCATTCCTCTCTTCGTTATTTCAAATAGTGCTCTGTGAATTCTAAAAATGGAAACAAATAATGCAATACTATATTTCTAGAATCTGCCAACCACCTAATACATTCCTCTCAGAGACAGATCAATCTGGAATGATTTTTTTTTCATTTCAGTCTACAGAAGTTTCTCAGAATATTTATCGTTTCTCACTATCTTGTAGCATATTTCTCACTGTGCAGCCTCAGAGTATAGTGAAGTCACTTCTATGGTGTTTTAAAGCACAGGCTGGATGCCATTTGCCAATACTGCTTTGATTGTGTATTTGTGCAAGGGAGAATGAGATTGGACTGGATGCTCTTATGGCCTCTTCCAAATCTGTGATTCTATATATCAAAAGGAAAAGAAGAAATGATCTAATAATGTATTTAAAATCCAATAATTTCATGAGTTTTCATAGTTTTCAAATGAATACTTCAGAAGGAGAATAATATGCAAACCATGGTATTTAAACACCATCGGAATATCTCTGCTTTTCCTGGGCATCACCCACTGTAGCAAATCCTTAAAGGAAAGCTGTGTTAGTTTCTTCCAGTATGAAAAGGAATCTGACATTCTAGGACTAACTTATTTATGTTGACATTCATTCATGGGCTTTAATTAATTTCTTGTTATATATTTTAAAAATATATAAAAACGGTAAGGGAAAGCACATGTTATGGAGTAATGTCTTAAAATATTTACAATAATTGAAGGAAAATATTGAATAGATTTTTGAATGGATCTGTACACAACATTTAAATATCATTAGCAAAGGAATTCTACACTTGTTCACTCATAAATAAGTTATATTATGTCTAATAAGACAACTCCCAGTCTCTAGTGTGATTTTTTGAGATTTTAGCCTATGTTTACTTCTTGAAATGCATACTTCACAATCAAATATCCCCTCATTTCTATCAAATATTTCAATTTAGCTATTAGAGGATACTGGAAGACATTTTTTGAGATTTTAATACATTGTGTAAGATTAACCACATATATTTTCCATAAATCCTGCTTACTAAATATGACTTAAACATGATAAAATTAAGTGAAATGTGGCAAGACTTTAGCCACATGAAAAGTACCAGAATTTCACAATTTGAAACTCCTTGAATCACATTCTGGGAGAAAGGCGGGATATAATGAAAATAACTAAATAAAGAATGTGTTCAACTATATTTATTTATTATGGAGATTTCTATGCCGCCTTTCTCCAGAACGGATCCAAGGCGACTCATATGATATTTAAAAACAGACAAATAATTAAAAACTGTAACCAAACAAGTAATAGAGGTTCAATAATCCCCAAAAACCTTCCGTATTATTAAACATTAAAAATTAAAACCAGTCTAAAATCTTCCATTCTTCTGTATCCATAAGTGCCTTGCTTCAGTTAAAAGCTGCTTCAAACAGGAAAGTCTTCACACCTTTCCTAAATGTTCTGAGGGTGGGAGCCGATTTAATTTTCTCTGGCAGCTTAGGAGTTCCACAACTCAGGAACTTCTCTAGTGATTTTAAATGCATGTTGACCAGGGACTATGTTGAGATAACGATCTCCCTTACTAGACCTTAGAGGTCTATCCAGTCTGTATGGAGGGACACGGTGTGTCAGTAACCTGGACTGAAGTTTATATGTTAAAACCAGCACCTTGAATTAAGCCCTGAAACAAATGGGGAGCAAGTGGGGCTGTTTCAACAGGGTGTACTCCCTAGAATCAGCTCGGTCAAGTAACCTGGCTGCTATTCTGTGGCCAAATCGTAGTTTCTGAACAATATAGTTTCCATCCTTTACAGAACCAGTACAGTGATTTTAGATAGTTATATCTGTAGCCCAAAACATCTAGCAAATGGAGAATGCAGTCTTACTTTAGTGAGAAAAATAAAGTGATCTGTATATTTTTGAATTTATGAAGCAGAAGAGGTTTTCACTCCAAGTAGACCTCATCCATATTAAATGATCCTGCAAATGCATATCTGCATAAGAACATCAAGCCATCCTATCTCTCTGATAGAGAACAACTATAGTACTTTATCAAACTACAAAACCAAGGATTCTACTGGATGCAATTGTGTAAGATAAAATGGAAGCAAAGCGTCATAATTGTGTATACCGAATTGCTGCTGATTGTAAGGCTGCCCTGAGTCCCCTTCGGGGTTCAGAAGGGAGATATATAGATATCGTAAATAAATAAATACTGTGAAAGAACTCCTTTAATCTTTGTAGGCTCTATCTCTGTCAGGCACGTGGCACACATTCAATCCAAATTTGCCCCATACTTCCCAACGTGGTACGATTGGCTTCATCCCTCCTGTCTTTTAGGAAGAAATTGAAGTTGTGGTTCTGGGACCAGGCTTTGGACAGCAGGCATAAATAGCGCTTTGGATATGGAATTTGACTGGAATGGTGATACGGCGGTTAATACTGTTTTATTGTTTTAATTAATGTTCTATTTATTGTTTTAATTGTTATATTGCTTTGTTGTTATATTTAATGGCATCAAATTGTGCCAAATGTAAGCCGTCCTGAGTCCCCCTTGGGGGGTTGAGAAGGATGGGGTAGAAATGCTGGAAATAAATACAACAAAATAAATAAATTTGTATGTCTCCATGCCAGTACTTTTCTGATTGTTGTTCATGTAGTTAAAACTAACTTGGAAAAACCATACATTCATGCCCTATGCTCCTGAAAACCCTAGACCAGGGGTCCCCAAACTTTTTAAACAGAGGGCCAGGTCACTGTCCACCAAACTGTTGGAGGGCCGGATTATAATTTGAAAAAAAATATGAATAAATTCCTATGCACAGTGCACATATCTTATTTGTAGTGCAAAAAACACTTAAAACAATGCAATGTTTAAAATGAAGAACAATTTTAACAAATATAAACTTATTGGTATTTCAATGGGAAGTGTGTGCCTGCTTTTGGCTGATGAGATAGGATTGTTGTGTGCTTTCAAGGCGTTTCAGACTTAGGCTGACCCTGAGCAAGGGCTGGGTAAATGATCTTGGAGGGCCGCATCCGGCCCCTGGGCCTTAGTTTGAGGACCCCTACCCTAGACAATATAATTTTTGTCTTTAGCGCAGGCCCGTAGCCAGGATTTCGTTTCGGGGGGGGGTGGGGGGGGGGGCTGAGTCTGAGTGAAAGAGGGTCTAGCCTAGCAAACCTTTTGTATCATTACCCCAATACCCCCATGCATATGGGATATATTGAGTATGGTGATCAGATCATATGAATATTTATTTATTTATTTACTCTATTTGTATACCGCATATATCAGCCTGAGGCGGCGACTCAATGCGGTTTACAATAAAAAGCAACACTAAACAATGTATGAGATACACAATACAGACAAACACATAATCATCATAATTCATAATCATCAATGAATAAACGTAACAGTTTAAATAATGCACCAGTAAAGGCCTTTTCGCGAACCACCATGAGAATTTCCGGGGGGGGGGGGGCTGAAGCCCCTCAAGCCCCCCCCCCCCCGCTACATGCCTGCTTTAGCGGGATCCTTATTGGCCTTCACAGAAAAAAAAAACCAGCCTGAACTGTTAAGACTCTTAACACATGTTGTCTGTGAAAGGAATCAAGCACTCTTAACACATGTTGTCTGTGAAAGGAATCAAACATGTTGTCTGTGAAAGGAATCAAGCACAACGAAACTACATAATTCAGGTCCAATTCGGATTCACAAAGAAATATGTATTGCTAAGTCTTAATTCACCAAAAGATGACTCTGGACCAGGCCTAGGCAAACTTGGGCCTTCCAGGTGTTTTGGGCTTCAATTCCCACAATTCCTAACAGCCTCAGGCCCCTTCCTTTTCCCCTTCAGCCGCTTAAGCGTTAGGAATTGTGGGAGTTGAAGTCCAAAAACACCTGGAAGGCCCATGTTTGCCCGTGCCTGTTTTTGACCCAGAGTGGGATTTTTTATTTTAAAATGTGTCACAGAAATATCTTGTAAACACAAGGTTTAAGTCTATTGTCCCAACTGTGGAAGCAGGCCGACCTACCCGTCTTGTATGTGGCCTTTTCCTTCATAAAAGACGGGGCGGGGGGGGGGGCTACGAACCACGGCGGGAGGGTGGCTAGAAATCTTGGAAATGGGGAAGAAACGGCGTTTCTGTGGGGAAAGAGCTCTGCCTGGGCCTCGCGCTCAACCCATTCCCCCCCRCTCCGCCRCCGCCGCGCGCTGCTCTGCCTCCCGTCCAATCGGGGCCTAGCACGCGAGCGCGAGGCCTCGACTAGGCCGCAGCCTTCCTAAGGCGGCACTCACTCGGGAGGGAAGAGGCGCAGCTCCTCGATCTTGCCCAGGAAGCCGAAGAGAGTCCGCATCTGTTCCGAGGTGGCGCTCGGGGAGACGTTGGTGACCTGGATCACATCGGTGCCGCTGCTTGAAGCCATCGCGCTGCCTCCTGCTCCGGCACTACAAACACATCGAGGGGAAGGGAGGGGGGGTCAAGGGTCCTGGAGAACCAGGAGAGGAAATCGCCTTTTCTTGTCTTTTTTTTGAAGCGGGTATGTCCCTCCGCGCTTCCCGTCGGGGTAAAGGACGGCCCCCTTCTCCCGCGCGCCCTTCCTAACCGCCGACGAACGGGCGAACGTTCCGCTATCCGCCTGCCTGCCTGCCTGCCTGGGCCGCAATATCCCACAACCCTCCGCGCGCCGTCCCCTGCGCCTGCTCAGAAGCACGCCTCCCAACCTGTATGACGCGCATGGCCCTGTCCTTCGAACATTGCACTGCGCATGCGTAAGAGTGGGTGGTGCTTTTGATCCCAGAGCTACAACATTGTTGCAGTTTCCTTTATGAGAAAGAGGTTGCAATTGCTCAGGAGAGTCGGAGGCGCCAACTACAGGAGTGAAGAATTGCTCACCCTTTAAATTTTACTAATAATATTACAGTATAATGGTATAGTACAATATGGGAATGTATGGTATTAATATTGTGCTATGCTAGTATTTACATATAACTTGTTTGTTTATTTATTTATTTACTTTATTTATATACCTCTTTTCTCAGCCCTCAGGCGACTCAAAGCGGTGAACAACATCGATACAAAACATCACGCGACAAGTATAGGGCAATTAAAAACAATTGTAACATAAATCATTAAACATCAGTATAACCATCATTAGCACCTCAACAGTAAAATCAGAATGCAGTCTCATCCATTATTCCGTATTCCTATGTTCAATTACACTGTTTAATCAAATGCTTGTAAGCCTCTCTGAGTCCCCTTTGGGTTGAAAAAGGCGGCATATATAAATGTCGTAAACAAATAAATACATTGAGATTGAATCTAGACAAGACAGAGGTACTCCTGGACAGTCGTAAGACTGAACAGGGCATAGGGTTACAGCTTGTGTCGGATGGGGTTGCACTCCTCCTGAAGGCGCGGGTTCGCAGCTTGGGTGTGATCCTGCACTCATTGCTGAGCCTGGAATCCCACGTCTTGGCGGTGACCAAGGGAGCATTCGCACAATTAAAACTTGTGTGCCAGCTGTACCCGTACCTTGGTAAATCTGACTTGGCCATGAGAGTCCACACTCTAGTTACATCCTGCATTGACTACTGCAACGCACCCTATGTGGGGATGCCTTTGAAGACTGTTCAAAAGCTTCAAATGGTCCAAGGGGTGGCAGCCAGATTGCTCACCGGATTGGCCTTCAGAGAGCATACAACCCCTGTTACGCCAGCTCCACTGGCTGCCAGTCTGCTGCCGAGCACAATTCAAAGTGCTGGTTTTAGCCTATAAAGCCCTAAATGGTTCTGGCCCAGTTTACCTGTCCGAACGTATCTCCTCCTATGAACTATCTGAGAGTTTAAGATCATCTGGGGAGGCCCTGCTCTCGGCCCCACCTTCTTCGCAGGCACAACTGGTGGGGACAAGAGACAGGGCCCTTTCAGTGGTGGCCCCTCAGTTGTGGAACGCCCTCCCTAGAGATATTAGATCAGTCCCCTCCCTCTTGACCTTCTGGAAAAAAAGTGAAAATGTGGCTATTTGAACAAGCCTTCGGAATCTAATGCAACAGTCAAACATGAAATTAAACAAAAATGAACATTGAAATGGCTCAGACAACAATTTTTGGATAATGAAATTAGCAATGAAAGCATTTGTTTTATATGTTTTAAAAGGTTTTATGGAATATATTTTAATTCTGTTTCAATATAGTTTTAATTATATATTGTTAGGCATCGAATTGCTGCCTGTTTGTAAGCCATTTTGAGTCACCTTCGTTTTCGAGAAAGCCAGGATAGAAACATCATAAATAAATAAATAAATAAATAAATAAATAAAATCTCCACAATGAACACTTTGTGCAGCAGAAATTCCAACCATATATATATATATATAAAGGCTTTGGATAGCAAAGGGAAATTTGACTTGATGAGAAAGCTTCAATTGAGACACCTTTATTTGATAATGACTCTTCCAGGAGTGCATTGAAAGAAGGTTTTTAAGATTTAGGCAGGGGTGCTGTGGATTTTAACTTTGAGTATGTTTTATTGGATTTTAACTGACTTAGATTTGTACAGCATCAAATGAGGGAGAGAGGGTGGGGTATTAAACAAAGAAAAACAAACAAATAAACAAGCAATTCATCTTGGAGGGGTAGATTTCTCTCATTCCCTGTTGTCTCACCCATGTTCTTAACTTTGAGTGGTTTGTAATATGGATGTTTGTACCTTGGGGGCTGGCTGTACAATGTAATGAAATCAATATGAAATAGGGAACTAAGGGCTAAGTCAGAGGATGCATCTAAACTGTAGAAGAAATGTAGTTTGATACTTTAAGTGCTATGACTCAATGCTAGGGAATCCTAGGGGGTGCGTGTGTAGTTTTACAAGTTCTTTAGCCTTGAATTTGTATGAGGGAGTCAAAGTCCAAAACACCCGGAGGAGTGCCCATGTTTGGCCATTCCTGCTCTACGCCCTCAGCCACAGAAAAGTTCATGAGGTTTGCTGGAAGTTAGGCAGAAAAAAATGCAATGCAATGAATGGGGGACGCCTGGCTCAGTAGCAGTATGTGTGAAAAAGATCTTGGGAGTCCTTGTGGACAACAAGTTAAACATGAGCCAACAATGTCATGCGGCAGCAAAAAAAAGCCAATGGGATTTTGGCCTGCATCAATAGGAGTCTAGTGTCTAGATCCAGGGAAGTCATGCTACCCCTCTATTCCGCCTTGGTCAGACCACGCCTAGAATAGTGTGTCCGAATCTGGTCACCACAATTGAAGGGAGATGTTGACAAGCTGGAATGTGTCCAGAGGAGGGTGACTAAAATGATCAAGGGTCTGGAGAACAAGCCCTATGAGGAGTGGCTTAAAGAACTGTTTAAAGAATCATAGGCCCCCTTCTATGATTCTAACTGTTCATGTTTAGCCTACAGAAGCGAAGGCTGAGAGGAGAAATTATGAGGGCCATGGGAGGAGGGAGTGGGCTTGGTTTTTTGCTGCCTTGGAGACTAGGATGTGAAATAATAGGAGACTAGGATGCGAAACTACAAGAAAGGCGCTTCCACTTGAACATTCTTCTGACTGTGAGAGCTGTTCAGCAGGGGAACTCTCTGCCTCGGAGTGTGACAGAGGCTCCTTCTTTGGAAGCTTTTAAACAGAATCTGGATGGCCATCTGTCAAGGGTGCTTTGAATGTGATCTTCCTGCTTCTTGACAGGGGGTTTGGACTGGATGGCCCATGAGATCTCTTCCAACTCAAGGATCCTATGAGTCTGTGGGCCCTTCCACACAGCCCTATATCCCAGAATATCAAGGCAGAAAACCCCACAATATCTGCTTTGAACTGGGTTATCTGAGTCCATCCTCAGATATTGTGGGATTTTCTGCCTTGATATTCTGGGATATAGGGCTGTGTGGAAGGACCCTGAGTCCACACTGTCATATATTCCAGTTCAAAGCAGATGTGGGATTGATTCAGCTGTGTGGAAGGGGGCCTAGGATTCTGTCAGAAACCACGCCAATGCCTCTCTCTCTCTCTGCTAGGCCGAAGGCATTGGCGTGGTTTCTGACAGAATCCTAGGCCCCCTTCCACACAGCTGAATCAATCCGAAGCGGGCTCTCTCTTGGGGATCAGGCCCATCCTCAGCCTCGGACCCTCCCCCCTTTCCTTCTTCCTTCCGCGCGCTGCCAGGCCCGCCTCCCTTCTTCTTCCCGATCCTGGAGCAGGAAGGCCGACTGAGGTTGGCTTGGGGATGCGGGGCTCGCGAAGGCGTGGGGCGGGGGCGGCGGGGCCGGGCTCCTTGTCCGGCTTCAAGCGCGGCACGGGGAGCGGCGAGGCGGTGCCGCAGGGCCTGATCCGGGCGGCCCGGAAGAGCGGCCAGCTGAACCTCTCCGGGCGGGAGCTGAGCGAAGGTGAGCGGGGGGACGGCGGCGCTCGCTTCCCTGGGCCTTGTCTCGGGGAAAGATCACAAAGCGCCTCCCTGCGGCCTTCCAGAGGGAGGGTGGCCTCTCCATTGTGCTGGAGTTCTAGTTTGGGGAGGCAGAGAAGGCGAAAGGCCTTGAAAACTCCCAAGCAGTTCAAAGGGTGTCCAACTCCATTCATTCTACAGCAGGCCTGGGCAAACTTGGTCTCTCCAGGTGTTTTGGACTTCAACTCCCAGAAATCCCAGCTATCTTACTGATTGTGAGAGTTGAAGTCCAAAACACCTGGAGGGACCAAGTTTGCCCAGGCCTGGTCTACAGGGACAAAACCAGGTGAAGGCATGGGCTCAAGTTGAAGCTACCAGGCTCTAGGACAGTGGTTCTCAACCTGTGGGTCCCCAGATGTTTTGGCCTTCAACTCAGAAATCCTAACTGCTGGTAAACTGGCTGGGATTTCTGGGAGTTGTAGGCCAAAACACCTGGGGACCCACAAGTTGAGAACCACTGCTCTAGGAAATACCCTGGGGCGGCTCAACCATTACGCAAAGTAAGCATTCACAGTATAGTTGATTGTGCCCAGGGACGCTCTTGAGGCGCTCTTGGGGGAAAATAGACCTTGACGTATACGAGTTGTAGTTACTGGGATGTATAGTTCACCTACAATCAAAGAGCGTTCTGAACTCCACCAATGATGGAATTGAACTTAATATGGCACACAGAACTCCCACGATGAACAGAATATATATATATCAATAATTGGGGGGGGGGGGGAATACTGTTTGCTTGCCGTTGAAAATTACCTAGAGCCGCCTCTGGAAATACCTCAGAGGTAGAGGGCTTCTCAACTTCTCAACTCTCTCCAGGTGAAGGGCCTCTCTCCCAAAGAAAATTAATCTAGGTTGCTGGGAGTGTTCTAGGCTATATGGCTATGTTGAAGAAGCATTTTCTCCTTACATTTCACCCACATCTATAGGAGCCCCCAGTGGCGCAGTGGGGGAGCCCCCCTGTGCCGCCAGGAGTGAAGAGCAACACGTCACAGGTTCGAATCTGAGGAGAGCACAGATGAGCTCCCTTTATCAGCTCCAGCTGCCCATGCGGGGATATGAGAGAAACCTCCCACAAGGATGGTAACACATCAAAACATCCACGCGTTTCCGGGGCAACGTCCTTGCAGACGGCCAATTCTCTCATACCAGAAGCAACTTGCAGTTTCTCAAGTGACTCCTGACATGACAAAAACAAACAAACAAACAAAACAAACCCACATCTATGGCAGGCATCCTCAGAGTTTGTGGGGTCTGTTGGAAACTAGGCAAGTGAAGTTTATATATCCGTGGAACATCCAAGGTGGGAGAAAGAACTCTTGTCTGCTTGAGGCAAGTGTGAATGTTGCAATTGTCCAGCTTGATTAGCATTGAATGGCCTTGCAGCTTAATCTAAAGATAAACATAAAGCAGCACTTTGACAGGAAATGGATTGGCAAGATGATATACCAGGGGTCCACAAACTTTTTAAACAGAGGGCCAGGTCACAGTCCCTCAAACTGTTGGAGGGCCGGATTATAATTTGAAAAAAACATGAATGAATTCCTATGCATGCTGCACATATCTTATTTGTAGTGCAAAAGACACTTAAAAACAATACAATAATTAAAATGAATACAATTTTAACAAATATAAATTTATTAGTATTTCAATGGGAAGTGTGGGCCTGCTTTTGATGAGGTAGGGTGGTTGTTGTTGTTGTGTGTTTTCAAGTCATTACAGACTTAGGTTGACCCTAAGCGAGGGCCAGGTAAATGACTTTGGAGGGCTGCATTCGGCCCCCGGGCCTTAGTTTGAGGACCCCTGCAATATACTATATGAGGATACGGTTTTATTGTTCTATCAATGGGTTTGTGGACTGAGTATTGTTTTTAATTTAATGACTGTTATGATAATTTGGTTGTAATTAATTGCTTTAACTCTGTATGTATTTATGGTTTTATACTGTGTTATTGATTTGTGGCATTGAATTGCTGCCTTTGTTAGCTGCTCTGAGTCGTCCCCCCCCCCCCCGGGGGGGTTGAGAAGAGCGGGGCAAAAATGCTGTAAATAAATAAATAAATAATTCTGGTGCTCAGCAAAAAGCCATTTAAATCTCAGTTCCGGTTCTGTAAAGTTGCTAGGACTCATGTCTACAGTTAGACTTCATCAGCTATTCCTTTACAAAATATACCCGTGATATCTTATCTGATTGATCTTGGACTGCATCTTATTTTTTGTTCTGCAACTCTGCTTGTTATCTTTTTGTTTCAGTATTTTTTATTGAAATTTTTCAAGGGTGAGCATTACAAGGATAAGGACCATAAAGGGGTGTGGATAGAGTTAGGATATGGATCAGGTTGGGGTTGGGGTTTGGATTGGGGATTGGGGAAAAACCAGGAAACGTGAATGGGACATTAAAAAGAAAATAAAAGAAAAAGAGAGAGAGAGTGTAATAAACTTCCATTCTTCTTTATAATGGTATTAAGGAGAGAGAAAACACTTGGGATATGCTTTCTTCTTCCTCTCAAAATCAAAAGCAAAAAAATTAGAGGCATTATTTTATTTGTTTATTGCCCGCTTTTCTCCTAATTGAGAGAACAAACATGTCATGAAAAACATTATAGATCATAAAAATGAGCATAATCATCACACCAAAACATATTTAATGATAAATTAGAAAACTGGTGACAACATAATAAATAAATAACACGACACAGTTTAAACATTCAGTAAAGTTTTAAAAAATCTCATCTGATATCCATTCCACATTTGAACCCCTTTGGGACATTTCAATCACAGTAGGGATGATTAAGATCATAATGTACCTTTTAGAAATGAGAAAAAAGCTGGGTAGTTATTGGAGGACAGGATACTTAAAAATTTTTTTTGTATAAATTAAGGCTGGTATCCACTTGATCAGAGCTTTCCAAACTCTATATTGTCTGTTATTGTGTGACTGCACTGTGTAGACATGTCACATGAATCGCTTTTGAGTTTATGTAAAATAAGCAATCATTAAAAAAAACATAAATGACATATGTGGTGCCCCCGTATATTTGGTTATTACAATTTATATGTGTTTGTATCTCTTATAAGGGGTTGGTTTAACTTCCAGTTTGCTATTAAAACTGAATTATTTTGTCACAAAATGATGTCTAAAAATGTGCCCCCAACAAAAAATGTTTAGCAAGCTCTGCTTGTGATATGATGATGTAAGTTAGATTTACACCATTGCAGCTCACATGTTTGGTTCTCAAGGGGAGTCAGAATTCCTTTCAGGCATCACAGCAACCAGAAGTCATCGTATAAGCGGCATAGTCCTCCCCCCTCCCCCCAACTACTTCGGAGACCCCATCTACACTGCCATTATAATGCAGATTGAAATGCAGACTCAAACTGTATGAGTCTGCACTGATCATATACCACAACTCAATCTACAGTTCAATCTGCATTATCATAGCAGCATCAATGGGGCCACAGTTGTCAGACCAAGGACGTCATCAGTGATGTGTCCAGATATTTTCCAGTGTGTGGACACATTGCAAGGACATCATATATTTCTGCACATCTGTCTCTTCAACAACATGGAAATGGCAATATCAGGGGCTGTATTATTTACTATTTACAAGGTGAATTAGGAGGTAGCACTGACAGACATATGGTGTGTCCCAACAGTAATGAGAATGATTTTTTTTGTAGCACAGAAGGGCTAGGGAAGGAAAGTGGGGGTTGAAGTAGGTGGAGGGGGAACCCAGGCATGCAGTTTGACCTTCCTCCTGCTTTTTTGTAGCAAAGTGTGTTTTTTGTATCCAGTCACAGGCAAAAATGCAGAGGAATCTGGAGCAGCGTCCTTCAATTTCAAGACCTGAGAACAATGTGGCTAATTGTTTGAAAACGATTCTTAACACTTCCTCATACATGATACAGCCCTGACGTAGCTCCCTGCACTTTTTTCCCAAGCTCAAACTCACCTCAAAGGACATTATTTTGGGACAGTTGAAAATGTCCAGGCAGCTGCAATGAGGGTTTTGAATGTTATCTCAAGTGAAGGCTTCCTCCTTTTACTATATAGCAACACTTGAATTACTGTATTTGGTCACAAGGAGCCTATTTTCAAGGAGATAAACTATAATTGCATTATGTTTAATATTTTTTCAAACAGTCTCATTATTTTGGGAACAGACCACTTAACTATTGGAAATGACGATTTGTGATGTGCACAATCACATGTCTCCTGATATAGGAACTTGTTGACAGTGTTTCTTTTTCTTCTTGGAAGGCTTCCTCAATGAAAGATTTCAAAAGATTGAAGCACTAGTGACAGTTGAAGCATGATTCTTTAGTGCCCTGATTTATATATGTGCATATCATTTTTATGTATGTAGTACCTCTGCATGTATGGAGGATCAACTTGGATACTCCCGAGGAGGCCCAGCAGAATCTTTCCTTTGGTGGTGCTGATCGGTGGTGGGAACAAACGGATCTCACCAAACTAATTTTATCTTCCAACAAACTGAAGTGTCTTTCTGATGATCTCCAGCTCCTGCCTGCACTCACTGTGTTGGATGTGAGTACACAAATATGTGAAATACTGCTTTCATGTTGTATACTGTACTGGTGAGACATAGGGAACATGCATCTTTTCTGTACTGTGAGTCTATCGGAAATTTTGAATTTGAGGGCTATGTAATCACCTTATAGTTTCTAAAAAAGCATCTTAGTTACTTTCAGCACAGGAAGCAGTATTGTGGTAAGTATCACAAAGGAACCACTTGCCATATATTTACATTGGTGATATATTGTGTTGATGAAAGAGTCCCATGTTCATATTCTTACTTAACCCACTGACCTTAGATTGGTTCCTTGTTTCACTTACGGGATGGCAAATGAATGCTTCAGTGATGGCTGTAGAGGAAATGTGGAAGAGAAGCATAGTAATAATGGTTGACTTTGATGAAGATAAAATGGATTTCCAAAATTCTTAAGAGAAAATGTGGAGTGTTGGGTATTTAAAGTAAAACCGTTCCTTTTTTATTAAAGTCCTGTTTAGTTATAGGTATATCTACTTCACAATACAAAGGTGTTCCTGGGCATTTCTTCCTTAATGTAAAATTTGGTGTCAGAGGAAGAAATATAAGGGAAAGAATAAAGATAGGTTCCTGTTAGACAGTGGTTCCCAACCTTTGGCCCTAGACATCCCTGACAGCTTACTAACCTTCAGGAATTGTGGGAGCTGTAGATCAAAACACCTGGAGGACCAAAGGTTGGGAACCACTGCTGTAACATTTAAATCAGTGGTTCCCAACCTGTGGTCCGTGGACCACCAGTGGTCCACAAGAAATAAAATATGATTCATGGTCTCACCGTTACACTGTTCCAACGAGAGCAACTGGTCTCGTAAAACCCTCTTATAGTGCCGAGGCTTATTAAATATGGTTTTCTGTGGGCAAGCAGATGGTGACTACTGGGTGGTATGTATTCTGTATCAGAAACTAGAGTTGATGTGGTCTATCCAATGTAATTTTCTGAATCAGCACTCCAAATAACCAAACTGAATCTAAAATTGACAAAAAACTGATTTGTAACCCTTTTGGTACCAATGTTGGAGAGTGGTCCCTGGTCAAAAAAAGTTTGGGAACAACTGATGTAAATGAAAAAAAAATTCTTAGTATGACCTTGTTCTTTTATTTTTCAGTTTCGTTTTCTGTGCTATTCTTTGATTTCACTTATTATTAGCTTTGTCTTTAAATGACACATAGAAGAAAAAGAAACACATGGAGGGATTCTGTTTTAGGATGTATTGCAAAAGCTTCTCTTGTATGTTTGAATTTTCAGTCCAGACTTTCTGTCACTACGTCTGTCTTAAAATTCTGAGAAAATAAATGTTGTGATAAATGTCTTCTTGATTTTAGGTCCACGATAATCAACTGACCTCTCTTCCTTCGGCTATAGGATCACTGGAAAACCTTCAGAAACTTAATGTGAGGTAGGTATGTTATACAATTTTCAGGAAAAATGTTTAAGGGATGAAGGCAGTTTGTAAACAGATCTTTCCCCCCTAAAATATTGTCAGCTGTAGGTTTAAAATCAATACTGTGTAACACATTCTCCTTCTCTGTTCCTATTTGCCACCAATATTTATTTTTAGGGGTTTTTCTTGCCCTTGAGTTGTGCTTGGATGAGTGGAATAGCTTCTTCCTATTTTTGTTAGGAGAACTACTTCTGTTAGCAGACTGCTTCCATTGAATCATGGTGTGTAGTGTCCTTTGTATTGAGAGTAGTGATTATTGTAAAAGTGTAGATGTGCCGCAAATGTATTAGATCATTGTGCCTGTAGCACAAGGTTGGGTATGCAAAAATAGGTTTTGGCCCAAATCTGTTCAGTACCTGGTAAATTGGGCCCATCAGTTAAATCAAACTTGCATAAATGACCTATGAAGTCTTCATTTCTTCAGCTGGTCTAACAATTGGATTTTGGGCAGAGTTCAGCCTTGGGATAACATTCATCTAATCTTTTCAATCTTTGACTCCTCCAGACTCCCAGGCTGTTCCTTTTCTGGACAAAATGGTTTTTCACTTGGAATTTGTTTTAATAATTTTTAACTGGGAATTTTTAATATTTATATTTAATCCTGTTTTGATGTTTGTACATTTGTATATTTTAAATGGCTATACTGATGCTTTTATATTAAGCTGCTTTGAGGGGAGATAAACCGGCATATACATATTATAATATTAATTTTTTAAAATTGGGGGATTTTTTTGGAAAAATCCAGGAATAGCAAATTGTTTTAAAATAGGTTTTAGGATGTACTGTTAAACATCAAAACTATCTGATTTATAAAATCAGAATTATTTGGATATGGGGAAGTTAGGGATGATCCATGTGGCCCCTGAACAATCCCAGGGACAGAACAATAGCCCTCAGTTGTGCTGTAGTTAACCAGTTCTGATTTGGGCCTTGGTTGCCTTTTAGTGTAATCCCATGAATGTTTGTTTGGAATATGGTTCATGCGGTTTCATAGAATCAGCTCCAAAGAAAACTTGTATGGGCTTCACCAGTTGTATTTAGCTCAGTAAAGGTCTGTGATGCATCATATTGTTGTAGGGTATCCTAAATGTCATGAGACTGCCTTCCATAAATGGTAAACTTGAAAAATATTCCCATTGTTGGGATTTTCTTGGGTTTGATAAGACTCAAGGCCTGGGCGGCCTTGTTCTCTGGAGGATCCTGTAGATTACATTGACCAATGTCACTGCAGGTGAATGTGGGTTGGGAAAACCACCTTATTTGAAAGTATCCCATTGCATTTTTAATCTGACAGGTGTCTTTACAGGAACCTGATACTAATACATCTCCTCATGATTGTTTTATCAATAGTCATAATAAACTGACAGATTTACCAGAGGAACTTCTCCAACTTAAGCATTTAAGGAGTTTACTTTTACAACACAATGAATTAAGTCACTTGCCTGATGAGTTTGGGAAGCTAATCAGCTTGGAAGAGTTGGTAAGTGGAGGGCTTCTGTACTGATTCATCTACTTATTTGCAGGCTTCTTGACAAGCTGTACCTGAAGTACAGTCAGTCCCCAAGTTACTAACAAGATAGGTTATGTAGGTTTGTTCTTATGTTGAATTTGTATGTAAGTTGGAACAGGAACATTATTGAAGGGTAACTGCAGCCATTTTAGCTTTCGATAGGGGAGGGTTAACATTCCTGTGGTGTTTGTTTTGCTGTTTGTTCTCCTATTCAGAACATTTCCCCCTCTTTCTGCCCCTGCGATAATTGGAAAAAATGGCTTTTTGTGGAAACAGGGATTGGTGATAAAGTGGAGACACATTTTCCCCATGATAACTCTTTCAAGAGTGAATTACCCTTCCTAGAGGTAGATTTCTCTCACCCCCTGTTGTCACCCCCATTTTTAGCAGTGAGTCGTTTCTAAGTCATATGTTTGTAACTCAAGGATTGCCTGTACACAGATCCTTTGGCAAAATATGTTTTATGCGTATTTATACTGTGGTATTCAATGAAGCTTATCTCAAAGTAAGAGTACATAGAATTATAGTGTTAATCAATCTTTCTTTCCTTCATTTCTTCAGGATATTTCCAATAATCATGTGTCTAATATCCCTACAAGTTTTGCATTTCTCACAAATTTGGTGCAACTTAATGTGTCTCATAATCAGTTGAAGTGTCTACCAGCAGAGATCAGTGCAATGAAAAGTAAGACAATGTTGGATTCTACCTTGATATGCTTGTGTTTTGTTTTGAGTTTTTTGTCTTAGTGTGGGGGGTTTTTTTTGGTAATTATTCTTTTAAAAGAAGTTTGAACACCTTTTTTTATTTTTCATTATCCTGCTTGCTAATCCCTCAGAACTCTTTCAGTAGTTGTGTGGTTGCCCCTTTTTAAGGTGAGCTGCCATTGTCCCAACAGTGCCACAGTCACAGATGTGAATAACAACATTTACGAGGTTGTAAGTCTAGCTTATAACATTGTAAAAACTGAACAGAATGCCAAAATGCCTCCCTCTTCACTGGTGACAGTCGCTATCCAGACTATGGAATTCTCTTCTTCGAGAGGTCCAGTTGGGCTCCGTCCCGCTGCCTTTCCACCAGCAGGCAAAGATCCTTTTATTTAAGGAGACTTTTGTTTCTAAAACCCTTGGTTTTTTTTAATTAAAGTTTTTATTTGGTTGTGTTTTACATCTGTACATAATTTTTTTAAATTGTACTTTATTGTGTTTTGTACACAGTTCTTATTATGCTGGGAGCAAGGTAGGATATAAATAAAATAAAATATGTCCTGGAATGTGCTTTCCTAAATGTTAGGAGAATTTCTGAAATAGAATATGATAATGGGGTAGAGGACTGTGCAGGGGTTTTTTTGTTTTTTTTTTTTTGGTAGCTAGAAAGAGGCCCTTGGGTCACCTTGCCTTATGTAAGTGGATGTGCCTCTGCTTACAATAAAGGCTCCAAGCTATTGTTTTCTAATCCAGGGGGATTTAGGTAGCTCTTAGCAACATTGTATAGACTTTTATGCGCTGCAAGCCTTATGTTGCATCCTTCTTACACTTTGCTTGCTTTTATGCAAAATGCAAGAACTGTGCAAAATCTTGCATAAGTATTTATGAATGACTGTATTTGACTTGGGTGGGTTGCTTAATACCTGAGGCTTCTTATAGAAATGTACCCTTAAATAAAATAACTGTCTGTGGTCATCATGAAAAGCACTTCGTTGACTTTGATTCTGATGCTTACACTTGACCTGTTCCTATAGATTTAAGACAGCTTGATTGCACTAAGAATTACCTTGAAACGATACCTCCAGAACTGGCCAACATGGCGTCATTAGAACAGCTTTATCTAAGAAGAAATAAATTACGTTACCTGCCAGACCTTCCTTCATGTACAGTTTTAAAAGTAAGACTAACTCTTTGTAGCTTTGATGGTCGTGCATTACGTTAGTTGACTCTGGATCTGAAATGCATATTTTGTTCCTTTTGTTGTTTTAGTTATCTTTAATGCATAGACATATGTCGGTATTTACAGAGCTAGCTATATTAGACAGAGAAAATGACAGAATCCAGTTTCACCATAAAGCTTACAAGCTTTATTTGGCATACAATTTTGTGAGCTATAGCACACTTTGGTTGGCAGGTTTCCAAATATGCTAAGTAGGGGAATTAAAATACCAAAGGGACAAACTTGAGTGTTATCTTAACTGTTGGGGAGTAGGAGGTCTGTGATAACAGACATAAGCAAACTAACACAGGTGTTATCTTGTTCTCAGATCAGAAAGGCTCTGGTAGAAATCATAGCAGCGTAAGCCTAAAGGTCAGAACTGGGAAAGCAACACACCTCCTGACAATTCCATTAGGGTCAGTAGTTAAACTAGGAGCAAATAGCCACATTACTTAGAGCAATTCAGACCCAATGAAAACAAGCGTAGAGACACAGGTAGTCCAAAGTCAAAACGTAAGCAGAATAAAGAAGATAACAAGCAGAGTTGCAGAACAAAAATAAGATGCAGTCCAAGATCAATCAGATAAGCAATCATGGGTATATTTTGTAAAGGAATGGCTGATGAAGTCTAACTTCAGACAAGTCCTGGTAACTTTACAGAACCATAATTGAGATTTAAGTGGCTTTTTGCCGAGACCTTCACAGACTCAGGTCCAGACATTTTAGATTAATTTTCTTTGGAAGAGAGCCCCTTCACCTGAAGAGAGTTTCTACTGTTAAGAAGCCCTCTACCTGTGAGATAGTTCCTGGAGCTAAGCACTTCTCCTGGTAGCTTCAGGTTGAGTCCATGTCTTCACCTGGTCATCTTCCTGTAGACCAGGCATAGGGAAACTTCATCCCTCCATGTGTTTTGGACTTCAGCTCCCGCAATTCCTCTCAGTAAGCTAGCTGGAATTTCTGGGAGCTGAAGTGCAAAACACCTGGAGGTACAAAGGTTGCCCATGCCTGCTGTAGACCAATGAGAGTTATAGGCCAAAATCTGGAGGACCAAAGGTTTCCGTAGATTAGAACAGATCTTATACTTGGTTTATGTGTTTTAATTTAACAACTTGTATGGTACTTTGAGGGAATATATTTTAATGGGATTCTAGTGACAAGTACTGTTGTATACAGATTAGACACCCCTTATCTGGAATTCCAAAATCAATTGTTGTCCACATGGATGACTGAGACTGTGACACCTTTTGCATTCTGATGTTTCATTGTCCACAAACTTGGTTTCGTGTACCAAATTATTGACAGTATTATGTATAAAGTTATCACCATACTATGTGTTTAAGATTTGTATAAAACATTAATGAATTTCATGTTTAGAGTTGGATATCTCATTATGTCCATATATGCAAATAAAAGTATTCCAAAAAAGAAGTAAGTGTTGAAATCCCAAAGACTTCTGGCCCAAACATTTTGAAAAAGGAATGCTTAGTCTGTACAAGCTTTTTTTAAGAATATGGATGCGATTGGTTTTTTTTAATGTCAGGAGTGACTTGAGAAACTGCAGGTTGCTTCTGTCCATCTGCAAGGACATTGTCCAGGGGACGCCTGGATGTTATACCATCCTGTGGGAGGCTTCTCTCATGTCTCCACATGAGAAACTGGAGGTGGCAGACGGGAACTCACCCTGCTCTCTGGATTTGCTGGCACAAGGCACATTGAGCTAAAATTATCCAAGTATTAGTAACACTAATGCAGGTTATTTCTTTAACTATGCATAGTACCCATTATGACACTACTTTTCTGTGGTGTTGGGATTGTGGCGCCCAACTTTGTCAGAATATTACCATGACTGGTATAGTCTGTTATCATAAATATGTATAATATAGTAGTTCTGCTGATTTCTAATCCCTGCAGTATTACTACACAACCTTTGCCTTAGAATCCCTGAATTAAATAAATATGTAAATAGATTTTTTTTCCTTTTTGACATGTAAAAGAATTTTTAGTATTACTTATTTGGTTCATCTGATATCAGTTGATGTTCACAGAGTTGATGGCTATATTTAATTTTCTTTTTATTCAAAGGAGTTGCATGTTGGTGAAAATCAAATTGAAATTTTGAAAGCTGAACACCTGAAGCACCTGAATTCCTTGTGTGTATTGGACCTTAGGGAAAATAAGCTGAAATCAGTGCCTGATGAAATAGCTTTGCTAGAGGGCATAGAGCGACTAGATCTGTCCAACAATGATATTAGTAGGTAAGACTATACAGTTGACCCTCCATATCCACAGCTTCTGTGCCCATGGATTTGACCATCCATGGCTTGAAAATATTCTATAAAAATCAAAAAGGCACACCTTATTTTTTTCGTTTAATATAAGGGGAACAATTTTACTTCACGGTTGCATATAAAGGAACTTGACTATTTTGATATCCATGAGGCTTTCTGAATTCAAACCCTAGTGAATGCCAACTGTAATAGACTTCATTGCTTTGGAATAATGAATCCAGGTTTATATAACTACTGAATTTTGAATCAAGAATATACTTTTCTTTTAAAAAATAATACTATTTGTTTGTAAACGAATAACCAGGAAGAAATATTTTCTAATTATGAAGTATGAAATTCCATGTAATTTGGCCTGCTTCTAAAATTGTGCTTTTGATTTGAGGTAATTTTTCAAAAGAGGGTTTTCTCTTGGCAGCCTTCCTTGTAAACTTGGAAACCTTTCACAGCTGAAGTTCCTAGCTTTGGAAGGAAACCCTTTAAGAACAATCCGAAGGGATATTCTTCAAGTAAGCATACATAATTGATAAAATAGCTGCAGTTATTTCTTTCCTCTTTAGAATCCAAACATGTGGTAATTGACAAGCTTTTCTGTGCTTTTGTTCCCTTCCATTTTAGAAAGGAACACTAGAAATATTGAAGTACCTCAGAAATAAAATACAAGGTAAGTGTTTTCTTTCTTGATAAGGGAAATACTTATAATTATATCAGGATAGCTGTGTGATCCATTGCCTTCCTTTCAAAAGTTGCTTTCTGACTAAAAACTCCATTCATCTATGTTTGATTACATTTGATTTATTCTTATCCATGTAAAAAGGAACTATTTTATAACATATTTAAATAATGTTTAGAATTATTTTGCAGAACCTAAGTAGAAAGCTGTGGCCATTGGAATGACACTATTTGCTGAGCACAGTCATAACTAACTCTGAATGGAGAATACAGTGGCTCCTCCAACAGCATGTCATACCATTGTAGAAATCTGAGAACTTTTCTAAGCATTTTGTAATAGAATGGTTTACTTTTCTCCAGAAAAATGGCAAGTCTTCTTTGGGATGAAGCTACTTTTAGAACTTCTTTTAGTACTGTACCTTAAGTCTTATCAAAAAGAGAAAATATCCTTATTCAGGAAAGGTAATGGTTTCCTTTTCTGATAAGACATAAGGTACAGTCATTGCCCAACGTTTTGTTGTTGTTTATCTATTCAGTCGCTTCCGACACTTCATGACCTTATGGACCAGCCCACGCCAGAGCTCCCTGTTGGCCGTGGCCACTCCCAGCTCCTTCAAGGTCAAGACAGTCATTTCAAGGATACCATCCATTCATATTGCCCTTGGTCAACCTCTCTTCCTTTTCTTTCCATTTTCCCCAGCATCATTATCTTCTCCAAGCTTTCCTGTCTTCTCATGATGTGGCCAAAGTACTTCATCTTTGCCTCTAATATCCTTCCCTCCAGTGAACAGTTGGGCATTATTTCCTGGAGTATGGATTGGTTTGATCTTCTTGCGATCCAAGGCGTTCCCAGAATTTTTCTCCAGCACCACAGTTCAAAAGTGTCTATTTTCCTTCACTCAACCTACCTTATGATCCAGTTCTCACATCCATAGGTTACTATGGGGAATACCATTGCTTTAAATATGTGGATTTTCGTTGTCAGTGTGATGTCTCTTGTTGTTTATTTGTTCAGTCGCATCTGACTCTTCGTGACCTCATGGACCAGCCCATGCCAGAGCTCCCTGTCGGCCATCACCACCCCAGCTCCTTCAAGGTCTAGCCAGTCACTTCAAGGATACCATTAATCCATCTTGCCCTTGGTCAGCCCCTCTTCCTTTTTCCCCAGCATTATTGTCTTCTCTAAGCTGTCATGTCTTCTCATTATGTGGCCAAAGTACTTCATCTTTGCCTCTACTATCCTTCCCTCCAATGAGCAGTCAGGTTTTATTTCCTGAAGTATGGACTGGTTGTATCTTCTCGCGGTCCAAGGCATTATCAGAACTTTCCTCCAACACCACAATTCAAAAGCATCTATCTTCCTTCGCTCAGCCTTCCCTATGATCCAGCTCTCACGTCCGTAGGTTACTACAGGGAATACCATTGCTTTAACTATGCAGATCTTTGTTGCCAATGTGATGTCTCTATTCTTCATTATTTTATCGAGATTGATCATTGCTCTCCTCCCAAGAAGTAAGCGTCTTCTGATTTCCTGGCTGCAGTCTGCGTCTGCAGTAATCCTTGCACATAGAAATACCAAGTCTGTCACTGCCTCCACGTTTTCTCCTTCTATTTGCCAGTTATCAATAAGTCTTGTTGCTATAATCTTGGGTTTTTTTGAGTCTCTACTCTTCACTATTTTATTGAGATTGGTCATTGCTGTCCTCCCAAGAGTGCCTAACATTATTTAGCTAGTAAAAAGAGCTTGTAATTTGAGATTTGAATGGCACTTAAGTAAGCGTTTCAGTTTGTGTAAAAAACAAAACAACCAGCAGAAAAGAAAAATGGCACATGAAGGCAAATACTTTATTTTTAAAAAATAGGTAGCATTCACCTTGCTTTGTTTCAGATTTTCATACTTTTTTAATCGGTTGCACTCAGTAGGATTGCAGACATGTATTGAGAGAGCTGAATATTTTAAAGACTTTCTAATGTATTTCACATACTTAACATATTTACTTTTATTTATTTTTAGATGATAGTGAAACTCGACCAAATGGAGTATTGCCTGTGACAGCAATGACCCTGCCAAGTCAGTTGGAGGTCAACCTGCATGCTATCACTGCACTGAAAACACTGGATTATAGGTAGAAATATTTTATGATTGGGAGATTTACAGGAACATTGCAAGTTTTCAGTTTTAACAGTACCATCTGTTAACAGTAGCTGAATGAAAGGACAACAGCATAACCTCTTCTCTCCTGCCCATCAGCTTCCTCACCAGCATGCATGACACCGTGTAGCTTATTACTCTTTAAATACGCAAATACTATGGCTGGGTTGGGTAACAGGAAACCCCAAAAAACTTTTTAAAAACCCTAATTGTTATCCATCAAATAGATATTGGCTGCCTCTTGGCTACTGAACTAGGACCTGAATTTAGATGTTGATGTATAAAGCCTGAAAAACCTCAGTGGCTGCATGCCTGGCTTATCTTCCTTTATGTGTGTCCAGCTAGCCTCTGGAACACATCCTTGGATGCCTTATTTATTACATAGCCCAACAAAAAGAATTCTTGATATCTTGATGTTTGGGCCTATTCCCAGGATTCTTTGGGGCATTGAAAAATTGCATTGAAGAGACCACAACACCTCTAGTTTTTTAGATATGGTTGTCATGGTTGTCTATGGGCAAGCAGCTGGCAGCTGGCAGATGCCATGATATATATTCTGTATCTCAAAAACTAAAGTTGATAGTGCCATTTTTAGAATCAGCAGGTCAAACATATCCAGAAATAGTGCTAAAATTTGAAGCACCAAAAATGTGTGTTGGCTAGTGAGCCAATCAAATGGCATCAATTACCACTGTGACATTGCAGGGATTGAACTCTTGCTGAATGGGGTGTCCTGTTTGGCTGGACTTCTAAGCATGGAGGCCCAGATTTTGTGGTGGCCAAGAATGCATTTGCACAGGTAATTCTTGTGCTTCAGCTCTGCCAATTTCTTGAGATGTTGGATGTGGCTTTACTGACACAGTTTTGAACTACATCTCATTTGTATCCCTATTACATGCTTTTTGCAAGGTTGCCTTTGAGGATTGTTCAGAAAATTCATCTGGTACAAAGAACTGCAGCCAGATTGTTAACTGGGGCTGCTACATATGATACACAACCTCCTTATTTCAATTTTTCTGTTGGCTGCCAGGCTGTTTATTGGCACAAGTCAAAGTTCTGGCTATGACTTACATAGCCTTCTTACACAGTCCAGGTCCAGGCTTTCAGAAGCACGGGAGCTCCTTATATGAAATCCTTGAAATCACCTGGGAAGGCCCTTCTTTCTGTCCCACTGCTCTCACAGGTACATCTTATGGGAACTTGGCAAAACTTTTCTTCTTGTCTGTTCCTGGGCTCTGGAATTCCTTTCATAGAGAGATTATGCATCTGAACATCTTTTTTGTTTTGGCAAATCTTTGAGGATAGGTTGCTTAGGTGGAAAGTACTTTTGCTGTATTCTGTTGTCTACATTTGTTCTTCCTTTTTATTTGTTGTCTTTTAACTGATTCTAATTTTGGATTTGGTTTAATATAGCAATCCTATGGCTCTCCTGCCCTCCCCATAATACAAATTTCAAACACTTCTTTACAATGCGCTTATTTTTGCAGCCCTACCCTAGTTGATGTTTATATGCATGTTTAAAATGGCTTCAAACCTTTTTGGTGTTGTTTATATTGTATGTCATATGCCTAATTGTAACCAGTTGGACATATTCTTATAGTAAGTGGTTTATAAATAAAGTAAATAATACTATTAAATGAGATTACTTTTACAAAATACTTAGTGAGAAGCAGGCGGCTGTAATTCCAGACGAAGTGCTAAATGCAGTTGGGAACAAACCAATCAGTACTGTAAACTTCAGCAAGAATCATCTGACTGAAATTCCAGCAAGGTAGTGACTTTTTGCCATAGAAATATTAATTATTGTAAAGTGAGAATAGGTATGTCATGATCTTTGAAGGAAATGTATTATTGAAATGTAATGACAGTAATCTTGTTTGGACATAGCATTAAACCATGCTTTACCGCTACATGAATGAATGTCCAGCTCACTTGTTTGTTGTTCTTCTAGCTCAGGTTTGGAGGGCGGGGAAGAGATGGACAGGAAGCATCTGCTTCCCATTTTAAATTATCATTTATTGTTAATTTCAAAAAGAAGAAACTGGTTTAAATTTGAAGTTTGATGCGACAAATTAGGATCAGTACAAGTACTGTAATTTCAGTCTCCTACTCCTTCGGCTATTCCTAACATGCAGAAGAAAAAGCCGAGGGGGGGGGGTTATAGCACTTGCTAAGAGAGTGTAGCCCCCCAGCCACAGCCACTCCCTCCCGCTGGCCTTTCCCATTGGAATATCCATGTGAGTTGTCTGTTACTCTTACAGGTGCTCAGGATGTTTATATCCAGTATTGCCCACATAGGGTTCTTTCCAACTGGGGTGGCCAAATAATGTGTTTTGCATCTGTGGAAGCACATGTGTTGAGCTGTGCTGATTGGAAGATTTGGAGCTCCTCCAAGCAGCTTTGGACAACCTGGCATTCTTTGCTCATAATCCTAGTCCACATAGAAAAGCAAGATCATGGGTGCTTTTTTGGTTGCTTATGGGAGGACTGTTTTAAACAAACCTTACTTCCAAGTTTAGATGTAAAAACAACAACCAGATGAGGAAGTCGTCTTACTGCAAGATGGCCTTCTATACAAACAATTTACAGGATGTAGCTAGTTTAGTTTTACAGTAGAATTATAATCTTCAGGCCATTCTTTGAGCTGCTTATGTTCTAGAACAATAATTCCTAACCTTTGGCCCTCCATGGGTTTTGGACTCCTGCTCCCAGAATTTCCAACAGCTGCCCGAATTGGCTAGGACTTCTGGGAGTTGAAATCCTGGTTAACTGGAGAACCAAAGATCTGAAACTATTGTTCTAGAGCAGTGGTACCCAGATGTTTTCTCCTTCAATTCCCAGAAACCCTAACAGCTGTTAAACTGGCTGGGATTTCTGGGAGTTGTAGGCCAAAACCCCTGGGGACCCACAGGTTGAAAACCACTTTTCTAGAGCAATGATTCCTAACCTTTGGCCCTCCATGTGTTTTGTACTACAGCTCCTAGATTTTCTGACAGTTGCCCAAATTGGCTGGGACTTCTGGGAGTTGAAGTCCCAGTTATCTGGAGGACCAAAGATTCAGAACCATTGTCCTAGTCTAGAGAGTGATAAGTTATTCATAAAGGATGGCTGTGAAAACATGCTGATGCTATCTGTAACTGAATAAGGAGAGAAAAATGCTCTGGGACCCATGGTGGCCTCAGTACTTCAGATTCATTCTTAAAAGTAACTTTCTAAGCTCTTTGGCAACTTCTATTGACTGTCATATGTTGCACTGACATGAAATAGAGGAAATAGATTTACTTGGTTTGTTTTGATATAAAAGTAAGTTTGCAATTATTAATAATGTTTAATAACAACACAAAAATGTTTAATAACAACACAAAATGTATTTGTTTTGTTTTGGATTTTATTTATTTGTTTTTATTCAGTTGAAATCTGATTTCTGTAGTAAAGTCTAGCTGTAGATGTGAATAAGCTACAGCTTACAATATGCAGACAGATTTTCTAACTAGTTCTTGGATAGTTGACAAGACTGCTTCTTTTTCTTATTGTTTGCAGAATTGTGGAATTAAAAGAAACTGTCTGTGATATCAATTTTAGCTTCAATAAGCTCCTTTCTGTTTCTCTGGAGCTCTGTATGCTTTACAGATTGACTCATTTGGATATCCGGTAGGTGATACAAAATATTTTTGAATTTTAATTTGCTTTGAAGATTTTTCCCTGATGAATATAGTAATAGATGAAATGTTAACCAATGCAGAATCAAGGATATAACAACTTTCTCCAACATGTTAGGGAGGGAAATGGAAAGCTGTAGTTCAGTGGTTCCTAACCTGTGGTCTGTGGACCACCAGTGGTCTGCAAGAACTAAAACATGGTCCGTGGTCCCAACAGTTACTACACTTGCAACGAGAGCAACTGGTCTTGCAAAACCCTCTTATAGTGGCAAGGCTTATTAGATATGGTTTTCTGTGGGCGAGCAGATGGTGACTACTGGATGGCATATGTTCTGTATCAGAAACTGGAGCTGATGTGGTCTATCTAATGCAGTTTTCTGAATCAGCAGCCCAAATAACCAAACCGAACCTAAAGTTGACCAAAAACTGATTCATTATCCTTTTGATACTAATGTTGGAGAGTGGGCACTGGTCAAAAAAAGGTTGGGAACCACTTCTGTAGTTCAGTGTATCTGGAGGGCTTCAAGTTGGGGACAGTTGAAAATTGGGAACACCTCACCCCCCTTTTTAGAACTCTGGTTTTAATCTGCAACAACCATTGGTGTAACAGAACTAGACTTGCAAAGTCAAAGCACAGGAATATTTTGATGATCAGGGATGCACATACCCCTTGCTGTTGCTCTCAGGCTTCCTACATGTTTTGCGGTAGGACTGACTGCACATATGGACATTTATGTGTCATTTGGTATTTTACTATATAAATGCATTTTATTGCAAACATGAGTATTGAGTCTAAAGACTGAAAGAGATAGCAAAAAAAAAATTACACGTTTGCTGAAGGCACATAAACTTTGGTCCCATTTTTATCTTTTGTAAAAACCCTGAAATTAAAATTTTAGACATTTTTGTTTTTTTCAAATAATTTCTAATTGTGAAGAAGTGTTATAAACAACAAGACACTGTCATGAGCTATCTGCAAAATATTTGAGAATGGCTTGGCCTAGTACAGAAGACCAATTTTGTTAAGAATGAAAACCTCTAAAAGTGTTTTCTTGATAAAGGTCAGCTCAGTCGTTTGCATTATTGGACCTTCTTTAGGTGTAAAAAAGCCTAGGTGTATGTGGTTATTAATTTCACTTCAGAATGCCCAGCTAGAGTGGTAAACTTTACTATAATATTGCAATAAATGTGACACCGTCTGAGGTTAACTTGATAGGAGAAGAACATGATCGAGAGAAATCTAGCCAGGAATGAGATTTGAGGGCTAATATTAGCTAAATCCATGGTCAAAATTTGTACAATAAGGCACCAATTCATCCCACAGCATTCATTATGACCACATTCTCTCCATGGAAGCCTGATTAAATCTCTGGTCTTTATTTCCTCGTATTTGTTAGTTTTCAATGGATAATTTGCGGAAACTGATCAAACCCCTAAATCAACCACTTTCTTAGTGTTTTGAACTGAAAGTCTCAGAACATAGGAGAAACAACCCTTAGTGTATTTTGACCCAAACCCATGGTAGCTTGAAGTAACTCCTGAATGTGGGAATTCCACTTGCACTCATCCGGATTCATCCATCAATAGTGGTGTAATTTTTATATGGACTTAATACTGGTGTAGGTTTATCCATATAGGTTAGGGAAAGGAATTTTCAGAACAAATTAGAATAGGGATCATTTTTTTCCCTTGCATTGAGAGTTTATATATTGCAAAGCAGTTCCATTAAAATAATGACATCTAATTAAAATAATCAAGATGTTTTCTTTCTCACAATTTAGAAACAATTTTTTGACATCTCTGCCTGATGAAATGGAAGCATTGGGAAAACTACAAACAATAAATCTGGCTTTTAACCGGTAAGATCATACCAGGGTTATTATCCTGTAATAGTTATTAAATAGCTGGCATGTTTTGTGTTTTTATTGGAGATACTGCCCCAGATTTGTGCATTCACAAGTTTACCCCAGTAGTGTATTCGTATGAACAGTAGAATATATAGGGAAAGGAGCCTCCTGGAATGCTGCGTGTGAATAGGTTCCATCTAGGAAATGGAAATCTTTGCTCAGGAGTTGTTGAAGTATTGTGCCCTTTTCTTTTACCATTATAGCACATATGCAAGAAAATTACTCCAGGTGGAAAGATAAAATTTAAATAATATTTAAAAACTCCTCTCTCCTTATTTTATGAGATGGGGGAGTGGGGAGGGAAGAATTAGATGTATATGCCAGGAAAACGTTTTTATGAGAACTAGTTTTTGGTTTGGAACCAGAATTGGTTTAGCCCATAAGAATGCTTTTTAAATTCTGCAACTTAAAATGGACAACATTCTTTGATGCCCACACTCTCCCACTGAGATTCATGATGTTGTCACATTGATATTCTAGAGCAGTGCTTCCCAAAGTGGGTGATATTGCCCCCCCCCAGGAATGCTTGAATGATCCAGTAAATAAAAATAAGGACCAGTGCAGTGAAAATATAAAGAGAAGAGCATGTTGAAAAACAGTTCATATATGTTTCATAAAATTAAAATTGCAGTGATGATTTTATTTTCCAAAGGAATATACAGAATGGAAATTATAACCAATCAGTGGTCAAATCCACTTAACAAGAAAGGTTTTTTTTTTCATGTCAGGAGTGACTTGAGAAACTGTAAATCACTTCTAGTGTGAAAGAATTGGCTGTCTGTAAGGACATTGCCCAGGGACACCTGAATATTTGAAGTTTTACCATATTTGTGGGAGGTCTTCTCATGTCCCCGCATGGGGAGCTGAAGGCTGTTGGTCAGCAGTCCTGTCAGCACACCAGAAGCGCTATAATTTCCAGCTTCAAGGTGTCTTGTTTACAACATCTTTCTTTACTGTGTTGTAGGGTGTAAGATGAAAGATACATAAAAGAAGGCAAATTTGTCACTACATCTTTCTGTTGGTTTGCTTAAAGAAAGTAGATTCCAAGGGGTGTTCAATGTTTGTTTGTTTTTTTCTGAAAAGGGAGCAGTAGGCCAAATAAGTTTGAGAACCCCTGTTCTGGAGGATCTACCACATTTTTATAGGAGATGAGGGACATACTGAATTGGGTCCTTCTCCATTCCACCTGCAAAAATGCTTTCCTGGATCAGAAATCTTCCATAGTATAAGAAGTCTTTTCATTCATAGAAAGCAAGGTCTCAGGTGAGGCCACTGTTTTTTTAAAAAAAAATCTGATGTGCTACCATCCTATGAGTGTTCGTACTGTGTCGAAAACACCTACTGTTGCCATGATAGGTTTGCCTTAAGTCTGAAATGACTTAAAGGTACAGAACAACAAATTAGTACCACTGCTGCTCAGTAGTAGCCCTGTATCTCTTTCTATAGTGCTGTTTACTTGTAATATACTAAAGAATTGTTTGTGGCCTTTCTTTAATAGATTTAAAGTATTTCCGGACATCCTTTACCGCATCCCAACCCTTGAAGCAATCCTCCTTGGCAATAATCAGGTTGGATCCTTGGATTCTCTACAAATCAAGAAGTTGGACAAGCTTAGTACCTTAGATCTTCAAAACAATGATATCTTGCATGTACCACCTGAACTTGGAAACTGCACCAGTCTTAGGTGAATTGAACGTTATGAGCATGGGGAGCATCCAGTCTTTTTGTATCTGATGAACTAAATACACTAGATTGGAGTTTTGAAGCTATGTTCCCTGAAAGAGGCTGTGAACTTTGAAAATGAATGATAAGAAGCCAAGGTGATAATTTGGATTCACAGAAGGCTTTTAAAATCCAGATGGTATTATTCCATAGTTCCTTTCTTGTTTAGAGACCACAAGCCACTCTTAATTTCTTCCCATATTCCAACAGAAAATCTAGGGTGGACTACCTGCATTTAATCTCAGAATAGTGGTGTCAAATGTATGGCCCTCCCAGTGTTTTGGACTTCAGTTCCCAGAATTCTTGCCCATTGGACAAGCTGGCTAGGGCTTCTGGGAGTCAGAGGCCCAAACACCTGGAGGGCTACACGTTTGAAACCACTGGACAAGGACAATACAACAAACCTGGCCTCCCACAGACATTACAACATGTTCCTTCATGTTCTCCTATGGGCATGGTTATAGTTCAACAACTTAATGTATCAGCATACAACCTTCTCACTGTGGAGTGAACAAACAAAAGGTATTATTGAAAAACAACTTCATACAGTTCCCCCCATTTTTAGGCCTTACTGTGTTAGGGGGAGTACAGGAGAGCAAACAAAAGAAAAGTACTGCTTTAAGTGATGGTGGTACAAGTTATTCCAGATATAGGTGTGTGTATGTGTGTGTGTATTTAAAACTCAGTAAACTGCCAAAGTTCTAGTGAAGTTTTATATAGTTAGGGAGAATTCATTGAGATGAATCAATCCCATTCCTATCATGGAAGGATCAGGAGCAAGTTAAAAGACCTTCAAGATGCTCCCTCTACCATGGTCAAACCCTGCAACAAATGTTTTAAATCTGAATTTAAGCACATTTCAAATTGTGTGTTAGGATAATTGGGAGGTATTCATACTACAAGAGGAGACAGGTTGAGAGAATGTATTTCCATGGCCTGTCGTGCTTCTGCATGAGTTCTTATGTGATTGAAAGAGGGGCACATATAATCAAAGGTGACAAATATAAATGACAGGTACAATTGATTAAAATTACTGGTCTCCATCAGTGGCTTTTCTGCCTAAAAAACAGGAATTAAATATTAATTGTTGCTTTAATGCAAGTGGGTTGTATGTACATATATCAAGGGATGCCTTACTAGAAACAGTAATCCTCCTTGGTTTCTCATCCTTCTTTCAGGACACTTTTGCTGGAAGGAAATCCTTTCCGTACTCCCCGAGTAACCATTCTTGCCAAGGGAACAGATGCTGTGCTCGAATACTTAAGAAGCAGGATTCCTACTTGATCCATTATCCATTGGAATCCAAATGTATGCAAGCTCTTCTTCTCTGGGACTGAAGTTCTTCTGTCTGAGAATTGTGTATTTGAATTATGAAGTGTACATGATGGAATTTCTGCTATGAGCTAGATCAAGAAGAATGTTAACTTATATGCCTAAATACACATTTGGGTGGCACGCATTAATGTGCATGCATCTGTGAATTTGGGCACATCTAATATACTGGTTTGAGGTTTTAAGCTTTTCCCCTCTTAGTTGTTCAACATTCCCTTTTCATTTTGTCCAATTTTAAAGAACATCAAAAAGGGATTTGCTGAAAAATCAAAATGAATGTACTGATCTAAACATAACATTTTTGTCTCAAGGACTGGTTACTGAAGAAATACATTGAAAGCTGCATTCATATTGTTGTATTGGAATGTATTTAACACACATTTGAAAAATCAAATTCAAGATGCACAGCAGAATAGTCTAGATATTTAATTGGGAGGCTTGGTATGCCTTATAGTTGACACACAAATGCCAGAAATGTTTTATCTATTCGGAATATTGTCAGTGCCAGAAAAAAAAAACCTAAAACAAAGCCAGTTTACATAAGGGAGTCCTAGTAACTAGAAATGAACATTTAATGGAAGCCCACACTCTTTTTGACCTTGTTATTATTTTTAGTGTGTTATAGGCATTTTCACAAAATGGCTGCCCACAATGGAAATAGATAATCACAAAACACTCATTTCAAAATCTGGTGAAGCTAAAATATATGTTTACAAAACTGAGAATAAAACAAAGTTACAGGCTTGAGTTCTAAAACTGAAATCCATCCCTTTAGAAACTTCTTGGACCTTCTTGTTTTCTTTCTCTCACCTGAACAGGATACAGGTCTGCACAATCCTATGGCTGGTGGTCTTTTCCTTTGCCACCTTCCTTTTTCAAGGTTCCCTTCATTTGGTTTCTTTTAGAGTGAGCTTATTGACAAGATTACTAGTTTTGGTCTTTTGTGAGCCAATCAATGAGCTTTAAAAGTAAAGTGTAAAAATACTTACAATAAGATGGCAGGCAGCTGGAATGTCACAGTGGAGCCAAATAATATAGCGTACTAAAAAAACTGTAATTTTTTAAATTTGAAGCAGGACGAGAGCCATGTGATTGGTACTAATAGGTCACAATAGCTGCCACATTAGAGAAGGCCTTCCTCTTATATGAGGTACAACTCGACATGTTAATGTGCATTCATTTCCTTGCTAAGTACGTGGATCTGGCAGTTGGGAAAGGGAATCCACATAACTGCAATCTGTTCCGAAAGCTGTCTGCGCATGCGCAGGAATACCAAGTGTACGATTTAACTGGAAATCTTGTTTTAGGGTGTTGTCCTGCTAAGCTTGCTTTCATGCCATTTCATGGCCTTAGAATTGTATCTTCAGTTGTAATTACTGTATACATACAATTTCTGTTAGGCAGTGGCCTTTACTGGTTAGCTAACAGTGTTTGGGACCTATTTTAAAATCTAGTGTATTGTCAGAATCTTCAGTGCACTGTGCTGGTGAAAGCATCAGCTTCAGACAGGAAGAAATATGCTGGTGGAACAGTAAAACAAATAAAGGCAACAGATGCAGCAGCTGTTAAGGAAGTGAAGCATTGAAGAAATAGACAGGTAGAGCTGGCAGTTTGTCTGCTTTCTTTGCCATAGCTGCGCATATAGTGTGCCAACACAATCCCAGCCTATATATTAACAGACAAATGCTCCAGTTCCTTGGCTGAAAAGTACTGTAGCATTTCCTCAAGCAGCCAAAACCATTGCATGAAAATTAGAGGCAGCTATTGATCCGTGGAACCTCTTCCACTATTCCAAAATAACGCAGGCATTTCTGACTTTAGCTGATTTTACTCTTGAAGCATTCAATGAAATGTCTTTTGTTTTTCATGGAGGTAGGAGCCAACATGTTTTTTTTTTAAGTTAAATAGCTGCAGACTGGCAATAGGTAATGGAAAAATAACCATTCTTGGATGCTCTGTGCTTTGAGAGTAATTGGAAATCTGTATTCCTAACGCACTCTGGGTTGCATTCCTTTAGACCACAGAATGCGCTTTCAGTAATTGGACTTAATCTGGGAAAGTGTTAGTTATGCTTAGATGCACCTCACTGTGTTGGGAAGCAGACATGATTTTCTGTAACAGCTGCAGTCTTTGTATAAATGGCGGTCATGGCAGTAACATAGCATATCAGATGCACAACATTCCCCATGTGCTTTGCCAAATGCTTCCACTTTACAGTATAAGCAGTACCAGGTAAAGGCTCTTGCTAATTCAATGTCAGGAATGCCAAACCCAAAGGGGACAGACAGCTCTTACTCTTGTATAGCTACCGCTTTGGAAAAGTAAGCAAGTGAAAGTGTCCTTTTACTGTTTTGGACATTGCGATCCTTCTTTAAAAGCATTAAAAAAACATGAGAAATGAGGAGCCAAAAATAAAAACACACGACCCAATGGCCACCAATTAATATCAACTTGCTTTTGGTAATATAACAAAACTGCAATCTTCATGTCTTAGAATTACTTTTTTTTAAAAGACAGAATACTTACAATAAGGTGACTTTATTTATACAATAGACTTTTTAATATATTATTCAAAACACTTCTTTTAAATACTGAAAAAGGTTGAGTACATCAAAGCCGAAAATGGCTCTGCTATACGCTGCACAGCATTGTTTGAGTCCCTGTATTCTTTTTATGTACAGAAAGCATCTGCAAAATGCATTCTAGACACAATATGCACCTTACCAGTTAGTGTCAATACACAAAGTAAAATGGGAAGGATACCACTTGCATGTGCAAATTAAAGATAATTGATTCCACTGAATCAATTGCTTTAAAATAGAGCTTTAAAGTACCTTTTTGCACGTAAAATGAAGCAGCTTTCAAGTTCAGTAAATCTGTATACTGCAAAAAACATTGAAATACATTCACAATCTATGTTCATAAAGTAGTAAATGATTCTTCATTCAGCCTTATTTACAATGATACTGTAATTGAACTGAAAAGTACAGTTTTGTCATATAGCAATCTTTGTAACACATACAAAAATGACGGTTCTGTATATAATTTAAGCTCAAAATCACAATCGTTTCAAAATATTAATTACAATACAGCTATCTCTATAATTAAACATGTGTTTTATAAAATGGTAAAATTTGTAATAAAGTAAATTGTTGGTTTGACTGAATTACAGTACTCACAAGTAGAAAATGTAACTAATATTTCTTTTTCTCTTGCCCAGTGTTACGCCACCTAAGCTAGCAAAGAGGCAAGAAAGGCCCCAATGTATAAAAATTCAGCCTCTTGTGCCGAACTGCTGTGGCTTGTTGATGTTCAGAATAAAAGCTTTTCCAAGGGGGGCATAAATACTACTATAAATGGAGTGAAATGCTGTGTTTTCATGTAACTTTTATATGCAATGCACATCTGAAAGATTCCTAAAGGCTGCGAAGGAGGACTCATTTTTAAAAGTGAATTAAAAGTCTTTTTTATAAAGAGAGTTAGAAATCAGATTATCAAAAATCCATGCACTGAGGAAAATATGTGTTGCCTCTGGGTGTCACTGTTACACTGTGCAGGTGTGACTTCCAGCATTGTCAAGCATTGCAAAGCTCTTTTTAAAATTCCACCTTCAGTGCATTGATATCCAAGCCAAAGAACTGGTCTGAAAGTTGCTTTTGTACCTGTCTGCTATTTGGAACACAAGGCAAAAATGAAAGCTATGACTGAAGAGAAAAAAATGAAATCAAAATACTTGATGGCAATTCCTTAAAAAAGGAAAGTGCCCTATAAATATATAAATATTTCTTTTTTATTAGAGATATACGAATGCTGTAAACATGAAACTCTTGAGTTATCTTGTTAGCTGATCATTTGAATAGTAATCCTTTCTGAACCTTAGCAAAGGAATGGGCATACAATTCAGTCTGCCCTCCACATTCACTGGGGTTAGGGGCACAGGTCCCCTGGGAAAATGAAAAAAAAGTGAATTTAAAATGGCTATATTTGAAAGAACATGTCTTTAGGTATTTCTAGGTCCTTCTGCATGACTCTGTACTATTTTTTTACTGGAAACAGACCACAGAATTGTCCAGAGGGACTTAGAGATGTTTTCTCTCTAGGCATCGCTGGTTCTCTGGCACGACTCTGTGGTCAACTTCTTAAGAGACAACATTTTAATCAAATCTGAATAATCAAATCGGCAAACATCAAACCCACAAATGCGGAGGGTCAACTGTTGTAACATTTGCTGTAGTTTCCCAATTATTTCCTAGAGAGGCATACGTTGCAGTCACAAAGCTCAGTGCTCTTGCAAATTCATTATATGTGAGTAGTCTTTTTAATCAGGAAAAGGTGTCACAGATTTTTGCAAAAAGAGAATGCTTAATTTAGAATAATATGTTCCCATCGGTTGCAGTGGCAGTGTAAAAAAATAGGTATTCTCTGGAGAACCTCTTTCGTTCCAGATTTTCATATGCACAAGATTTCTAATGAAATGCTGGTTAATGATTAAAAATAACACGAGTAATCTATTACTTATAAATAAGTAACATATTAGTCTACTATATCCCTGAGTAGTGTGCAGGGATATAATAGAAAGAACTGGCTGAAACCACGAGAGACTGGTATGTAGCTGGGAAAATGCTGGGGAACATCTATTCTCTGATAAAGACAATAATGGCAAGTGTGTGACAAGACACTGCTCTTGCTACAGGAGCAAATGCAAAGTATGAACTGTTTCTTAGACACAACTCTGTATCTCCTGATACTGGGTGCTGTATGATTGAAGTAGTGCATTGATTATCACACTGAATATATTGAATGTAATATTATAACCCAGTTGGAAAAAGAAAGTGCAAAAGCTGGGTTGCAGTTAAACATAAAAGAAACCAAGATTATGGCAACCAGACTGATTTGATAACAGGCAAATAGAGAGAGAAAACATGGAGGCAGTGACAGACTTTGTATTTCTAAGTGCAACGATCACTGCAGATGCAGACTGCAGCCAGGAAATCAGAAGACATTTACTTCTGGGTAGGAGAGCAATGACCAATCTCGATAAAATAGGGAAAAGTAGAGACATCACACTGGCAGTGGTCCCCATAGTTAAAGCAATGGTATTCCCCGTAGTAACCCGTAGTAACCTATGGACGCGAGAGCTGGACCATAAGTGAGACTGAGTGAAGGAAGATAGATGCTGTGGTGTTGGAGGAAAATTCCGAGTGCCTTGGAATACAAGAAGATCCAACCAATCCATACTCCCTCCGCTCACTGGAGGGAAGAATATTAGGGGCAAAGGTGAAGAACTTTGGCCACATGAGAAGACCAGAAAGCTTGGAGAAGGTAATGATGCTGGGGAAAATGAAAGGAAAAAGCAAAAGAGGCCAACCAAGGGCAAGATGGATGGAAATGACTGGCTTGTCCTTGAAGGAGCTGGGTGTGGTCACAGCCTACAGAGCTCTGGCATGGGCTGGTCCATGAGATCAAGAAGAGTCGGAAGCGACTGAATGAATAAACAACAACAATGTTGTGCTTTGAGCGTTAGACTCATGGTTTGTGTCCCTGCTCATCTGTATCTTGAGCAAGTCAATTTTAGCCTCAGAGGAAGGCAATGGCAAACCTCCTCCAAATAAATCTTGCCAAGAAAATCAATGAAAGGGTAACCATAAGTCAGAGTTGACAGCATATAACATCAAAGGGTAAAATCAATAGTGTTGAAGTAAGACAACTTCCACTTATTTTAAGATACAAACAGGTGCATCCATATGGCACTTACTGCCCGCTGGCTTTTAATAAGTACTTATATTAAAAATATAGGTACTTATGAAACAATCAATTGCCTGATGAATTGGGTACCCCTTTAGAGTTGTGTGTGTGTGTGTGTGTGTGTGTGTACAGTGTGTTTATCTCCTAACTGACTTTAGCTTGAAAGGATGCAGCTATCTGAAGTTTAGATATCTTTTGACATGATATAAATGCTGCTACAGGAAAAAAAATCGGGGATTCAGAAAATTACAGTTCTGTAGGTCAGCTTTGTAGAATTTTTGCTTCAGGAACATCTCACGGCTGCATGCATAGATGCAAAATGAACTCCTGCTGAAACATCAGTACTGTTCAGAAGCCATATACTAATGTCCAACGTGGGCTCGTCCCGATATGTCCCTGAACAGCTGTCATACTGACTGGGGGCAAGAATGAGAAAATGTCAGTTTGTCTTTGTCCTTTCAGTCTTAACTTGATAAATAGAGCTAAACTGTGGGTATTGCTGCTAACAGAATTGTCGTTATGGCAACAAATACAGTGTAATCCAATTCCAAAGAGAAGGTGGGCATTGGAGTGTAAGCATTTCAATGTGATTTTTGAATTCCACAGATGTATTCTTCAAATCATTGTCAAAAATAAGAGACAGGGTAGTCCTAACAAAGGGTCCTAATCAGGATATGAGTCCTAGTAAGCTTGGCAATGTGGGATGGGCTGAACAAGAAATCTTGAATTCAAAGGTAATATAGATTCAATGCTTACAAGAGCTATGCCATGTGGAATGTATTTTAAGACAAACAAGCACTACTTTGGAATAAAAACAACTTGGGGGGGGGGGGATACACTGCAAGGCTTCTAAATTGTTTGTATATACATGCTGCTTTGAGCTGTTGAGGAAGACTAGAGTATATTGAGAAACATATATATAAAATATCCCTAACATCCTTGCCCCCATGTTGAAAAGGCTGCAAAAATGGCCAGACAAACCCATTAGGTCTCTGGTCCACATATGTCGTCATTAAAAGGCTAGCCTCACTTGTGTTCGTTTCATGCATGCAGTTGCAGGAAGTGGCTAGATTTATACTGATTGTGCGTCCTTACAAATCTCCAAAGCAGACTGAAAGCAAGGCAATTTGTTTAAGAGAAGACTAAATCCCCTTAGGGGAAAGTCTGAATCTATTTCAATTCAAGCTTTGGTCTTTATTTAAACCGAATATACACCCTGTGTTGAATGTTCCTGTTATTATTTGGAGCTAAAGCATATTTTTGAACTTAATTATTCTTTTCTGTTTTTATATAAAAGTCTTAAACCCAGGAGAGATGACATATAAATATATCCTGAATAATTTTATAGTTTGCATAAATCTGCCAGGGTTATTCAACATCATGATAAAGTACCTTATCACTCTGCCTCCAGACATGTAATTGAGGTTTCTTCCATCACAAACCAAATAAAGAAATTAAATGTATAGATGAATACAGATAAGACTGAGCATCAGATTATGGTTCTAGAGATTTGAATCCTCTTTCAGCCATGGAATAGATTTGGCTGGCCTTGGGCAGATCAGTCACTCTCAGCTCCTGGAGAAAATAAAGGTAAGCCCACTCTGAACAAATCTGGCCAAGTAAAGCCTCTTGTAGTCTGGCAAGCATCAGAGGATTTTTCTGAATATTCAGGGGATGAGGGAGATGATGGGTTCCAAGATGAGGAGTCTATGAGTATTCAGAGGGAATTGCAGGCAGACAAGGCTGATGTTTTGGATTCTTCAGTTCGATCCCAGGTAACGAGAAAATAAAAGTACCAGTTCCCTTGAGAAAAAGCCTTGGGAAGACGAGTAGTTTTCAAGGGAGAATAGATTAGACCTGAGAACGCAGGGCATGAAAAGCCGGCAAACTAAATATTCTCAGGTAATTCAAGATAAGACCTTGAGGTCCAGATGTGTTCGACATGATGTCATGGGTGTCTTGGACACTAAAATGAAGTGGTTTGCTTTCAGTCTTTCAGAAGAGAGAACTTACTAAAGGAAATTGGTCTCCAGTTTTTATTCCAAGTTCTTGGTTCATGTATTGTCGAGGTTTCTGTTTCATGTTCCTATTTATGCCTATGTATTCTTGGAGAAATTACCTTGAAGAAGTTCCTGTCTTCATATTCATTGATATAGCTTTGGATTAGTGTTATGCTTTTGGATTACTGGGTTTTTTGTTTTAATCTGGCATTTTTGGATTACTGTTATTGATCATAGAATCATAGAACCAAAGAGTTGGAAGAGACCTCATGGGCCATCCAGTCCAACCCCCTGCCAAGAAGCAGGAATATTGCATTGTTAGTGAGTAAAAGTCTTCATTTACAATACTGAATGACAAGACTAACAATTGATCCCTTGCCTCTCTTGAGAATTGTATTTTATATCTTTATTGACTCATTTGTGTTTTGCCTTTTTCCTTTTTATATACTTTTTATATAAACATTATTTTGTTGGAGTACTGGAGTACTGGTGTAGGGTGAAAAGGGTGTTCCAGTGCTAGAGTGCAACAAACCCCACAACAGGGTTCTGGCCATCTTTGGGGTGCTATAAGTCAAAACAATTTGAAGGTGCCCAACAAAAACAACAAAAATGTTAGTGTCCCACATTTCTTGTCCTGTTCTTCCTTAAAACTATGCACTTTCTTCCAAGGAGGAAAACTTGGCATTAATTGAGAACTAAGGCTCAGTTTGAACATATGCGTTCAAGAGCTTGAATAACAGCCAAGTATTCTAGGAACAGTAGCCACCAAAAGTTATTTATCCAAATTCTGCTGACTTGCATTCAAGTTTGAGCTACGAATGAGGAAAAGGTACTAACAGGAGCATTGTTTCTTACTTAGGTAGGCAGGAGTGGAAGAATGCTATTAGATGCTAATATTTCTTATGTCATTTCCAATGGACTCAATGTGATCTAAAAGAGTTAAGCATATGAGTAAAAGTCTTCATTTACAATACTGAATGACAAGACTAACAATAGGTACATGCAAGAGGTACACTAACAAGGGCCTTTAATAGATTTAGATTCTCTCATAAGGCAGTGAGTTGTTCACAAGGAAATGTGTCCATGCAAAAATAATGCAAAAGGCCTGCTGAGAATTCCTAGGAAGCCTGGATAAGGAGGCCAGGAAGTGAGATTTTGTTTGCTTTCCAAGCTCAGTCGCCTCCTCCTTCATAACTACCATCTAATTCTTTCTCTGCCACTTATTTGTGAATCATCACATAGAACCATGTATTCTCCAAGAGACCTCAACTCCAAACACTATGCCTTTGCCTTTGTAGTCAAAACCTATGGTCTGCCCTTCTTTGTCATCTCAGGTTGATGGGAGTGATGGGACAGAAGAAATGAAATAGTTTCTGATTTATAAATATAAATAAGTAGAAGTGACCAGTAAACAAGGGTCTGGATTTTCAGAACAAGATACTGTCTCCTCAAAAAGCATCCTTATCGGTTCAGTTACATTTTCACCAGATTAGAAATGGCATTATGATTGGACTGGGAAGAGGTCAAAGATATCTCTGGTGTCTGGCTCTCTGGCGGAGTTACATTAATAAAGACTTTTGAGCAATAGCAAAGCAGGTGTCTTGGATGTGTATCAGGATGGGCATTCACAATGAGATAGCGTATCTTTATAGTTTTTATCTAAAATAAATGTCTGGTAGAATAAACATCCAAGCAGCCCATTCTGATGCAACTTAAGATAGATTGAGGCTGTTTTCTCCGTCTTGAATTCATAGTACAAATTTACCTGCATTTTATAATGCTGTAGTGATTGTGGGGGAGATATCTTTAAAGGTTTTTAGGAAACCGAGCTAAAACAAGTTTTTTCCCCATGTCAGGAGCGACTTGAGAAACTGCAAGTCATTTCTGGTGTGACAGAATTAGCTGTCTGCAAGGACATTGCCCAGGGGTTGCCCAGATATTTTTATGTTTTTAACATCCTTGTGGGAAGTTTCTCTCATGTTCCCTGCATGGGGAGCTGGAGCTGATCGAGGGAGCTCATCTGCACTCTCCCTGGATTCAAACCAGAAACAAGTGCAAGGAGGAAACTGGAACCTTTTAAAGGCAGCTGAAAAAGTGGGACAACAGATAATTCATCAGGACAGATGGAGGTTATGTAAATAGGTGTGGAATCTAGAATGAAAGAAATGAAGAGTAGTGATCTTTGCAACCATTGAAAGCACACCATTTTCACTTTCAAAGTTCAATCTAATTTATGGAATACATTATTTGAGAAGTGTTAGGTCTGTTTCTGAAACAATATCAGCAGTGGATGAAATGTTGCGTGTAGAGGCTCAACAAAGTCGCGCAAAAATATAGATTAATAAATGCCTGATTCACTTGATACACAATTAAGTCTTTTTCTGCTCAAATTGGAATATCCAGTGCTTTTCACTGATAATGAATTATTTCAGACTGAGATCCCTTTATTAAATAGCTGAACAATTGCCTTTGAAAGCATGGCATGGCATTGATACACACCAGCTTATTCGGTCACCTTTCAAAGCTGAGAGCCACTTTGCTCTTAGTCTGAAACCACAAAAAATAGTTAAATCTGGGTAGACTATAAAATGTGGAGACTCTAAATGAAATAAATACGCACAGAAAAAGACGCTTCCTATTCATACAAACACATTTACTGCTCAAGATGATTTACTGTCTGCTTCTCGTGTCTAAGTGAGTGGACTAAAGGCACCAACATAAGCACAATATCTGAGTCTTGTCTAGACTGTTTTATTTATAGATTCAGGAATTAATGGCGTTATTTATAAACAGACTCACCTTTAATGCTAACATTTTTAGCTATTTAGAAGGGAGCAGCTACAAACAAGAATTCTGATCCAAGTTGCTGTGAGTTTTCTGGGATGTATGGCCATGTTCCAGAAGCATTCTCTCCCAAGGATGTCTGCCATCGATGTGGGTGAAACATCAAGAGAGAATGCTTCTGGAACATGGCCATACAGCCCGGAAAACTCTCAGCAACCCAGTTATTCTGGCCATGAAAGCTTTCAACAACACTTTGATCCAAGCGTTCATGTATGCAGCAGATCCTACGAATGAACACCACGTCTTCTGCTGTGTCCCTAACTCTAGTCCACATTCCCTCATTTTTCAAAGAGGCTGGTGCTGTTGAAGTTGAGCATATATTTGTAGTGCACTCACATACCTGATCCCATAGCATCTAAGTATGGGGTAACTTTCTCTGTGTAGTAATCCTCTGTATGAAAACAACAGTTCACTAAAGTTGGCCCTCCATATCTACGGATTTCGCATCTCTGGATTCAACCATCCATAGCTTTATTTTAAAAAAAAATTGAAAAGGTAAATTTTGATTTTGACTTTTTATATATGGGATGCCATTGTACTATACCATTGTAGAAAAAGTAATGGGACTTGAGTATCCATGGATTTTGCTATCACAGGGGGTCCTAGAACCAACTCCCAGCAGACACTAAGGGCTTACTGTACAGTGTATAACTTATGAAACACCCAAACTGTTTGCTGTTTTGCTTTCATATACAACTGTCAGGGAATAAAGACTTCAATGGCTTGGACCCAGTATACCTGGAAGCAACCATGGGGTCAGGAGACACAGGTACTGCTTTGCAGTTAAACCTAGTCAAAGTTTTTAACCCCAGCCTATAATTTGCAAACTCGATTACTGCTGTAGGAAAACTCTCTTTTAAAAAGACATTTTTATCTGTTGTGCCTGTCTCTGTTATTCTGGTTTGTATTAAATATGTTTTCTGAATAAATATGTTTTCTGAATAATAATCAGTCTGTCCACAGAAACATGTAGCTTTTCCCCTCCCCTAATAAGAGAATCAGTCTTAAATTTTAACTCTCCTTTCTAAGGTGCATTTGCATTGGAAAAGCAAAACAAAATGATAGGGGATTTAAAGTGCAATCCAATTCAGAAGTCCCATTAAATGAATCTGCCAAGTACATATAGGATTGCACCCCAAATTAGTACATTTTATCTTCTTTTATTTGTCTATGTTTTTTTCCTCTAACGCATGAACCCCTGCATGCATGGAATGACTATATGGAATGGCTTCAGGGGTGTTTCACTAAGTTGGGGGGAATGTACATGGCTCAGCATAGCATGGGTCCAGATGTGGATATTTATGCAATGCTGATGGGATGCAGGGTTGAGGTCTAAATCTGATATGTTAGTCTTTATGGAATTGTAATGTTTATGTAGAGTCCTTTCCAAAGGTATGAACAACTTTGAGGCAGTGTTTTGGATGGACCTTAGAATTTGTAAATAGCTTGTGGGTACTTCTGTATTCTGAAATTACATGACATCCAGAAATAATTTAAAAGAATATTAAATAGCAGCTGGCACCAATGCATAGCCAGAGGCTTGTAATGAAAACTAATACATAATCACATGTAAGTTATATAGTTATTTCCCCCCAGAATGATCGGTACTAACATATAATATTATACATTTGGCACTATGTTTGCCATTGGTCCAGCAATTGGCAAAAAATGTTTCTTATATATATATATATGTATATAAATTTTTGATTAACTAAACATTAGATCTGGCTAAGCATATTTTACTATTTATAAAAAAATATTTAGACAGTAAGCTCACGTTGAATAACTAGGTCTACTGTATTCTGGAAACTCTTCAGTAGTAATACAGCTTTCTCATGTTCCATATGTACAAAACTGTGTCCATTCGCCTGTAACAGACAAAAGAGAAAAAATTAACATGACAGTTTATAGTTTTGAAGATGTTCAGAGAAAGAGATACCACCATCTTTCTAGGTAATTGTATTGTCAAACTACTCTTACTGTCTATGGCTCAGTCAAAACGAACTTAAAACCATTGAATCTGAATCCTCCTCTCTGTGACACATCTCATATTTATAAGTATCACTGGAATTCTTTATGATCTCCTACAACAGTGGTTCTCAACCTGTGGGTCCCCAGGTTTTTGGCCTACAACTCCTAGAAATCCCAGCCAGTTTACCAGGTGTTAGGATTTCTGGGAGTTGAAGGCCAAAACATCTGAGGACCCACAGGTTGAGAACTATTGTTCTACATTATGTAACTTTATGTTTACTTAGCAGAAGGGCTAAAAAAACCAACACCTCCGTTACTAAATTGTGAAGATGTGTAACAATACACCAGCAAAAATGTCCAATGCTAATTGAGACCAAGGTGCATGGCAATGTGCACAACGATGATGTGAGCCAATGTGCAATCTATATCAGCTCCAACAGCACTGGCCTCAACTCTGATCTGCACTGTGTGCTTATTTGCACCAATGTTAATTGAGACCAAGGTGCATGGCAATGTGCACAACGATGATGTGAGCCAATGTGCAATCTATATCAGCTCCATCAGCACTGGCCTCAACTCTGATCTGCACTGTGTGCTTATTTGCACCAACAGTGGCTCTGCCACATAGTAATATAAAGTAGCCTTCTTCTCATGGACATTGTGCAGCTGCGCAACACAAATTCTCGTAGTGTAATCCTGTCTACAAAGATGTAAGGCGTCAACAAAGATTCTGGCAAAGAATCCTGTCATCATGGAGTCCTCTCTTCAAGCTCGGTTCCCCCTACATTCTAAGATTTCTTTTCCATGTCTCCTATTATCCTTGTTCCTTTTCCTACAATTTGTTGATCTCCTTCTTAAAATGGGACATGCAGAACTGAACCACATTAATGTATTTTGCTTAATTTGTTTATTTGTTAATTTATGACAGGAGAAAACCAGGAGGTGACAGAAAATGAAGCTAGGTGGTGATAAGAGGACATAGAACTGGAAAAGCAAGAAACTGCAGAAGCGGCTGGTATGTGGAGTTAGGTTTTGGGATTTTTGGAATTTTTTTCCATCAACCATGAAGTCTAGAAAATGCTGACTATGTTCTTGAGGTATGCAGACTCTGCATAAAACTGTTAAAGATGGATAAAATTGCACAGATATGTCCTATGCCCTGATTTGTGAATCTGTAAAGGCCACTGCTTGGCATTTCTGAGGAAACATAGTTCTGGAACAAACAAGAGAGATCTGTTGAAAATACTGGATGGAATCCTATTGGTGACATTTGCTTGAATAATCTAGAGTTATGTGGCCATATGTCATTTTGGGGATGTTGTGGAAGGAAGTGTTTTATTCCTCTTTGTGCAATATCCTCTTCCTCCAGCAGACATAGGATTTATATGGTCAGGAGATTTTCTTATCCTGCCCTTCTGGCAAGAGGTTCAGTGTGACATACTGTATATGCGCAGGCCTTAGAATTGTACTTTTAAAAATAAACTAGTTACTTTACTCATTACTCTGATCACCCAACAAGTCATTACTTATTAATATGGTCCAGAAAAGTCAGTTGCTGGGATTATAACTCTTACTATGCAATAAGGAAAATAATCTCTGGCTAGTTCAGTTATTATACCCTGAACATTTGGGGGAACAATACAAAAGATATAGCAAAGCAACCCTTCCTGGCTGCAGAAAAAGACAATGACCCTTTCTTTTCCCATTTCCATTTCTCAGACTGAGTCCACACACACAAGCAGTTATAAGTAATGGGCACCTATCAATTCAAAAGTAGTGAACTACAATCATGGCTGTTACATGAGGATTTTCCCCAGCCTGAGACTGTATCTACACTCCCCTATAATCCAGGTTATGTGATATGAACTGGATTATATGAGTCTACACTGCCATATAATCCATTCAAAGAAGATAAACTGGATTTTATATGGCAGTGTACACGGGGCCTGAGTTTAATGACTAAGTACACTGATTTGAATCACATAGATTACCAAAAAAAGAAAAAAGAAAGTAAAAAGTCCAAATGTGTTCATGTTAATGACTAAGGCATTTTTTATATACAAAAAATTATAGAACCACAGTGTCTATATATACCACAGATGTAGAGACCAAGGGGGAAAAACAGAAAAATTGTTTTCATAGTTTTTGGAGATGACAGTGAGGTTCTTATTCCCTTTGTTTTCTTCTGGACTCTCTCCACTACATACACAGACCTGCGTGTTCAGTTTTCTCTATTAGCTTCAATGAGAGAAACAGCTCAATTTTTGTATACAGAGTTGTAACTTCTATTCAAGCAAATAAATGAAAAGCCAATGCAGACAGAAAGGACAACACTCTTGTTATATTTGTAAGAAAATTACTAGGTGAACATCTATTTGTACAGAATGGTGAGAAAAAAAATATATAGACATCACAATGCAATAAGAGCTTGACAAGGAATGTCAGATAGGAAAAAACTACCCTATCCCTTTAATGAGAGAGGAAGTATAATAAAGACAAAGCCAACACACTACAGAGAAATTTCTTTTTATTAATTTAAATGTTGCTTTAACAAATAGCAGGAAAATAATTTAAGAGAAAGAGTACAAATTCCAGACAGATCAAAGACATTCAACAAAGCCTTGAATTATATGTGCAAAACCTCAGTGGAATATTTTCTGGTAACCCACCATATGCTGGGCTCCATATAGATTTTAGGGTGGGTTTTATATTCGTAAAGGCTAATGGTCCATTGTGTTGTATTAATGGCCTTAAGTGCAAAAACATCTGTCTGAATGTCCCTTTCTCATATCCTGATGACCTAATTTTGGCTTCCAACATAAGTATTGAAAAACTCTAACACAGGCCACAATTCTCCATCCACTTACTTCAGAGTAGTCCTATTGATTTTAGGAGGGGGTAAGAGGATGGCAGATGGTTTTCTGAATTGAAATGAGTAAACTTATTTTCATTTTTGGTTCTATTTCAATTCTGATGTAGTGCAAAGGGCCAATAAGAACGTAAAAACATCCTTTACTTCACTTCTCCAAGGGGTTCATCAGAGGATGAGACTATGATCCCAAAGCGTGCAGCGTGGATCACCTGACACACTATAAATTTATCATAGTCAAGTTTCCAAGCTTCCAGCCCTCTCTCTTTCACATTGTTTTACCTGAAAATTAAATGCCATTGACTATAAAGAGCACATAAAAATGTAAGAAGGCGTAAGGTTTCACTGATATATTACTATATTCTACAGGATGTTGATGTTGACACCAATTGAGGTGGAAAACTCAAAAAAATCCTAGCAATATCCTCCTGAAAGAAACTGATTATTTAGGGCAGAATTAAAGCACATACACATTGTAATTCTCTTGAAAGCACAATGCAAGAGAAATTAGAATTACAGTGAAACTTTTGAATCTCAAAACTTCTAAACGGGAGGAGCTATGTAGTCAATGGTTCCACACGGAAGTGGCACCATCACGCATCAAGTGCACAAAGTTGTTTTCTTAAAGATGTATGCCTTGGATAATGACATTTGAGGTCAAAATATTATTTTTCCACTTTAGTGCAAGATGAAAATTTAAATTGAGTCATAATACCAAACCAACAGATCATATATGATCCCCTTCAAGGGTAAGCTTGAAAAGTAGTTGTCCTTAACAAGAATTGCATGCTGGACTTCTGAGTAAGGGAGTATGATCCTTGTAGACGACATGTTCCATTTTCCTATGATTTGGCCTTGATACCAACATGTTTGTTCAAAACAACTTTATCTAGTTTATACTGCTGAAGTTATTTGCCTTTAAAAAAAATAATCAGAAGATAGCCTTTGTGATGAGCAAAGTCTTTTGTAGATGAACCATATCAATGCATGAGGCAGGCAAATAATATATATTTCAGTTTCCTTAACTCAGACGGTTTGATGATGCTTTAGAGTGGACTGTGTGAGGCAACCCTGGATACTGAAATAGGGTTTAAAAGATATCCAATATTTCATGTGTACTCAGTGCCATCTGCAATAAGAACAAACATATTTCAGAATCTCATTGGGTAACTTTGGTTTCCAAATTACTCAGTTTAAATTCATTGTTAGACTTACCATGAAACCACCCCAGATTTGCTGGCCAGAAGTCAGGGTAATATTCAGGCTCTGAAATCTGAAAAAGGAAAGTATTGTGGCTGTGGTTTGGCTACTTTGCCACTGCCGACTTATAGATAATTGGTTCTTGAATGCCAGCAGTTTATAGGAAAGTCTAAGACAAAGTCCATACGCTAAGGAGTACCTATGACAGTTTAATCTGTGTGACACAGATGTGCTTGATTGATTAACTGCAACATTAACAACACTTCATTGGCCAATTTCACATTATTTACACCCGAAGTGTGTTCTCATGCACAAAGGTTAATGCAATGAGCACTAAAATAGGTGATAGATACATTTGTTCAAATTCATGTTTTATCCAAATCATGTTATAAAAATTTGTGAAATGAGAGTATATATGTGTATGGGTAAAGATAACAGAACTTTCCCAGTGCCTGCATACCTCGAGTGCCTTTCTTTTCCAGCATTTCTTTCTCAGATGTGATTAATTCAGGCACTAAAATACATCTGAGAAGTACAGAACAGTCAGAAGTAACCTGCTAGGAAGGCAGTATCTGCTGTGCACTCTTCTAGTCGACAAATAATAACATTGCCTTCGCTTAAGATGTGATTGGACAGACCTGAGTTTAAAGAAATGGATCCTCCATGTTACATCTAGTTTGGCTTTCTCTAAATTAGTACAGATTTCATGTAAATATTATTGTTTATGATGCAAAGTTATGGGAAATGGCTTAGTGATTCTAAGAAACAGATGTAGAAGGCAAAACTCAAAAGATGCAAAGATTTGCTGAGCAAAATTCCAAAATATTCTGAGTCTGAACATTAAAAACCATGAAATGTAACATGAACACATACATACAGACACAGGTACACCCCTCTTTATGGTATAGTGACTCCAATCCAGGTCGAGAACATAATGTGCATCTTGTGGGAAAACAAACATTCCACCTGTTTGGTTGGATTGACCCTAGCTTAAATCAAGACACCACACACACACACACACACACACACATTTTTTAAAGGGATGTATTCCTGAATACTGAATATTAACTACAACATGTAGTTTGGTCCAGTAGTATTTGAAGTTACAAACATGACAACATTATGATAAAACTAGTACAGTAACTACCGTGTTTTCTTGAGTATAATGCACCATTGGTTGATTTGAAGGTGTGCATTACAAAAACAAATTGTTGTTGAAAGTAATGCACAGCTTTCTCTTACCTGTTGGCATGACCTCTCTATCAGGTTGAGGCTGACAAACTTGCTAGCCTTGGGCTGATGGATAAATGGTGGCTCTCCAACTAAGGCCTCATTTACGAGGCCTTCAAAACTGAAAAGGAGGTTTAGAAGGCCTTGTGAATTAGGCCATTTGTGATGCCATGTTAGCAGCAGTCAACCTTATAATTTACCTACCCATGATGAAGAAACATAATCTCAAATACCCCATTGTTATACCTTGTAATATGTAGAGTTTGCCTTAAGTGTTGCAAAGAGTTTTTATTTGTATGTACGTCTCCTCCCCAAAATACCTTCTAGTGATACTAACTGTCGGTAACAGGTCAACCAGGTCCTTTGGTTTCAATTATGCATTCTTTTGCTGAATTCATTTATAATTCTGAAAAATAAAGTCAGCCATGTCAGAATTGCTATTAAGCAAATCCAGATAAGGGGAAACAGAAATGAGCTGCATTTATCAAGTTTCCATTGATTTATGGTGTAGTCAATATGCATTACCCGTGCTTTCTGACTGAGTAAAAGGTTTAATGACTGTCTCACTTTGAAAAGGTGAATATTTAACCCAATTACTGTATACTTTGGATTATTATGAAGTGGGTCTGATTAAGTGCATAGTCTCTTGAGACCTATGCAACTTCTACTGAAATTAATCGAATCAAAGTACAACTCCAGAAAAGCTCATTTTAGTACAACTTTACTGTTATAGATTACACGGAATATTTTGGATCTTCAATTTAAACTTGAATAAATCAATTAATATATTTTAAAAACGTATAAGAAGTTATGTATATTGATTCCTGGCAGTTCAGAATTAAACCTGACGATTTATTCTAAATCAGAACACAGAAGAAGTACTCTTCAGAATTACAATTTCTGCAGTCTCCATTTTTTACAGCAATATGGTCTGAGGAATTAGGGATTTGTAATGAACACCCATTTCCTCCAATTCTTGTTAATCTACTAATGAGTAAAGTGGCCATAATATCTATGTTAAACTTGACTAAGTGTGGGATTGTTAGTGCTTTGAAAAAGGGATCAACCCCCATGACTAGGCTAGACTGTGTGTGCTAAACTTGCCTTGAAATGATCAGGCAAAACTAGACCATGAAAACCCTCCATAGTTGAGCCTCCTCAGATATTATCAATGAAAAGCATCCTCTATCTTCTATACATATAAAAGTATGTATCTATGTTGGTTTGAAGTACAAAGGCTCCTACATGGCTTGATAGATCTGGACCAAACATGGCACACATACCCTTCATTACCCAACATAATTGATAGGATTGAACTAAAAAACCTACCACTTTCAGATCCAGGGAGGAGGGGGGGGGGGGGAAAGAAACAATGCAGATTCACTGTGGCTAGGTGAAGTGTGTATGAGGAAGGGAGGGAGGGAGGGAAGAAAGAAAAAGCAGGGAAGGAAGTGAAAAGAAAGGGGAAAAGGTATGATGGGAGGGGAGGAAAGAAAGAGAAAGAAGGGGAAAAAAGGAAGGGGGAAGGAAGAGAGGGAGTTGGAAGAAAGAAAAAGGAGTGATGGAAGGGAAAGAAAGAGAGAGAGAGAAGAAGAAAATGGGAAAGGTGTGTGAGAGAAATCATCCTGTGTATAGTTTCTTCTGTTCTGAAATAATATGAAAACACTAGAAAAGTTGCAGAAAAGGTAAATCAAAACCATCAATGGGCAACTTCTGTATCAGGAAAAGCTACAGCATTTTAACTTTTAAAAGAAGTCAGGCAGAGAAGAACAAAATGTCCAGTATCTGTCTGTCTATTTATCCATTTTACATATATATAAAAGGCAGTTATATATGTATATCTGTGGCCTTCTGTGATATAACTGGATTGACTGTTGCTAGGTGAAAGCATGGCTGTTACTAGGGGAAGTGGCCCTCTATGGTGTCACTGAATAAGAAAGGTGACATGAGCATGAGGGGAGGAAAGAAAGAAAGAAAGAAAGAAAGAAAGAAAGAAGAAAGAAAGAAAGAAAAAAGAAAGAAAAGAAAAGAAAGAAGAAAAAGAAAGAAAGAAAGAAAGAAAGAAAGAAAGAAAGAAAGGGAAAAATCCAAGGAGAAGGAAGGGAGGGAGGAGAGAAGGAAAGAAAAGAAAAAGGAGGCAAGGGAAGAAGAGAAAAAGGGAAAAGGTATGGAAGGGGAGAAAATAAATAGAAAGAAGGAAAGAAAAAAGGAACAAAAGAAGAGAGGGAAGGGAAAAAAAGTAGGAAAGAGAAAGTATAGATAGAAATAGGGGGGGGGGGGGTATATCGCTGATAGAGAGCGTTGTTTCCAACCTTTTTTTTTTTGGCCAGGGACCACTTGACCAGGGACCACTTTGACCAGGGACCACTCTCCAACATTAGTACCAAAAGGGTTACAAATCAGTTTTTGGTCAACGTTAGATTTGGTTTGGTTATTTGGAGTGCTGATTCAGAAAACTGCATTGGATAGACCACATCAGCTGTAGCTTTTGATACAGAACATACGTCACCCAGTAGTCACAATCTACTCGCCCACAGAAAACCATCTTTAATAATATGATGTGGTCCATTCAAGGGGTCTGGGTTCGCCAGCGTCAGGGAAGGAGTGGCAGTGTGAAAGGAGCATAAATAAAATAAAATAAAATAAAATAAATAAAGGGGAAGGAGGCTTGCGGACTAGATTTTTGTCCTCGCAGCCCAGTGGTGGTCCGCAGCTCACAGGTTAAGAGCCACAGCTTTAGATCAGAGGCATCTCAGGTCTCATACTGATCTCACTTTCAGCACCTCATCTCTCTCTGTATTTTTGTTGTATGCCAACCCTTTTAGGTACAAATGATGATGATGATGATTGGAGAAGTGGTTGGAAAACAAGATTAACATACAAAGGGGAAGAGAAAAACAGGAGAAATGCATGCCTAGAGAACAGAAGACATAACATAAGATTCACTCATTTACTGGTTATACTAATGGGGGGGGCATTTGTTTATTGTGGGTTTTAGGAAATAGTTATTAAAAGTAGAAGGATGATTATATAACAGCATTTAAAGGGAAATAGCAAACAGATAAAAATCAGCATGCAGTGAGTGAGAAGTGTATAGATTTGTTAGTTTTCTTCTTATTATGGAGGTGTCTATCGTTGTTTGTTTTATGTTTCTTAAGTAGTTCTTTTTTAAAAAAGAAACACAACACCAACATTGTAATTTGTGTTAACAAGCTTTAGGGGTTTCTTTGCCTTTGAATAATTTTTAAAGGTGGAATAAAATTGCTATAATCACATAGTGTTGTTTATCTCGCACACCAAGATCACTATCTCATGGAAAGATGGCATACTGTTTGCTAAACTAACACCTTTCTCCTAGATATGCTAATATAATCTTGGCATCTTTAAGGAACTTTTTTTTAGAGCGGGGCAGCATTTGTACCCCTATTCTTGCATGTGTCAAGCAAACTCTATGAGCTACAGATTTGGCACAGTGGGTGGAAACTCTATTTCATATTTCAGTTCAGAAAGAGAAGCAGAGCTAGAAACAAGAGGAGCTATAATTACAAGGTCACCTTGAAGAAGGTACCAGGATTTTCAATTTTGTATTTATGAAGGGAACAAAAAGTTCTTATAATTGAATTTCTTTTAAATCTTTGCACCTTTGTTGCATTTTAGTTTAAGGTGGGAGCATTACAGGTTTTAGTTTAAGTTTGCAATATTGCTGAACAGTATATATACAGAAGAGTCTCATAGTTGAGCCTTGTGCTGTCTTCCCTTTGAATGCATGTAACTTTGGGCCACTATGTGGCTGATTTAATATATTTTATGATGCATTGTTGCTGCTATTTTAAAATGAATGAACTTGTATTGTAATTGGTCCCACAGAAACCAAGAAAGAAGTACATAAGCAAGTCTTAAAATTCAAAGGAAGAGAAGGAAATGAATAGCTCACTTCTATGTATTGCCATGCACACCTATCTCTAACTCAACTCAGGGGTCCTCCCTATCTGGCTAGATGTCCCTTCATTTCCAAGTAGAGGAAAAAGCAGGCAGGGATTTATCAAGTATTTATCAGAGAAGAAAAAGTGGCAATTATTATTTAACTGATTCCTAGTTGTAATGCCAGCATTATTTCATTTATGCTGAAATCAGTCACTGATTGGCATCTTTTCTTTTGCAGGCTGCTATCCCAAATAACAACTTTCAATTAACAAATGTCACAGAGACCTAGAGAAGCTGGCTGTAAGTTTTGTGGTAGATTATCTACATGTTGTAGGAGTTACAGATACTGTTGGAGTTGACGCTCACTGTACACACCAACTAGAACTGTGTCGGTGACCTATGCAGTTTTTTTTTTGGGGGGGGGGGGGCTTCACAAAGGTATTCTCTACATCTTTGTGCAACATTCCCTTCCACCCTTCGGAGAGCTTGAAATAATTGGAACCCACTGCCATATAGTTCTGGTGGTTGCACTTGAGAAAATATATTGCATAATTTAAAAAGATAAAGAAAATGATCTGATTAAAACAGAGGTGTCTAGTGTACTTTCTGTGTAGGACTGATGGTGTTTTTGCACATTCTGGGAATTTTGCATATAGTACATGAGAGAGAATTTCTAGAAAATCACACCATTAAAATGGAGATGGGATGAGGACTTGAGGGAATGGTAGGAGACTACAAAAGTAGGGTCCAGTGGCCCCATGTGGCCTATTCACTATACTTTGCCCACCCCTATGTCACTCTTGGTAAATTAAAATAGAGTCTAGAAAATTGGAACCACTATACAGTATGTTAATCGCAGGAGATTCATCATCATTGTGTGCATCAAGTCTCCACTGCAACACACAACAATAACAAAATGATCTGAAGCAATATTTTTTGGATTTTAAAAATAACATATCTTATTTCAGCTTTAGGAAGTACAAAAAAATCAAAACCATTTGAGATTCTCTTAATGGTTGTCCCATGTCACATGCAAGTTAACCTATATTATGAACTTTCTTCCAAAAAAGCAAAATATTCCCTTTAAGGTTTAGGACTTAAGCAAAAAATAATAAATATAGCTTCTAAAATAAGTACTATCAAAATTCACACCAAGTAGTTTTAAGCTCAAATTAAATAATAGCTCATGGATTATATGGCAGTGCAGACTCATACATATTTTTGCTTGTGCTAAAATATTAAGGAAACTGTGTTATTTCCATCATTACTATCTATTTGATAACTGAAGGAAGATGGTGATACTGCATCAATGATTTATCAAATGGTTTAGTAATTACCCTGCCTCAAGCTATCATGACCAAACATCTTGATTTACAATTTCATACAAACTGTTTTTCAGATTGCTATCCTAAATAACAGCGCGTATTCAACAGAAATGATAAAATTTACAAAATTATATTTATTGTGATATATCAATGGATTTTCTGATTTGTACTTAACATCAACACTCCATAGACCTATGTGTCAATCTGATTATATTCTGAAATGGACTAGGTGTAAAGAGGCATTGGGAAAATATCCCAGAATAAGAATTAACAATACACAAACAGCACTATTGCAGTATTGGATCCTGCAGTTTACATTAACTTATTCTTTTCACAATTTCATATCACTAGTGACCAGAGCATCTTTCTGATCTTTGACTGGCAGCCTATTTCCATTTCAAAACCTTTGGCAAATCAGAAATATCACTGGGATACTCTGGATCACTGTAGATTGTAAAATTCTCATGTGCAATTCTGAGTTGCTTCTTGTACAGCAATCATCAAGATGATTAGACACAATGATTAAGACTTAATATCTCATTTAATAGGAATAACAAGTGAGAGGAAGAGGAAATAACATTTGGGAACTCAGAGTATCCAAAGAAGAGCAACACTAAATGTTCCACAGAAAATACAGTTTTTGGTATTGTCGAAGGTTTTCATGGCTGGAATCACTGGGTTGTTGTAGGTTTTTCGGGCTATATGGCCATATTCTAGAAGCATTCTCTCCTGACATTTTGCCTGCATCTATGGCAAGCAGCCTCAGAGGTTGTGAGGTCACAACCTCTGAGGATGCTTGTCATAGATGCAGGCAAAACATCAGGAGAGAATGCTTCTAGAACATGGCCATATAGCCTGAAAAACCTACAACAATACAGTTTTTGGATGAATGAAAACCAAGAAGAGGACAGACTGGCAAGCAAGGGAGCATGACAATGAGCCCCTATCATATGATTACTTTTTTTCTTTACTACAAGTGAAATTGTTTGGTGACCATATATTTGATATAAGATAAGAAAGAAAACAAGGCCTTTGTGAACAAGGAGGACATATAAAATACCTGGCACAAATATAATGGAATGCAATATGAAATGGCATGTTATTCTGGCTTTTAAATGTTTTATGTTTACATTCTATTAGTTTTTATTTCTAAGCTTTGTTTTCAAATGCTTATTTGTTTAAACATGTATTTTAGCTGTGTGATGCCTAATATTTCTGTAATGTTTCACCATTGTCTTATGTTGATGTCTAATGTGTTACTAGTTGATTTATGGTTTGTTTCTTTGCTTTCGGTCACACTTTATGGCATTGAATGTTTGCCACTGTATGTTGTAAAATGTCCTGAGTCCCCATTGGGGAGACAGGGTGGGATAGAAATAAAGTTTTATATTATAGTGTGGCACGTGTGCCCAGACTGTTTTAATCCATTTTTGGGGAAATTCTCATGGCCTTATTATAGAGTCCTTTTGGCATTTTGTTTCACTGGAACTTTAGTGATCTGCTGCTCAGTCTTGGGTATACATAAGAAATAGTTTACCACTGAATTTTTAGCTTGATTTGTAATTTTGTAAGCTGCTTTGAAAGCAGACGGGTGGCAAAGTAGGCTATCAATACTTACAAATGCAGATACTTCAAAAAAGATCAGTTCTGGATAAGATTACTTCCCTCTAATGCATTCTGATTCCAAGTATAAGCCATAGTACCCATGAATAAAGCTGAGTTTGTAAATAACTCTGCACCCTCAGTGATCACTTACTGTATATTGTCATGCATAAGTTTAGAAATTTTAGTCAAAAATTGATCAAAACGACTTGGTGTTTTGGCCCATGGGTCAATATAACTACTGTTCCCAACTTTTATTTTTTTTAAAAGTAACTATCTCTTATTAGAACGGCAAAAGGTGATGATGGTCCAGTCCATCCCTAGGAGAATCTAAAAGAAGCACCAAATCCCTCTACCCTCTTCACCACATTTCCATTTTTGGTTCTTTTGAATGTGGGGAAATGGCAGCAGTCAGGGTGGTTAGTCCCTGCAGTGGAGCAAGTATATAAATATATATGGGTTGCTGTGAGTTTTCCAGGCTGCATGGCCATGTTCCAAAAGCATTCTCTCCTGACGTTTTGCCCACATCTATGGCAGGCATTTTTAGAGGTTGTGAGGTCTGTTAGAAACTAGGCAAGTGAGGTTTACATATCTGTGGAATTCCCAGGGTGGGAGAAAGAACTTTTTTCTGCTTGAGGCAGGTGTGAATGTTGCAGTTGGCCACCTTGATTATCATTGAATGGCCTTGAAGTTTCAAAGACTAGCTGTTTCCTACCTAGGGAACATGGCTATACAGCCAGGAAAACTCACAGCAACCCGGTGATGCTGGGCATGAAAGCCTTTGGCAACACAATAAGTTTATATGGTAACTATGGTAACTATAGATAATGTTTCTAAAACAAACTCAGTAAAACAAAAAGCCATTTAAAATAATAATTCTTCTCGTACGGCTTTATTGCACTGCAGTAGCAAGTAATATCACATTAACACTGTAAATTATAAATCAACAGGTTACCACCATGCTACCTAAAGAGTTAATAATGTCTATAGGATCTTTTTTCCTCTCAACCACTATCACAAAATACTGATACTTTTATTTGCCATAAAATGAGAGCATATAATGTTATAATTCATACGAAAGCAAAGGCTAGGTAAGGCAAGAAAGTACATATGCAAATCAAATTTCACCTTGATGCAGTAACATTGATCAGAGGATTCTGGGAACCTTAAACTTCCAGACAATGTATCCTTTGCAAGGTTGGAAGAATTCAATTTAGGCCCCATCTACACTGCCATATAATGTAGTTTCAGAATACAGATTAACTGCATTGAACTGGATTATATGGCAGTGTAGACTCATAAAATCCAGTTCAATGCAGTTCAATCTGCATTACACACACACGCACACGCACACACACACCATTATAATGCAGTACAAACTGCATTATATGGCAGTGTAGATAGGGCCCCAGTCAAATAGCTTAGTTGTCTCCTCTAGACTAGTGGCTCACACTTTATATGGATCTGAGTCTCAGCCCTCATTTACAAATACTTGCTTCCTCTTCAGACATTTCTAGAAAGTACTATTCTAATCCCTATATGAAAAACACTGCTTCATGTCTCAGTTACTGAGTACCAAAAAAATCCCCAACAACTCCTTATCATTTTTAGCAGCCAAACACATGCAAACTCACATATGCAAAAATATATATGCAAAAGAGTCAGTTTGGATGTATAATAGTCAAAGTCTGAGCCATCGTAAGCCAAAATACTTGTGTTTAAAGCAATGTGTGCTCCAGAACATCAGTCCCATTAGCTCCACGGGAATCAGCACTGTATTCTTAATACACAGATCTTGGAAATATGTATGACTGGTTTTATTGTCACTTATACTGCAGCATACATACTTAGGATAAAGGAGTCAAGTAGCCTAAATCCCACCACTCCAATTTAACAGCGATGTGAATAATCTTTTCTGATGGCTGACTGACTACACAGAGGATAATGTTTTGAAATTTAGAGGCGGAATAGTGGGAGATATTACAATACCTGAATTGATAAAGTACTTCTAATACGTCACATTGCTTCTGAATATATTAAAGCCAGCTGAGTCCTAAACTATCACATTGGACATACCTATACAAATCATAGTGACCCAATCATCAACCTAAGATACCTTCAGACTGAACATCCTAGACTTCTCCTGGCAGAAAATGCTGCACTGTGTCCCTGTCATTATGCAGTAACATGACAATCCTGACTTAATTGCCTATATTTACAATGTAGACTAGTGATGAAGTAATAAATAAAGTGGCACTCATGAAGAAATGCTGGAGACATTGGAAGGGAGAAGATCTCCCTTCCACCATAACTGCCACTGCATTGGCCTTGGAGGGAGAAACGAAGCAGCAGTATCTGTCTCCTTCCTTGCTA